TGTGAAGATCCAGGTGCTCAAGGTTTTTGCAAACCTTCGTTCGGTTGGAGTGCCATGGCATGGTTCAAATACTGCCCGTCCAAAGCTCAAACTTTCCATACTGGTATGTTGCAGTGCTTGTGCGTGCATACATAATGTGTGTGTGCATCGTGTGTTGTGGATAGTGTACTGCCTTTGTATCACGCTGGTTTTCAGACTTACATGTAAACAGTTCTGCGTTTGACAGAGCTGCACTATAAAGACTTCTCAATGTATATAACATTCATTGCTTTCAAACAAACCCATAAATTGATCTCGAGTATGTTTCACACATGTTGAAGCAAGCCCTTGTTTGATTAGATTTCATGGAAATTTTTACAATTGTTGCCATTCAAACGCTTAAGTTTCCAAACGAAAGTATGGCGATACTTCGCGTATGAAGTCTGATTGAAATAAAATTTTATGAGTGATAGCATTTTTAATCCTATGGAATGAAAAGTAAATAAGGAAATTGCTTTTAGCCTTGGTCAATAAATTTTAGAAATTATTGTGAAATTATAATAGGAACGAGTTTCGTTTTGCCGGACATAAATTTTTTCTCTGTTCCTAGTAAGTTTGGGTGGGTGGAATAAGCATTGTGTGTATTTGTGTTTGTTTGTGTGTGTGCGTGCGCGCGCGTGTGCGTGAGTGTGTTTGTGTGAGTGCGTGTGTGTGTGTGCGGACGTCAGTGCTTAAGTAATTTAGGTGACTTGTGACGTTTGAATAATGAATGACCGTCTATTATTTTGAGCGATTTGTTTAGCACAAGTTCAATAAAAGCCCGCTGCTCCGTTATGGTCACCATAAAGAGGAACGATAAAAACTTTACTGCATTTTTTATGATAAAATTTTTTTTACTGAATTTCACAAAATTCACCTTTAAATTTCTGATTTGAAAGATAATGAATTATTTAAGAGACATCTGAGCGTATCTAAATTTGCCATCGTTAACGTAATTTCCTTTCATTTGAAAATATTCCCTCTCTTCAAAACATCGTCTGAATAATTTAGCGCCCCCATTCCACTTTGAGATTTTATGCAATCATAACTAACACCCTGAGACTTGATTTGTTTGCAACTACCATCGCCAACAATCAACTGTACGAAACTAACTTTTAAGTTGCGGTCAGTTTTCAGAAAAAAAAAAGTGACGATACAGAATACACGCACACACGCGCACACGCGCACACACACATATACACGCACACACAAACACACACGCACACATAAAAGTTAATGTCACCAACACTAGCACCACATCAACCACATTCGACATAATAGTTGATGTCATCATTACAAAGACATGACAACAAAAAGAAATCATAATTTTCATTTCATGCTTCCTTTATTATCATTATTGCCACCATCAACGTTTATGCTTTGCGAAGTCGTCAGCGCCATCGTCCTAAGTGACGCTTAGTTCGTTGCATAGCTTCATCATTTCAGTCACTGTCACCTTAATCATCGACCCGATAACCATTAACTTATTCAATTTTTCAAATCTTTCTTTTTTTATGTCATCATCATGATCGTGGTCATCATCACCAGCTAACTTTCATCATCCAGTTAACATCACAAAATCACCAGACAACCAACGTCCCCACACGACTAATGCCAGATTACCACATAACCACATCATAACATCATCGCATCATCACATCGTAACCTCACTCACCTTACTCACTTCAGAACGTTACTCACATCTCCTCGTCGCTTTCATCGCATTCACTCAGCGACATCACTTTTATCATTTAGCCTCTACGTCATTCTCATCATCGGCGTCCCCGCCCGGCATAATCGCAACTGTTATATACCTGTCACATTTCATCACCGTTATTACTATCGTTATCATAAACGCCATCAAAATCACGGTTACTTCGTCGCTACCATCATCATCATTGTCGTCATCATCATTATCATCATCATCATCACCATCAACCCATTCATCATATAAAGCGCTAAAAGTATCATTAAAGTTATTATCATCATCGTCATCATCACAGGACAAACAACATCGCCTGTGATGATATCATATTTGGCATTTAATTTGTCTACAATCATTGCATCAAATTTTTATAAAATCTTTTTTTGGCAGGTTTTCTTCAAAAAATCTTTTTTAATTTTTACTCATAAGCCAAAGTGGAGTTATTGTGAAATCGGTATCATTATCAGCAGCATCATCTGCGTCATCAGCATCATCACCATCTTCTTTTTCTTCATCGTCGTCAAAGTCGTCAACATCATCATTTTGAAATTTTTGAAAGATTTTTCATATTTTTATTGACACCACACTCATTGTGTCGTCATGATTCCCAACACGTTCTTGCACATACATCGCACCATTACCAGACGTTTTAAATACATTTATCACATGTTCATCATTCTCGTCGTCTTCTACAATCTTTATGATGTCATCATAATTATTATCATCAGCCAATTACATCGTCGTGTCATCACCTTCATCAAAAAATTACATCACATAATCATCATAATCAACCAATCACATCACATCACCGTAATCACCCAATCAGATCACATCGTCATAGCCATTACAACCAATCACATCACATCATCAACATCATCAACCAATGACATCTCGTCACCATCATCGTCCAATCACATCGTCTCATCATCACCATCATCAGATCGACCCAGCCCACGGTCATCAGCACTTAGTGGCACAACAAAAGCAATTTCATTTGGCGCGAAGAAGAAAGATTTTTGATAGCCACCATTATTTTTAAAACGCAGGAACTACTTTTATTAATGCGCGCGTAAGAATATTTTACAAGGCCCCATAACCGCTGCGGCTTATTGGCACATCCGCGCCGAACGACCGGCTCCACATTCATAGGAATGTTTATGCCTGATTTATGTGAGCATTTGCACAAACTACAACAGAAAACGAAATTTATGCACCCCTACAACCCTAATATGTTTTGCATGCAAATGTTTACACGTGCACTCTTTTATATGTAATAAATAAATAACCAACGTAAATAAATACATCCGACCGATGTGTGAGCGTTTGTGGAAATCGTATCGTAGCCATTGATGTGTGTTTGTGTGTTGTTGTTGAAACACATGCCTATGTAAACAAGAACCAAGACGTTAACTAACAACATCGGTCATGCGTTTGAAATGCTGGCTACATATAATTCTATAACAGTATATCATAATTCACAAATGTTTTGAAAATTTTCAGCTATCATTCCAGAGACAACACCATGTGGAACTGTTTTAAACCATTTTACTGTTTCATCAGTTGGAAAGTTTAGTTGAAAAAAACATTGTTCCTGTAAAAAATTCGGCAGGCTTTTGATGGTGATATAAATTCAAAATATCAAAATTCTATCACAAGTATATCATTGCATGACAAAATTTTATTTTAACGGAGAAGTGACTAATATATTATTGTTAAGAATTTAAAAGTTGAAAGATACATGAATATTTCAGTGGAGATACATTGTTCAGGAAGTTGAAGTTCTAAGCACAATGGAATTGTGTCACCAAAGAAAACTATTAGAATGGCTCAAAAATACAACAAAACACAAAAAATGGAAAGAAACTTTGGTGCATATGTTATATATCTGGACCTAAAATCGCCATCACCAACATCACATCGTCACCATCATTATAGTCACCATCATCATCATTGTCTTCATTAAGGTTCCTATCCTATTTATCTTTCCCATCATCATCGCCTCAATCAATTGACATCACCTAGCAGAACCGCGAATAATGATTATTGATATTTTCTCATTTTTCACATGTGCCAGTGCCTATAAGACGCTCGTCCGAGCGAGCTCCGCTGAATTACTCGCATATTTTATTTATCCCCGTCCAATAAAATCAATCTACTGAAACATTCATTTTTTCATTTATTCATTCGTGCATTCGTTTGTCTGCTCGTTTTTTTTCACTAGATCATTCATCAACCTAAGACAGAGTTTTACCAATTTTCCATTTTGATTTGCATTTGATTTTTTCAATCGTTTAAATGTTTAACGAATTATTAATAAATTTTGAGAACTCATCGTTTTAAATCCAACTTTCACATTGTAAATCACTGCATCTGGTTACCCAGCTCTGACGCAGCAGGCATTCCATCCAAACCACACTCTGTCGATATAACGACATGTTTTAGTTGAGTCACCAGATTTAAATATGCCAGTTTATAGAACAAAATACGATTCCAGCATACTTATAACAATCTTTGCAATTCTAACTTAACAAACACAACACACGTTTCAACAAATTTTCATTTACAATTTTGAATCGATATCATTTTTTAAATTTTCTCGACTGTAGGCATCGGATGTTCCAACCATGATCCCATTCCAGACGCCTGGATGCGTCGTCATGGCAACACGATTACAATCACGTGCAACCATTCTAGTGACGTCATGTTCCACGTGACCTGTAGGGATGGGCAGTGGGTTGGAAATGTTGGGAACTGCAGTCTCCTTAACAGTAATATCAACTATTAATTTTATTTATTCATTTTTATTTTAGTGTTTAAAAATGTATTATGCTCAGTCAACACTTTCTAAACATTCGCTCATTTATTTAAACGTGTGTTATTTTCAATAAAAATTGATGTTTCAAAATATAAACAGTTAAACATAAATGAACAATTATTAGCAAATATAAGAACTGCTCAACTAGAAGTTCATAATAGTAAACCAATAATTTTAATTTTAAAGTGAAACAAAAAATATAGACATTTAAACTTCAAATTGGAAATAGAAAAACTGACTTAATTAATTATCATAATTTAAAATGCTGGTACATTGAATCGTGAATGAATTACATAATAATTTTAATTAAACGTGTGTGTGTGTGTCTGTGATGTGTGTGCGTGTGATGTGTGTGTGTGTATGTGGTGGTGTATATGCACATAGTCTGGTGACTAGTAAAAGCAAAAAGCAAGTGAACGTTAAGCAGCTATACATTTTTATTATCTAGAATCCATTTTGAAAATGAACCAGAAATCTGGAGCTGAAGATAATTTTCCATTCGGTAGGTGCATTAATGTTTCCACATTCAATCCAGATTGAAAATAAAATTCGATAAAATTATTGTTTGTATAATATTTTTAAAATTATACAATACTTTTGATATTTTATAATATATTTCATTTTGGATATGTAATATTATTATTTCATTGATACATAATTATTTTTGTTATTTTGAATTATCTCAGGCATATTGGCAATGGTTGTTGTGGGTGTTGCAATTGGAATCGTTGTTGGTGGTATGTTCCTCTGCATGGTTGTTGCCTGTACAAAAACGTTAGCTGGATGTTGTTGTTGGTTGTTGTTGTTGGTTGTTGTAGTTAGTTGTTGCTGTTGCTATTGTTGGTTGTTGGTTGCTGTTATTGTTGGTTGATGTTGTTGTTTTTGTCCATTGAAATATTAAAAACATTGAGGATTTTAACATTACATATAAATGTTGGTTGTGTGCTTGTTGTTGCAAGTTTTTGGTTGTTGCATGAAGTCTGTTGCGCAATCAGTAAAACGTGTAAATATCTTAATCTATAAAGCGGTTTTTGGAAAGAGAATATCTGAAAAAATTTTGTAAACTTTATTTGTTTAAGACACAAAATTATTTTATCATTTCAAGAGTATTTTCTAATGAATATAAATAACATAATTTTAATGATGGCACAGAATGAAAATGTACACTCTTAAGTTTTTTAAACCACGTAAAAATAAAAAAAAACAATTCAGAGCAAGAAAGCGAAAAAGTTATTTCAATGAATGAGTAATTGAAAATCACACATTTCATGCATAATTGAATGAAAACACTTCGATTTACGTTTTTGAGTTTTTTTTTTGCAGTTCCAAGAAATGAAAATAAATGGCGAAAAAGTTTCGCGTTGTTTAATTAATGGAGGGGTGATTTAATTGGGAAGTCGAGCGTTGAAAGAATAGGATGTGATTGGATGTGATTTTGTACGTGAAATGAAAATTTTATTTCAATGAGATGCATTCGTCAAAATAATATTTTAAACTCAGTTGATTTTTATAATGATTGTTGTGTAATGATTTTTAGTGGTTGGCTCTTTTTTATGGTTAAAAAACCTATTGTTAAAAAAATTAACTCTTCAATATTTAATTTTTGAATGTTTGAATTTTAAATGTTTAATAGTTTATAGTTTTGTCACAACCATAATCATTTAATTAGTTTATAGCCGTTAGTTTTGTTACGCTGAATAAATGTTTGAAATCTAACTATTTATAAAGTGTGAATACAATGAAAGTTTCAACAAAAAATTTATACGCAACTGATTTCAGGTGTTCCTCCAACAACAGCCAACACGCCGCAGCAGAGTACCAGAGCATCCTGGTCAACAACAACATCAGCAGAATCAACAGCAACAACAATAACATCATCAGCAACAACATCATCAACAACAGCACCAACTGCTCTAACATTACAAACTCAACAACAAATAGTTGTAAATTCACAGAAATAATCGGACCTAAAAACGCTAACTTAGGAGCAAGGTGGCCCGCATCGAACACTGAGAAGATCGCCATAAATTCAAACGATCAATCTGCATTTGTGTATTCAGATGAGTGTGATTACCATAAGGACACCATTTACAACGACGCCCTGCAACGACATCTTCAACATCAACAGCTTCAACAACAGCAACAACAACAGCTTCAACAACAACAACAGCAACCATCTCAACATGAAATGATTGAATTTTTCCCAGTGTTCAAGAAACATGATTTCGACGTCTACCAGTATCCACCTCAACACATTTACGACACACACAACCGTCCACCGACATCTTCATTGCCATCAACAACAACAATCAACACAACATCAATATCGTTACTCCTAACAGCAACACCAACATCAACTAATCCTGAACAATTGTTGCATATTAACAACAAAAATGTCGGTGATTTTTCATGCCGCGCAAATTATCAGACGGCGGGCGCTCACATTTTTCAACAACCACAACAAGAGACAACACAAAAAGTTGATAACAAAACTACGACATCCTTCCTCTACGCCACAACAACAACGTCACACATTCCTACAAATCTGAATGAAGCCGCTACAGGGTCTAAAAACAAAAACCTCATGTACTCACCACCAATTCGTAATCAGTCGAAAGCTTACCAGAACAACAACAACAACTTAACAACAGCCGCAAACCTGAATGCATCAATTGATGTCATTTGCAACACGCATTGCTGCTGCACGTGCCAGGACGGTGGTGTCTCAACATTTGTTGGCAACGACATCAACATGAACGAGAACAGCAAATGCACATGTTTTGAACACTCCGACACAACTTTCAACGCGTTTGAAAACAAGTTTCTTCAGAGTTTTCAAAAGCTTAACAGCAACAACAGTAGCAGTAACATAAACAGTAGCAGCAACAAACCAGACTTAACTCAAATGAATAATTAATAGCCCAATTGCAACAGAACTTTGTACGTGTAATCTCCGGAGTGTACATATGCACTCCTGTTAGTGTTAACGTACCTAAATAACACACCTACTACGGCAGACGTGTGGGGCCATATTTTTGTGTGTATATGCGATCTACATCAAACGTTTTTTTAATTTTTTTAGATTTGTGCACGTTTATTTTGATCGATATTGTTAATGTAAAGTAATTTCAAGATATTAGTTACCTGATTCATATTATGGCTTGTTTGATTTTTGAAAATTTTGTGTCAATTGAATTCTAAACATCAAAACCAGAATAAATATTTTTTTAACAAGATGTTAAATTGATTCTATTTTTTAGTTTTTCACCTGCTAAATCTTTTCATGATACTAAATAAAAAAAAATCGTCAGTTTTTTCAAACTTAACGTGTCTCTAAATTACAACCTACAAAACTTATTGGGGTAAAAAGTGCTGATATGTTCACACATTTTGATCATACTGTCGTGTTTAATATATTTGAGTGTAAATATTTTTTAAGCGTTATCACATCTATCAGGCTCGTACGTAAAAAAATGCGTGATTGGTTTCGCCCATATGTTTCCAGTGTTTTCATCAAACAACGAATGAAAAATTAGAAAACCGTTTAAAAGGTGACAAAATATTTTGATGCCACCAAAATTTATAATGCTACCAAAATTTTCAATTGTAATTAACAATCCAAAAAATGGTTTGTAATAGAAAAATATAACAAACACTAAATACTCATTTAACTTTCAACGTAGCAGAGGCAAACCACACATGACGTCATAATGACATAACTGGTCAGTCAATCAAGAGCAGTTAAATCAATTGTAATGTCATTAATAAAATAATTCAGGTACGTGCGTGTATCGGCGTTCTCATATCTTATACATAATTTATATCAGACGTAAATACAATTTTCTTTAGACTGTCTATGATAAGAGAAAATGCCTATTCCATCTTCTATTCTATTGCTTTATAATATACATCTTTCTAGTAAATGTTCATTAAAAACAACATTGTATTGCGTAGTTGCAACCATTTACACGTTCTTCATTAAATTTGGTTCACACACAAACTAACTAATGAACAAACGAACGAACGAACGAACGAGCACAGTATATGAACAAACAAATCAGAAAAACTATTAAAAGTTAATTGCAACCAACGTCATATGTTTGCATTAATTGTAACCATCGTTTCACAAATGCATTCATGCTAAAATCTGTTAATAGATATCGACTGATTGTGAAAGACGGGCAGACCAAGCACAAACAAATGATAAAACTCAACTCGTGTTTGCCGTGTTTTCAAATACGACAATATTGATGATGGAAATCAAGATGACGACGATAAAACCACGGTGACGTGACTGTAAAAATAAGAAAGTAACCAAAAATCACAATTCGTTCTTTATTTGTCAATTGACATCGTTGAAGTTAGTTTTATTTCTAAATAAATTCTTTCTTCAATTGGTTATACGTTGTTATAGTGAATTGGAAAGTAGATTCTCAAACTGATACAAACATTTTAACAAAATTACGCTAAACACAACAGCTTAGAAAAACTAATTTTTATTCTTCAGACATTTGTTCGTTGATAAACAACCAAACATAGCAGTAAGATAACTCAAAAGTCTCCAACACCAACGCCAGCAACATGGACATGAATGTCGTCCCTGAAGCCATCCTCAACGAGAACACCGCTGTAGACAGAAGTAAATGTTTCCACGAAGATTTCAATTTCAGCAGTTACTGTGAGGATTTGAAGGAGAAAGATGCCAACTTGAAGAACGTTCATTTATCGTTAGTCACAACATGGGAGACCTTCCAGGACGGCACCACCTCGCATGGCTTTCCACAGTTCGGACGAGCTAAAGGTTATTTTTAATGAAATAAATGGTTATAGCAAAAAAAATGAAATTATTTTAATTATTATTAAAAAAGTTTTTAATATGAACACATTTTTGAAATTATAAATTTATTAAAATTCATGCATTTAGAAATGTATGAATCTAACCGTTTTAGATTTACGAAAATATTTGAATGCGATGGAATTTTACATGAAACACATATACCCATCGTTTAAGGTCCGTTCAAAAAGCTGTTGTGGCTGGTCGCAATCCTCGCTTGCTTGTGCGGCTTGGGCTACAATGCGAATCTTTTAGGTGGCATTTATTAATTTTATTCTTATTCAAAATCAAATTAAATTTTCTATTTTTTTCTGTAAATTATTATGTAAAGAATTTTATGAACTTTTCAAATGTTTAACGTTTAAATGTTGATACGCCAGTTAAAAGGTACATGCAGCATCAAGTGAATGTGAAAATTCTATTGGTTCACGAGAAGACCATGAAGTTTCCAGCTGTGACTATTTGCAACAACAACCAGATGAAAATCTCAAATCTCAAAAACAACTCACTTTTCATGAAAAAAATAAACATGTACAAGTTGGATATGAACACTCGTCATCGATCGTGCGTTTCTTCCTCCTCCTCCTCCAAGATCGAAACCACTTCCACTCGAGCAGCACCCACAACAACCACAATGACAAGAAACTTCACTCCTGGCAGTGAATCCTTATTCTTAAATATTTCAAACCTTGATTGCAACCAAAGATACGGCATAAAAATTGTTAAGAATAACAACATGACTTTTTATTATCCAAACAACACAACCCCCCAGATGAACTGTAGTCATATTTCCAATAACGATAGTGAATGTTGCAGTGGTAACAGTGTGCAATTGAACGATACCACGGAGGATGGATTGGAAGTAACAGCAGTCCTCACAGCTGCTCACACGACTCTTCATACGACCACTGTGCAACCTGCAAGTGAGCGGTCAAGTCAATTTTGGTCTTCCTTATTTTGCTTTGTGCCAAAAATATTTTCTAAATTTAAAACCATTCACAGTTTTTTTTTGTAATTTTAAACATTTTATTATGATAGAAAATAATTTTAAAAAAAGTTTTTTTACAAAATTTTCAAATGAAATTTCAGACGTGGACTGCCAAACAGACAACGATTACTCTGAAGAGTCACAACAGCAACGTGGCGACTTCAAACTTACGAACCAGGTGGTGGAGCAACTAATGACCATGGAACAAACTGACCGGAAGAACAAAGGTCACCAGTTGGAGGACATGATCATTGACTGTTCCTACGCTGAAGGACAATGCAATTTAGATTAGTGCTATCAATTGTTACATCCAAATTTAATTCAATACAATGTTTAAAATGTTATTGCATGAAACATGTTCGATACCGTTTTAACATTAGTTTATAACTGTGATTCTGCGCTATCAATGAAATGAAAATTTGTAAAGTTGAAGAACGTGACAGAAAAATTGAAAATAAATAATATTATTGTTAAAATATCATGAGATGCTTATTAGTTTTCGTTTTGACTGAATTCAGCACATAAGGACTTCAATTATTTCTACAACAACTACCATGGAAACTGCTACACATTCAATAGTAAAAACGTTGGAAAAATTTCCAGAAAAACTGGTCCAAGATACGGTTTATAGATAATTAGATAATTTTTTTTTATTAAACCAACTATTTTCAATCATACATTTCAGAACTATTGCATAATGAGATAATGTATTTCAAACAAAAACTAATATCATTGGATGTAGACTATTTTGTGTTAAACTATGTGTCATTTTTTTATTAAAAAATTATTTAAATACGATAAATTCAATTATTATTTTAGAGAAAAAGTAAATTAATCTTGCATGGTGAATTTTCTGCAAATTTCAATTTGGTGATCTCTATAACATGCATCATTGAACGAGCATTACTGACTAACAGGGAGTGCAGTGTTCCGAGAAAAATTACGTTTTTTGTACCCTTACAAAGCTAAAATAGGTTAAAATAATGAAAAATGTAGGACTTTCGATAATTTTCAACGTGGAGCAGTCAGAATACATCGGAGAGACGACACATTCGGCAGGTTTGAAGGTGGTTGTTCACCAGCCGAGCCGCATGGCCTTCCCAGAAGATGATGGCATCCTTGTGTCTCCCAATGCTCTCACTCATATTTCAGTCACCATGGTCGGATCATAAATTGTTGTATTTGCAGTTTTCATTAAGGAATTATAATAACCTAAACGACAAATTAGAAAAATATATCGGCGAATTGATTTGGATAGTCCTTACATTCGCTTGAAAATCATTCGACTAAAGCAGGGGTGGGCAAACTACGGCCCGCGGGCCGCTTTGCAAAATAAGGTTGTCAGCCGGACATTATGACCCAAATAGTAAAAAATCTTAAAAAAATTTGTTATATAAGTCGAAAAAATTTGTTATATAAGTACATATGCGGCCTTTCAAAAGTAAAATATTTCTCAATGCGGCTGTTACAGCAAAAAGTTTGCGCACCTCTAAACTAAAAGCATTGTTTTGTTCTAAAATACATCAATAAATTTAAATTATATTTTGTGCATAGGTGCCAATTTAGAGAAAGAGTCAAATTTTGTAATTCAGTAATTTTGGAATTAATTTGGTAATTTTTTTAACAATTTTTAATTTTTCCAGAGTAAAACAAAAAAAATGAACGGGTTATATGGGAATTGTACAGACGAGAATGAGCCAGGTAAGGAGCCGACCATGTATCAAAAATATTTTAACGCTTCCTACTGCGAGAAGGTTAATTAAAGTTGTCAGTTTTCTTGGAATTTTTATTTGAATTAAATTTGCATTCACAAACTTTTGAAATTTCAATAGTGTTAAGTTTAAATTATAAAAAATTCTTTTCACAGGGATGTTTATTTACGTGTTTGAATGATGAAATAATAAAAACCTGTGGTTGCATCGACACGAAGTTTCCTCTCGTTAATAAGAAAAACAGCACCCTTCAGCCGTGTTCAGTCGATAACGACACTTCAAGTCAGTTTAACTTTAAATAAATATTTCTATTATTGAATCGGATCAGTCTAAAAAATCAAATTGTTTTGTGTTATCAATCGTTTCAAAATGTAAAAACATACAATGAAACCATGGATTGTAAATCAAATTACAACTTCAAATTAACACCAGACTAAACATTGGACATGTTATTAAATTAAACAAAAATTATTTTTCTGCGGAACATAATTAACACAAATTTTTGAGTTACGATTTTATTCAGGTACAGATTTATGCGGAAGTGATTTTTTGTTGAGTGCCCATGACATCATCAATTCATCTCATCATCATGACGTCATCATCTCATCATCATGACACCATCATCTCTTTCACTCACTACTTGGTAGACTAAGTTAATTACGGCTTCGTTATTGAATCATTTTCATATCCAATTACTTTATCCATTGCAGCAAAATGTTCTAAAAAGATATGGGAGGAATATGAAAAAGATGGCCTGCCTTGTAATGCAGGTTGTACCATCTCCTGCAGGTGGGTATGTTACGCTATGAGTCATAATTTCAGTAACCAACTGATCAGAACGCCTCAAATTAAATTTGTAATATTTAATATCTTTTCGATTTTACACCAAATATTTATTAGGCAGAAATACCCAACATAGCATAACTCCACTAGCTGGTTTGAATGGATTTTTTGCCATCTAAGTGACATTATACAATAGTGACATTAAAAGATAGTTTGATAAAATTAATTGTCGCTCAAATACTATTGAATTAAATCATTTCACTTCACAGACTTCACGCATGACGATGAATAATGAAACATTATTTATAAGATTAATATGTTTTATTGATTTTATAAAAAAAATTCAATTCATTTATATGATATACTGAAATAAGATTCTTTGTAATGAAAGCACTTAATTGCAAAATTAACTTTGCGTCTGTTATCTTGAATTTTTAGTGAAACTCTCTACAAACCCGTTATAAGCAGAGAAATTTGGCCTTGTAAAAATTATCTGGTTAGTTAGTGTTTTTGACCAATTTATACCATAAATATAAATAATAAATCTAGATATACAATAAAAAATAAATATAAATAAAAGTTGTTGTTTAATTCTAATTAGATGGCTAATAAATTATTATCGTAAATGAAAATAAAAAATGCGATTGAATGAATTCCTATGAAGCCGTGTAATTACCTATATCGTAACATTTTCTACATTTCTTTCTTATGTTTTTCGTGTTCCTAAGTTTTTAAATCTACATTGCTGTTTATGTTTCATATAAGCTTGTATTTGATCTTATAACTGAAAACAAACTGCATCCGTTATCTTTCTTCAGAAAGAGATGGAGAAATTGAATAGAAATATTTACAACCGTTACAACCAGAGCGGACAGGACCTGGGGCAGTTCATCGTCTTCATTCAGGATTTCAGCTACACCAGCATCGAGGAGTCACCGGCTTATGAGGTGGATTTGTTACATTTCTTCATTAATAGGATTAAAATATAAATAATGTCCAAATAGCTTTTTTTCACTTTTTATATAAAAATTTTGTTTCGTAACATGTAACACCAAAATGTTCCATTTTTTCGGTAATTTTTACAATTTGTATTTTCACGCCATTTCATTTCTTCTCTGCACCAACATTAATTTCATGGAAAAGGTTCAGCAATTCAGTTCGGACATAGGGGGCATATTGGGTCTTTACATCGGATTTTCAATACTGACCATTGCTGAGTTTGCAGAACTGGCTATTGACATTTTGGCAATTGTTAGCTATCAAGTCCTTGTCAAGATTAAATCAATTGTTCTAAACTGGAAACGAGAGAAAAGAATACAGAATTGCAATCGCGTTAATCCTATTAAAAGTATATTTATTTGTTTTAATATATACTTCATTAAAATACAGATACTTTAATATTTGATTATACTGATATAAAACTAAGTTATTGGGATTGCATTCAAATCTGTCAATTAAATTATATAGAAATCTCTGTTACATAGCAATGTATAACGCGTTTTTGCGATTCTTGTCAACAAGATTTTTGTTAAAGAAAAGTCAAACTTCATCGTCTTTTACAGAAACACTGCGATCTAATGAGTTTTTGTTTTATTAATTTAGAACATAAAACCATTCCTCTAGTACGGAAAATTTATCTGGAACAGAAAAACTTAAGATTTTGAAAATTCCTTCAAGCTTCAGTAACAAAGAAATGCAAATGAGAAATTTAAGCAAAATCTCTAATCCAACGAAAACATGAACTAAGTCAAAATGAAGCCTAATTGGAAAATTTTAGAGCTAAATAAGATATTATAATTGGTGTGGTGGAAAAATAGCGGCAAGTTGTAGGGCACATATTTTTTATAGCAAACTAATTCCAATTTTTAAAAACTAATCAAAGTAACGTAAATTTTGTGGAAGGATTTCATTTAAAAAATGTTTGTTGTTCGAAACGGAAGCCCTTATCTTATTATCAAGCACTTATTATTATCACTGCAATGAACTTAAAATAAACTTCTAATATAAAATCAATAGTTTTAAATTTATAAATAATTTCATTTGAAGGATTCCGCTGTTCAGTGAAGATGATAAACATGGAGGAAGAGGAGGAGGAAGAAGAAGAGGATTACCAGGTGGGTACCCTTGGTGGGCCTCGCGCTGGTAGAGAATGTTCAGGGAGGAAGGCCCATGATAAGCAAGATATGACTCCAGTTCATATTTAACAATTGATTTAATAAACCATGACATTGCTATAAAAGATTATTATAAACGATTTATTGTTAAAGTTTAACTTTAAAGTTAAAGTTTATTCTTAAAAACAGACTTTTTTTAACTATTTTGAAATCTGCTATAAAACATGATTCAATTTCACACAATTTTAAATGTTTAAATTTTCAGAGCTTTTTTATTTTTTCTAATATTTAGACAAACTCAAATGCTTGAAAACTGTCGTGACTTTATATCTATTACAATCTTTTAATCAAGTAATAAATGAAAAAAACGTTTAAAAAAATAATTATTGAAATATTTGATTTTTTGAAATTTGAACAGACTGTAAACTTGATTGAAACTAGTAGCTTGTTAATTATATTATAAAAACTAACAAATTAAAGAACAATTTCTTTTTCGGTTTAATTGATGTAAAACTTCATAACTCTCTTTTTTGTAATTTTAAACTGTTTAAAAATTGATTTTATTTCCAACCATATTTCATAAAAATTTAAACCTTTGATTTTAATCTTAACTTCAAAATCATTTATAACAGCCTGAATTTGATTTATATTTAGAGGAAAAAACTATAATTTTACTCAGCACTTTTAAAACCAACAAATGATATATAATTAAATGAATGATTCTGAACAAATCAAATCACATTAATTATGATCGTCTGCTTATTGTTTTACCAGACACAACTTATTTATATTGACTAGGTCTGTACGACAAATGGGTAGTCATTGAAAATATATTGTTTGAATGATTGAGTGACCGAACGAGTGAGTGAGTGAATGAGTGAATGAGTGAGTGAGTGAGTGAGTAATTGAGTGAGTGAGTGAGTGAGTAACTGAGTGAATGAGTGAGTGAGTGAGTGAGTAAAACTCGAATTAATTAAGCAGTTAACAAATAAATAAAAGTAAACGAATGAATGAATGAATAAACAAATAAAAAAATGAAAATAAATGAAAGAATTACGAAGCGAAAGGGTATATCAGTGTATTAATGAAGGGATGAATAAAGGAATGAACAATAAATGGACGAACAGATGAATAAATGCACGGTCTAATAAATGAATGGATGAATGAATTAACGAATGAAAGCATAAATCAATGTTAACGTGATGGACGCAAAGACAAAGGCTTTTAAACATTTACTAAATTGGGAGTAGTGCAACTCAAAATTAATGGGGGAGGGGGCTACTGACAACAAACAGTTGTATAAATGATAAAAAGTCGTCAATGACATTTTAGAATAAGTCATTTCTCTTTGTAATTTTTTAAATTTTTTAGTGCTATCAGATGTACATGGGAGACGAAGAAAAAAAATTAGACAAAATAAACAAGAATAAATTTTTGTTTCAACTGAGACTTATTTGAAAATTTTAAAAACATTTAATTGTTTTGCGCTAAAGTTTGCTCATTGATGACCAACACTCATAAATATAATAAAAAGTTTATCATAGAATGGCAATAGAACCTAAAATTAAACAAGACTGTTTTCTTTATACTTAAGCAGTAACAATCAGAGATAAAATGGAAATTCAACGTCCAGATTCTAAACAGCCAGACAGCAGCATGGCAACAAGCGTTGTGCTTATCAAGCCGAAAAACACCAACAGTACTTTCTGCGAAGATTTTGATTTAAAAGACTCAGGAATTACATTTAAAGAAACCCCGACCTCCAACAACGTGTATCTTTCCATTGTGTCAACGTGGGAGACCTTCCAATCTGTCACAACCTCTCATGGTCTACCGCACTTTGACCGAACTAAAGGTTTCTATTTGAAAAATTATTTTGATGCGTTTTTTCATGTGCACCTGGTTACGAGAATTTTTTGAATTAATTTACGGTTAATGTTTAAAGCAGATAAGCTGTAAAAACATTTGAAGTATTATAGTTTAAACGACATTTGTAAAATAAATGAAGCAAAACTGATACGGTTCAAAATGCTCAATTGTATAAATTTATTTAAGGACCCTTTAAAAAGACGCTATGGTTGTTAGCCACGATTGCATGTCTATTTGGTTTGCGCTTCAATGCTTTTTTTCTTTGTTAGTAATTTTTAACTAAATTTATCGATATAATTTAAATGTTGATTAACTTCAAATATTTGTTAAACAATAATCATGTATATTTATCTCTTTTTAATCAGAAATTGCTTTTATAAACGTTTTACATTGATAAAATTTGAATTAATTTTTGACAGAGGGTTAGGCAAGGGGGCTTTGGGGCTGAACCCTCCACACAATAAAAACTTTGCTAGGATTAAAATAGATTTAAACAAAATTTATAAATAAATTTATAAAAATTTGTGTTGAAAAATATTTCAGGCCGACCAAAATAAAATTAAGTTAAGTTTTGCACAAAACAACGGTGTTTGATAATAAAATTTGTCAACAGTTGTGTGTGTAAAAGAAAGAAAAGGTTTTCCTATTTTGAATGAAAGTAATTTTACCATAGCCACGCCACTAATTTTTATTGATCATTTTGACAAAATATTCTTGTTATAAAACAAATTTCTAGGTGGCAAGTTTCTGAATTATTCAGTGAATGTGGCAGTGCAGTTGAAACGTTCGAGTATCATGAAGTTTCCAGCTGTCACTATCTGCAACAACAATCCAATTTTGAAAACGGAATTTGATAATATGAAATCAATGGTAAAGATACTCAAATCATTGGATGACAAAATGAAGATTTCTATCTGCATCGAAACTAACCCAGAATTCCATCCACCTACTCCAGCCCGACCAATTTATTATGGTTCTTTAAATGATTCTCTTATCGATAGCACATTTGACAGTGCAAGTCGGAGTACAGTGGAACAAACTACTACAGCCACGTTATCTCCATTACCAGGTTAACCAATATTTATGTTTCACAGCTATGTCGTTTCCATTAAGATCATTGAAAAATAAATATTTAAATATTTAACGATATGTCGAAGCTGAAAGTTTTTGATTTCATGCATTCTATTTTTTCTTTTTATAATGTGTCAAACCATTAAAATAAATTGTAAATATTGTTATATTGATCGCTCTTCACCGTTCTACAACGGTTACTGAACGAACAACGTAGTTTGTTCTTGGGGAAATTTTTTCTGTTCCTGTAAACTCGCTTGCTCAACGTTAAATAACTCGAAATTGTTCGTGTACATAAAATAATGATAGATGACTTTAACTAAGTATTAGTTATTGTTTGAAATGTTATAAAGTTTAATAATCAAATGAGAAACAACTCACCCATTATTGTTAATAATATTTGTATTGTTTCTGTTGTAATTAAATGTATTTATTATAACAAAATAACAAAATTTAAACGAAGAATTAAAATGAAAATAATAATAATAATGTGTAAAAGAAATAACTTTAACTCTCAACTTAACTCTTAACTTTTGTGCTCGTCTATTATTTATCAGGAGATTTTGCTTCCTAGAGTTTAACTAATTGTCTAACTCTTTCCAATCAGTCAGTCCCTATTGAATGTCACCTCATTCTTATTATACAAAGTATGCTCTGATTAATTATACTTACGTTATATTATCTTATATTAAGCTGTTTTATGTCTGTAAATTTGCTGTCTCGTCGTGAACTATTATTATAACTTAACCATCATTATAGTTACATTACATACCCACTTTAACACATATACAACTTATATTTACTTAATTATACCTCCTAACCTAAATAATCATCTACATAATAAGATATCACTGCCGGTAGTTGCACTTACAATAATGCTACCACTGTTTATTTATTAAATTATATATAGATATTATTTTTAAACTTAGAGTTTTAGTTCATTTTTATATTATTTGACAGACTTTTGAATATAATTGTGATGATACCGGGATATTGTACAAAATATGTATTTGCCATGCCTTTATTATTATATGCCTATAAGCTCAAAACTCTGCAAAAAGTTTCCCAATGACCGAACGAAATGTAGATGAAGTTTTGAAATTGTCCATCAATGTGACACAAAACAATAAACAATTCATGCGTATAAATCACGTAAGTTCCTCCATCCATGTAAATCGCCACAAGCTTTCAACATACTTGTAAAGAATAAAAATTATTAGTTTTAGGGTATTGTGTGACGCCAATGAATTTAAAAAAAATCAAATAAATGTTAAGGAAACGAACTTTAGACAGAATCGAATGTGAGCAGTCATTGAAAAACTTGAAAATATTTGCACTGAATCAGATTGCAAGCAGTACAATGGAGTGACCAACGACGGACGCCAGCAACGTAGCGACTTCATCCTCTTTAACAAACTCATTGAGGAATATTCCTTACTAACAGACGAACAAAAAAAGATTGGTGGTCATACGTTAGAATACTTGGTGCTCGAGTGTTATTTCGCCGGAGGAAAATGCGATTTAGATTAGTACTTTGTTACTAGTTTTTTTCAAAAATATTCATTTTTGAATATTTACATAAATATTTGCTCATACACGTAAGGATTTCAAACATTTTTTCAACAACTACCACGGAAATTGTTACACGTTCAATTATGGTGTTAACTTGGCTGAGAACTCGACGTTGAAAGTTTCGAAAAAAGCTGGTCCCAGATACGGTAACAAGAGTTATTGAATTGTTGACACGTTTAAAAAAGGGGAATAATGAAATAACTGTAATTGTATTATATTAATTAAAAAAGCTATGAAAGATATGCTTCAGGTAACATTTGCTGCATCAAATTTGACGCAACAGGGTTATCCATTTTGTTTTACGCGAACCAGTTTGAATACATCGGACAAATCAGTCAGTCAGCAGGATTGCGAGTGATCGTTCATGATTCCATGCGCATGCCCTTTCCGGAAGATGACGCAATTCTCGTCGGTCCGCAGACTCTCACTCATATTGCAGTCACAGTGGTCATTATGAACAAACTTTTCAATTAGTCAAAAAAATGTTTTGATCGTATGACAGTGAAATTTGAAATAAAATAACTTATATTATTCAAAAAATGAAACTGCTATATAAACATTGATATTCCACAGACAAAAACAAAAAAATTAAACGGTCTATATGGAAATTGCCGCAGTGAAGACGACCATGATAGCAGTCCCACGTTGTATCAAACGCTCTACAATGTTTCCTACTGTCAAAAAGTTGGTTATTTCTGTTTCTAAAAGCATTTTGTCAAACTCAATTGTTCACAACAACCTACAACGAGCTTTTGCATAAATTGTCTGCCACGAAATATTTCCAGGGATGCTTATACACGTGTCTGAATGAAGAAATATTACAAAAATGTGGCTGCTACGATTTAAAATTTCCATTGACTAAAAATGTGCGCTCCAGTACAAGCCCGTGTTCCTTTAACAACGAAACAATGAGTGAGTTTGCCAACAGGATATTTAGCTCAAAATAATTTTGAACATAATTTTTAAGCAATATTTAAAACGTAAAACTGTTGTTTAAAAACATTTATTCATTCGTTGCTTACAAAATCATCTAATTAAGCGGCATGCGCCAATAAGGTGTGGAAAGCTTACGAGAACGAAAGTCTTCCTTGCAATTTGACCTGCCCTCTGCCATGCAGGTTTTTTCCACATTTGGTCTAATTATGATTTGTACCAAAATGTTATTTTCAGTTTTTTGTATGTGTTAAATTATAAGGGCGTCAAGCCCTGTTTTAGAAAAAAATTCTGTTTACGGTTAATTTTTCAACAAGTTAAATTTAAAGTAATGGTTGTAAACCTAAATATCTTGATGCATCGCTAACAACATTTTACAATTAAATAAATTTTCTGTAGATTTTAACATTATTTGTGATGTACGAATTATAGTAATTTTAGTGAAATATTTTAAATTAACGTTGTAACATAAAGTAAAGCAAATTAATACGATTTAACCAAATTCTTGTTGGTTGAAAATTTTAAGGAAAGCATTTTACTAGAGAAATCATTTATAATCCAGTTATAAGCAGAGAACTCTGGCCATCTGACAACTTCCTGGTAAGTTTGTTCAATTTTAAACTTTGTTTCATGACTATGAGACTGAGACATAACCTGGAAAAATCCAACAATGAAATATTAGGGAAGTAAATTGCCAAATCAAGTAATCAAAATATAAATTTACTTAATGTGAACATAACAAATCTCTACCCAACAAACTCAATTTATTCTCAATTCAATTTAATTACTCCATTCAAAAACAACTAGAACCAAAAGAAATTTGATAAATAACATTGACATTGATCGTTTTTAATAATCTCACATTCCACAAAAGTGAGCTTAGTAACAAAAATAAGTTAACTAGAAGAAAAGCTTGAACAAAACAAGGAAATGGTGACAAAAAATAAATGCTTAAATTCAATCATATCAGACGTATCTGGATATTCCAAAATGTTTTTATGTTAACCAAAAAAATGTTTGAAAAATACATTACTCAATATTCTCATAAACGCTTTAATATAGTAAAAAAATATATATATTTCAGTTGATAAAAATAAAAATTTAATTAAATACAGTAACGATCATAACAAAAAAAAAATTTTAGACGGTAATGGCCTCCATACCGCGTTACGAAGTCCACGCGCAAGATATAAACATAATGGGAAATCGTGATTATGGACAGTTCGTTGTCTACATTCAAGATTTCAGTTACATTGAAATCGAAGAGACGCCAGCAATAAATTCATAAATGAGAAATTTATGCGAATTATTGTAGAACTGCATTCAAGAACTGGAAAAGTTTGCTTGTTGAATCAAAACTAGTTTCATTTGTGATTTAACTGACTTATCATCATTTTAATTTTTGCGTACGTTCTTATAGGTTCACGTGTTTATATTCAGTTTAATTCTGTTGATACTGATTTTGCTAATCCAATCTCTAACAATCCAGCTTTCGTCAGGTTGGCAAACAGCAGTTCTCTGGTTTCCATACGTGCGAAGCCGAGTACTATTCGGAAAATTTTTTACTCAAAACTTCCTTATCCAGTTTACCAACTTTACTAAACCAGCAAAATAATAATTTATCATTTGTTAATTGTTTATTTGGAGCTTTCGCCATTTTGAAAAAATTGTTCGTAGTTGAAGCCTTCGCTTATTATCATACAATGGGCTACAATCAGACGCACGCTGTTATTCAATATACGTCAGTGTGTGAGTGCATATGCATGTGCGTGTGTGTGTGTGTGCGGTGTGTGTAATGAAAAATGAAAACAAACTATATTAATGACAGTTATACCAACAACAGCCAAATGTGAACAAAAAAAATAAATTGAGCTGATAAATTGTGGAAAATGTCAATAACATGTTACTGGTTCAATACTCATTGTATTCACGTTCATGTTGTCGGTTGCATTGTTTTAGAATGCTATGTATTCAATAATAATAACATTATCGCTGCATTTTGAAAAAAATTTCCAAACAATTCATCCAAATTATAGTTGCTAATATCAAATGGTTGGTATATTTGTATTGTGAATGATATCAGCTGATACCAAGCTTATTCAGTTCAGCAGCAAGTTAGCTGGTCTAACAAATTTATTGTTTTTTAGTCGCTTACTTTTACTTGAAACTTATTTAATTTGTTGTGTTTTGTTAAAAAATGTTACTAAAATTTGTTTAAACATAATTCAAGCTTCTAATAAAATTTTTTAAATTATTGTTTCATTCTTTTGGATTTTTAGTATTTGTATTTTCATGTTATCTCGTTTTAATGCGTCCGTATCTTAAACTTCAGTTACATGACAACTTTTCTGTACTGGTTTTTAGAATCACAGGTGTGTTATTAATAAAAGTATTATCATTAAAATTTCAAATCATAGTTTTTTCAACGCATTTTTCAGCAAATCAAAAGCGCAAATAAAAATAAGCAACAAACATTAGTGACTAACACAACCTTTTTTTACTTTGAGGCAGTTGATAAGTGCAAATCATTTAAGATCAAATCCGTTGTTCATATCTCTAACATGTTCGTGCGTACGTACTTAGGCTACGAATTATTCCTGGTTATTAACCTGAATGCACGGCATTGACTCTCAGTCAAAACTTGAGCCCGAATATTGATCAATAAAAGTTGTCTAATTATGCTAGTCAATTTCAAATGCCAGGTAATATTACCGAGGCGGAATATTTTTTTCAATAAAAAGTTTTACTAGCTGTTACATTTGTGTCTTTCCGTGGTCTGGAATGGAAACAATTTCAAACTTTGGAAAAGTTTTTATTACAACTGATCGTGTTTCATTTCTATCAAAATATTTTTTAATTTATAATAAACTAATTTTTTAATGTTTTTTTTATAAATTTGATTACAACAGAAATAAAACAAAACTTTGACATCCCGATTTAAAAAAGTTAAATAAATTTTAACTTATTAAACAATCACCGCTAGGATGAAGATGCCGTACTCTGAAACTAAAGAACCATCCAGTGAGGAAGTGAGGAGCGTGGTAATTGACGTACCTGAAAGCACCAACAACACTTTCCACGATGATTTTAAATTCAAAGACGCAAGGAGTACTTTGAAAGAAACTCCAGCCTCCAATAATGTGAATTTGTCCATTATATCAACGTGGGAAGCCTTCCAATCTGTCACAACATCTCACGGTTTGCCGCACTTCAGTCGAGCGAAAGGTTTCCTCTTCAAATTTTTTGTTTTCAAAGTTTAAGTTAATAACTAAGTCACGGCATACTTCAACTATGCTTTCAGCTGTTGTTTAAAATAATGAAAAATTTTATTTCTACCAAAAACATTACTTCGCACTGCTCAAAACATAGAGTAGTCGAAGTTGTAATTGTTTACTTCAAAAAAATAATTCACAATTATTTATTTTTATAAAAAATTTAAGAATTTCAATTTACATTTTTTATAAATAATAATTAAATTAAATCTTTCAAGGTCCGTTCAAAAAAACACTCTGGTTGTTGGTTACCCTGGCAGGTCTTGGAGGACTGATATTCAATGCCTATCTACTTTGTTCGTATTCGTTGCTATCAAGTATTCTACAAACATAAAATTAAAAATAATATCGGATGAGTTAAATGTTTTCAAAATATTTTAAATAACTTGTTAAATATTTTTAAACCGTCTTTTATGCAACTAAAATATTTAGTTTATCTATATTTTTAGTAAAAACATATAACATATTGCTTAAAGAGAGATTGGTGTGATGTAACTTAACATATCGTAAAATGAAACTAGGCAGTAAATTCCTGAATTATGAAGTGAACGTGGCTGTTCAGTTGAATCACGCCAACACAATGACTTTTCCAGCAGTCACCATCTGCAACAACAATCCAATCCTTAAACATTTTTTTGATAAGTTTCAACCTTTGAAGGAAACCCTGACATCATTCAATGATAGAGTGAGAAGTACCACCTGCGATGAAGTAGATCCGCTTACTCCCGTTGACGACCCACCCACGACTCCGATTTTTGATTTTGGCTCATCCGCTCCTGGAAATACAAGATTTACTACTTTGAATCCAACCATCTTTACAACTGCAACTCGGGATGTTGTCAACCATACAGTGAATCAAATCACAGTTCCCGATACTACAGCTACACCTTCAGGTGAGTCGCAATTTGAATTTTAAACTATTTATTAAATCTTGTTCAAGTGTTAAAATTCTGAACTTCAAAATTAAAGTAATAACTCTGTTTTATTGTAATACCGCCTCGAACTAGTATAGAGGTATCCATAATTTACTTTGTAAAGTGGTTTTAAATTTCACCAAAAATGTTTTTTAAAATAAATTATATCTAAGCTATGTAGTGAGCGTGTATTTGGTATAATTTTCTAAAGAATTATCGTTCAATCTTTCAGTACGCAAGCGAACTTTCAACCGGACAAGCAGACGAATATATATATATATATATATATATATATATATATATATATATATATATATATATATATATATATATATATATATATATATATATATATATATATATATATATATATATATATATATATATATATATGCGGTCAAAACCGACAAAAAAAAATTTTATTTAATTTGAGCTTTTTGAATTATTTTTGGAAATATTTTCCCGCTAAAAAATTATGAAGTTTTTAGCAAAATTAAAATTAATTTAATGACTACGTAATTATGTCAAAAATTAATAGATTTCATTAACTGTCGTCCCGTCATGTTTGTGTAATAGAAAATCGAGCATTGTTAATTGGTTTCTATTGAGAACACCCAAGAAACGTGTCATGTTATTTAAACTTGCTTAATTTCAACGGATAGCAAGTTATAAACTTGAGTCGCTTACTTTATAAATTTTAAATTTTAATTTCAAAATTGCTTACATGGCCAATCTTTTTGAATGCAAATTTGAAATCATACATATCAATTAATTTTTGTGGTCCGTGTTAACAGAATTTTGAGTCAATTTTGTTGGTAAGAAATTTTAAAAAATTTTTCATTAGAGAAAGAGTTTTTAAACACATAAACGTTTAAATTTGAACTTGTGATTAACTGATTACCAAAACTTCACGATGAAATTTGTCAATAATTGTGAAACATAACAAAATTGTTTTCCTCTTGAAACATTTTACGTGCACTGTTGTCAACAGGGTAAGGCAATTTAAAAATTACGTTATTAATTAACGAACGTATTTTAAACAAGATTGGCTACTTTTCAACAATAAACTAGATTGCAACCAATACGATGGAATCACAGACGATGGTCGCCAGCAGCGTAGCGACTACAAACTCTTCAACCAGGTCATGGAAGAAATTTCAAAACAAAATGCATCAACAAAAAAGCAAAGTGGCTACGATTTAGATAGCATACTTGTAAATTGCTTTTTCGCCGGAGGAAACTGTAATCAAGATTAGTGCTATATCTTTTGAATTTTTAAATTTTATTGAAAAGAACATTTGTTATATCGATAGTGAGATTGACATTTGTTTTATTAATTCCCAATAAATACGTTAAATAAATGCTAGTTTAGTCTAATAACATTTTGCTAATAAATTCATAATGATAAAAATGTATAAATTAACAAATGTACTTACTTGAACAGAGCTTTTAAAATGAAAGACCATGTTATTTTATTTAATTGTATTTTTAAACATAGTTGGCAATAAGATATATGTTTTTTCTCAAGCACACAGGGATTTCAAATATTTTTACAACAACTACCATGGAAATTGTTACACGTTCAACTCTGCTGCTGCTACGGGTCCAAACTCAACCCTGAAAATTTCAAGAAAATCTGGTCCCAGATACGGTATTTGAAAACGTTATTGTCGATATTTTTCTTTATGATAAGTGTTTGTTATGAAAAATAATTTTTTTTACCTTTTTTGAAAAACAAAATGGAAACAATCTGAAATTAAATATTCTCTCAAATAGCATCTGATAAAAAAAACTAAATTTTAAGAAATTCAATTATCATTAAAACTTTAAAACAAAAGGATTGTCCATTTTGTTTTACTTGGCTCAAGATGAATATGTTGGACAACTGGCCCAGTCAGCAGGGTTGAGAGTGGTCGTTCACGATCCCAAACGCATGCCCTTTCCAGAAGATGAAGGTATCCTTGTGGCTGCGAACTCTCTAACTCACATTGGAGTTACCATGGTAATATAATGTTTTTTGCATTATTTAATTATAAAATGATCTCAAATGATTCGAGCGAGGTTTACATTTGATGAACGTTTAAAAAACAAACACACTATGAAATATTTAGTGCATAATCTTACAGACACAAACAAAAAAACTGAACGGCCTGTATGGAAATTGTAGCAGTGAGGACGATACGGACAGAAGTCCAACTTTGTATCAAAAACTTTTTAAAGTTTCATACTGTCAAAAAGTTTGTTATTTCTGTTTTGGTATACAGGTATAGCAATAAATTTTTGTTACGCTTCCAACATTTTTCAAAAATAAGTTAATGTAAATTTGATTTTCATATTTTATAAATTTTCACGGAATTGGTGTTAATAGCTCATATTTCGCTTATAAAATATCTAGGGTTGTTTGTACACGTGCTTGAATGACGAAATTTTGAAAAATTGCGGCTGTTTTGACATAAAATTTCCATTGGACGAAATAGTGCGTACTAGTTTTAACACATGTTCCGTCGCCAATGAAAGCCTAAGTAAGTAGCTGAACATGAGTTATTAACTTTTGACAATTTATTTAATTATTAAACATTTATTTAAACTTTTAAATGCTGGTTTAAACGTGCCTTTTTAAAAAATATATTCACCGTATAAAAAACACCAATTGTAGCAACATGTGCTAATAACGTATGGAAAGCTTACGAAAATGAAAGTCTTCTTTGCAGTTCAAAATGTACTGTTCCTTGCAGGTTAATTTAAAAATTTATCCCTTTTTTTCAAATAATGCAAAATTGAAAAATTTACATTATTTTGAAAATTATATAAAATTATTTTAGTTTTTTATTTTTTTAAATTCTAATTCGAAACACAAACTATCACACAAGGGAGACCATTTATAAGCCAATTATAAGCCGAGAAAATTGGCCATCCAGCAATTATTTGGTGAGTTTTATTTATTAAATTTTTCAAATAGCTATATTCTGATGTCTGTGTAAGACTAAATAATGATTAATAATAGTTAATATTTTCCATTAATTATTTAAATGTTCGTGATTAACATTGAAAACTATTGATTCGCGATTAATATTTAAAACTATTGATTCGAAACATTTTTAGGCAGATATTCAGAACATACCAAGTTTAAGAAAAATAGCTAAATACTTATCAGATTATGAGGGGGAACGTGATTATGGTCAGTTCATCGTATACATTCAAGATTTCAGTTACACTACCATTGAAGAATCGGAAGCGTACCAGGTTAAATGAAAAAATAAATGCACCAGAAATAATGCGAAAGTTTAAGTTTGAGTTTATTTTCTCCAACTGCGATTGCTTCAGGCATATTACATGACACATATGCAACGCATTTGAGCCTGCATGGAAACTACCACCTCACACTCGGCATAGATAGGAGAGGATCTTTTCGCATTCAAACCAAGTTACTGCAATGTCAATCAGGCGCTTCTAACCGATGAGCCATCGAGGCGTCAATCACCGAATGCCGTCGTTGGCTCACGTTTGGCAAAGGAGTTTAAAAATATCGGCGAATAAAACTAAAACACTTGGAAATGTATATAATGTCAGTAAAGGGATGAAATGTGAGCGTTTGACATGTCGATTATTTGAAAACCATCTGCATCGAAACTTCATCCATTTTTCTCATTGGTTCGCGAGGATGGAGACCGACAAATTGATTGTCGAAATGTCGTCTAAATAAACTTTAATAATGAATTCTAGACGTGTTTCCTTTATTTATTAATTCTTATGGATGAGAAATTGATTCGAAATATAGAAAAATTAATAATCGATGTTTTAAAAATGTTAACAACGATCGAATTTAATAATATGCATATATATAATAAATTTGGTTGTAAATAAAAAAAACAAACGTTTAGCTAAGTGTCGATTGCATTTAACATTTTGTACTTGATATTTTATTCTACAAACTTCAATCGTTTGTCTTATTTCATAAACAGATCATGCAGTTCACATCTGACGTAGGAGGCATATTGGGCTTGTACATTGGATTCTCGCTACTCACCGTTGTGGAGTTTTTTGAACTTGCTGTGGATATCATTGGAATTATTGGCTATCAGGTTTATCTCAATGGCAGAACTACATTCAAGAACTGGAAGAGAGAGAATAGAATAAAGAATTGCAATCGTGTGATCCCCGATAAAGGTAAGAAATTAATTAACTCAGTGATTGTTTGGAATTATTTGGATAGAAGAAATGTTGTAGATTTTAATAAAATCTAAAAATCTTGGTTACAGAAGTCAAAAGCACAGTGAACATAATGATGGATGACGAGGAAGTAGCAGAACGTGACATGGATCCACGCGCTAAACCGAGAACTGGAGCCCCTTATTACAAACTATCAAGTCCAGCCAAGCAAGAATTAACGTCTGTCCATATTTGAAAATATATTGATATTGTTTAAATTGATATGATGAAAGAACAATTTAAACAACGACAAGCTTTGTAAGTCATATTGTCAAGTATTACATAGATTAGTTGTTGTGTGTGCTATTTTTTCCACATATGCACAACTTTTTTCAGTTCTTTTTTCACAACTTTTCTCAATAATTGTTGTATATTGTATTATTTCATTTATATTATTATAAAAACATCTTAAATTTTCTGCAATCAAAGTAAATTAAACTAAAACCTTCATTTGCATTCTTTGAAGATTCTCTTGTTTGATTGTTTCACTTGAATGATTTATTTCAGGTTTGATTTTATTTTATGATTGAACACCATTCGAGAAATGCATGTTAGGCATAACAATTGATTTATATAATCACTGATTCATTTCAAACACAATTAAATTTTTGCGATGAATAAAACCATGGCGTGTGTGCCTGCTTATTTCAACAAAAAGTACATTTTTTTATCCCATTAACGTTGTGTAGTTTGTTTAATCACAACACCAAATCAATTTAAGGGTGTTTTGATTGTCTTATTATCTTAATTGTTATAACTGAAATAAGTTATTTTATAAAAAAAAAACAAAAAAAAAGTTATCACGATTCTGGCTGTCAATAAAAATACAATAACCTAAGCAAAGAAAATATCAATGTTGCAAGTATTTTGTGATAATATGGTTCCATTAAGGAATTGTCTATTATGTTTTCATTGTAATGTTCGTCTTTGCATTTTTGGCATTATGTAAATAAAACTTCAATGATTTTCTTTATAAAATACGTATCTCAGAGAACGAAGCAGCCAGCGAACTACAGACATTCGGAAACGATAGAAAAAACATCAACAACTCAATTATTATAAGCGTAAATTTTAGACAGACCTGTTGTTACAAACCTGGTGAGATTTGAAAGAAATTATGATAAAGCATTTTATTTGGATGAATCAAGAGGCTATGCTGAACTAGTGAAGAACGCAACGTAAACATACAAGTTTTTTTCATTGAAGTTTAGACGTGCTTTCAACCGCTTTCTTTGTTTTATAAACACCGTTTTTCAGACAAATACTTCAAGATGTTCATTAGTTCAATATGAATTTAACAATTTCAATCCAAATTAAAAACCTTTGATAGGTTAATAATTCCCACTATTCGCTGTTTTGAAGTTTTAACCAATTAAATCAACAATTGAAAGTTAAATTGATCAAACAATCAAATGAGTATTCAACTGTTAACAAAAATCCAGCACACATGCAAATTTCAATTGTACATACAACCAGCCAAACTATCCATATTGTCAAGTCAATAATTAACAAATTGTCATGCACGGAAAGAATTAATCTGTTAAAGTAAAATATAATAATAAATAGTAATGAATGTGAAATGACTATAAACGAAAAGTATCGAATTTCGATTTTAGTGAAACATTCACCACAACTTTCACCGTCATCACCATAATCACCATCACCTTCTTAGCTATAATCATCATTTTATCATACAAACATTATTTTAGTTTTATGTAACAAAACAAAACTGCAATACTCATCACATCATCATTTCATTGCTCTCACCGAAATCAACACTGCCTTCTTTATTAACATCGCCATCATCAACATCATCATCTTCATCATCGTCTGTTATTATTGACTGCATCAACCTTGCCTTTTCATCATTTTTTCCGAAACACGTTCTGCATGTACTTCCTGAGGTAAATGAATGAATCATTAATATAAATATAAAACATCGGTTAAGAAATTCATCACCATCAACATCATCACCTATTTTCTACAACTCGCTATCACCAGCGTCACATCCAACACACGCTTCAAAATGAATATTCCATGCCATGCACCATGGATCACAATCTTAACTATCATAAACGTCATCACCATGATCATCACACCCTACCAGCTTCATAAACATTATTATCATCATCACCACCATCATCATTATCATCATCACCACCTCTTAGCTTCCTTAATCATAATCTTCTTCCTCTCTAAGAGACTTGATTCTCTCTCCCAAGGGAAATTGGAAAAAGTCACTCCACCATCTACAGGACTGGAATTTGAGCTGCTACGACCAACACAGCCACCATTGCCACCACTGTTATTGTTAGAGCTACTATCACCACTACTACCACTACAACTATTATTATTACTAATACTACTTTTAGTAGTATCATTACTGCTATCTTTACATTTATTAACAGTATTATCAGAGGAGTCCTCTGAGAAGTGATGCACATTTTCATCAACATTTTCTTTATCATTATTATCATTAATTTTAATATTATTATTATTATAATTCTTGTTGTTGTTAATGTTATTAGTGTTATTATTATTATTTTCAATATTGCAGGTCGGAGCTTGAACAAAGTGAGCTGTACCATCGTCAACCTCATCATCACAGACAACGTCATAATCGTTTTTATTATCTCTATTTTTATTATCAGTTTTACTGTCATCATCATCACCAGTGGGACATGTTACGAATTCATAACCATCATCATCGACGATACCACTAGTCTTATTATCATCATCATTATTAATATTAGTAACGAGGCTTGTGGTGTTCTTGAAATTGCTGACATCATCTTTATCATTATTATCATCATTCTTCTTCTTCATATTATTATTATTATTATTATTATTATTATTATTATTATTATCATTATTATTACTATTACTACTGTTGATAGCACCACTTTCCACGTTGCTGTCACCATGGAGCGATACAGACGGCGATGAGGATAAGGTCAAAACCAATGAGGAGAAAGACGGTGATGATGAAGCTGACAGTAAAGATGATGAAGATGGTGATGATAGGGAATGTGATGAAACGTTCTGTACAACTGAAATCAAAAAACGTTATACACATATATACAAACACACACACACCACACACACACACACACACACGTGCACTGTACATACTTGAAGCATCATTCTTCATCTTATGTGACTGATGTCTTTGTGGACTATATCTCTCATTTTGTTGCACACTTTGTTGGTGCAGTATCTTTTCTGGTTGTTGAAAATGCTGTTGTTGCGACTGTATATGTTGTTGTTGTAAGTGTGCATGTTGTTGTTGTTGTTGTTGTTTTTTAAGTCTTAGGGGTATAACCAATGCACCCTCTAAAATCCTATTGACAGTTTCATCAGCAGAGTGGGTGATACGCAAATCTGCTAACAAGACATCAGTGGGAAAATCTGGAAAGATGGTCTGTATCTGCCTAATCATGTTCATGTGCGAGTGGTCACTGATGTTGGAGGAGGATGCTCTGAAGATTGAGGACAACCAACTGTTGGAACCTGAAATAAACATGGAATGAAGTGAAGTGAAGAAATGAAGTTTCGACGAAAAAACGACAAATTAAAACATACAGACAAATTATACAACTTACCAATTAATCAAAATAATTAATTTAATAGCATACTATGGACTAAATAATTGTTAACAAATGAATAATGAAAAAAAACTAACCAAAGAGATCAGACAGAAAACTGTTACCGAAATTATCAGGTGGATTATTATTACCATTGCTACTTGCATTATCATTCTTGCTACTATTATCGACAACAGAGGCAGCTATGACGTCATTGGAAATTCTTTCTTCGAAGTTGCTGCCCACATTTGCTGCAGAACGCTGCAGCCGAGCGTCTCTCAGTAGTTGCTCCTGTTCTCGTATCAGCAACCAAGCATTCTCATTGATGACGTCATCGTTGTCGACGTTGTCGCCAAGTTTGTAAGCGTAGTTGTTGCTGCTGATAACCTCATTGGAACGGACGTCACTCTCGCCAGAGCTTTTGATACTCTCACCTTTCTCATCATCTTCAAAAGTGTCCCCACCATGTTCATCATTTCTCCTCCTATTTCTCAATCTCTCTCTTAGTAGACTATCACGGCTATTAGCATTATCAATTGCATTATCCCCCCCAGAGTCAATAGGACATTCAACTTCGACGTTGTTATTGTCTGTAGTATTACTTTCTCTGCTCCTATGAAGTGCATGACGATCTTTATTTACAGAACGAAGCTGTTGCTGCCACTGTCGTGAGGTGGTAGTTGTGGTAGTGCTGGTGCCGCCAGTGTTGTTACTAATAGTAGTGGCAGCCACAGTATCTACATCATCAACAGTGTTAGTAGAAGAATGAGTAACTTTTTTATTTTTCATTTTATTGCCACCATCATTTCCCTCTCCACATTCGGCAATTGTGCTTTCGTTATTCGTACCCGCACCTCTGCAGCTTCTACTGCTGACCACATTGGCGTCATCGTTGTTACTGCGGTGGCGACGACGTCGATGGTGGATGGTGTTTCTTGACCAGTAGTGCCAAAGTACATCCCTGTCACTGTTATTTGCCAGAGTGTTGTTGTTGTTGTTGCTGGGTCTACTGCTTCTTCTCAGCTGGTCACTTTCATTCAAGTGCATTCTTGCCAGTGAATCGAAAGCAGTAGAGAAGGCGTAATCATCATCGTTGTTGTTATTCCAGCGACGAATTTGTTGGAGAACGCGATTATCACTATCATAATCATCATCAGCATCATCGTAATCAAAACCACTGATATGATGAGCGTCGTAATCAAAATAATGGAAATCGTCACCATCAAATTCACCATCGACCACGGCACCAGATCTTCTAAGAGCACCAGTTGATGTGATGGCATGCCTTGAGGATGTACCAACTGCTGAATCAAGAGCAGTAGCTCTGAGCAAGCTGGAATCAACGGGAGCAGTGGCAGCGTTATAAACAGTTGAAGTCGTTGAAGCGACCACATTCCTTGACGCTGACAATCTGACGTCTGCACTGCTTACCGCCATACCACCATGAGCCTGCTGTGTGTTCCTAGTGGCAACAATGTTGATTGATTGAGGATATAGAGGAGAACGAACAAAAGCCTGAGAAGTAGATGAAACATTTCCGGTAGGTACGACTGCTGAAGCCGCAGCTGATGAAGCTGCGACTGCTGAAGCTGCTGCAACTGCATTAGCGGCTGCTGTCACAGGGTCGCTAAAAACACCGTCATCTAAATTGTTGACGTTATTGATGGTGGAGAGGAGACTTTGACGCATCTGTATTGTGTTGTAGATGTCATTCTGGTTGCTGTGCTGGTCACCTCTTCGAGTGCCATCAGCTCGGGGGATGTCGTTGAGGTTGTAGCGACATGTAGGACAACTGGTGTCCTGCTCAAGCCACGATCGCAAGCAGGTTCTGTGCAAGTGAGAGTAGTTAGTACAATCAGTCTGTCGTGTTCGTCTTCGTCAGTAACGTTGAAATAATCGTTAACCACAAACTGAACTGTTCACACCCTTGCACATCATAAGCCGCACATCACTCATTCAACCTCAGAGTCATTCTCTTTCCATCCTTTCCATTACACGCATCAACATGTATCAAAAGTAATAATTATCTATGCCGAAATCATTATCAAAATCCTCTTCCTCATCATTGCAATCCCATTATCATCGTAATCATCATCACCATCATCACAATCATCATCATCATCGCAATCTCACTCGTGAAACATGTGACCACAGGGTAGCTTCCTTGCACTAAACATCTTTTCCCAACAGATGGCGCAATCATCATCGTGGCGGGCTAGCTCCGTTCTGGAAACTGGCGGGAAACTGATCATGGATGGTGGTGGTGATGGTGATAGTATTTATGACGTGATGTTGACGATGATAGCGACATCTATAACGACAGCAATTGTTATGAAAACGAAAGTAACCAAATTATTAAAAATTGTAAAGTACAAACAACATTATTCCATTATATCTACTGCCGGCACTATAGATACCAATGCGTTGTTACCATCGCGATACAATATTCATCTCTAAATAAGCTAAAATTAAAACTAACCTCAACTCCATGCGTTTGACGAGGGATCTGTAGTTCCTGTGCCTTCTCAACCGCTTCAAAATCTCCATGAATAAATGTCTGTGAGATGTGCCGGTTTGTGTGTGTGCGCGTGTGTGTGCGTACGTGAGTGAGTGTTTGGTGTGAGTGCATTCCTGTTGAGTTTATGGTGGAAGTATATGCTAGTTTAAAATTTTACACAATGAATAAATCTGTCAGTCCATTCATTTGCTTCGTCATACACTTTCATCTATTCATTCATTCCTCTAATCATTCACACATTCATCTATTCATACACACATTTGCCCATTCATTCATTCATTCACACACTCACCAATTCATTTATTTATTCATTTACTAATTTATTTATTCATTCGTTCGTTTATTCATCAATTCATTCACACATTCATTCATTCATTCGTTTACTAATTCACACATTCATTCCCATACTCATCCTTTCGTTCATTAATTGATTAATTAATTAATTAATTTATTTATTATAAAATTGAATAAATCAATGAAATAAATTCCTTTTTTCATCTGTTAAACTATCAATCAATCACAGACCTAACCTCAATTGTATGGCGACAACGAGACTAGCCATGCTGAGGAATATATTACCATATAACTGTAACGATGATTAAGATGACTGTAACGATGATTCTGATGATTGTAACGATGATAATGACGATTGTACAAATGGGAAAGAAGATAATGGTTATAGAGAATTTTTATGTGACATGAATAAATAGCATCAACAGTTATTTCCTGAAACAAACTCAATTCTTCGTCACCACTGTTCTCATTATCATAACAAATTAACCCATCAGATATATGCAACATCTAAATAATCACCACAACTACAAACAAAACGCCACACCATTACAAACCAGCATATGGAGATGATGACAGAAGTCAATGCAGAGGGCAGCCAGTTCGAAGCAGAGGTCGAGGTAATAAACGAGAATGACCTTGCCCTCCCACTGACCAACGTGAGCGACGTCACGCAGGTGAATGTAGTACCTACAAAGGACAGTGAATGAGAATTGTGATAGTGGTTGTTGTTGTGTTGTAACTGTGGTGACAAATGATAAATATAATTAACCTCGACATCCTAATACGAATGTGATCAACACAACATAATCATTGAAATGAACATGATATTCATTATATACATGAATCGGTATTTAAATCATCATTGTCACTATAAACGTGAATATAAGTCATCATCGTCATCGTCATTATCATTAGTAGCACCACAATTATCATTATTGACTTAATTTCATGGATGTTATCATTACAAACCCACCAAAGTTATTATAAATACAAGTACCACCGAGAACTTACTTGATAAGGACATAGAGGGACTTGATTGAAAGAAGAAGGCATTCAGCAGCCATGAATGCAAATATGTTGAATGGAGCTACAAAGAACAGCAGAACAACAGAGAAGCAGAGTAGCAGCAAGCTTGCCACGAAGATGAAGTGAAGTAGAGTCAGCACTCTGTTGTGTGCAGTCCTCAACACGAATGGTGAGGACGAGTACTGTATGGTGAGTGTAACAACGATGGTGATAGTGAAGATGATCACGACAGAGATAACAACGACGTAAAATGTCAAAAAGAATTTTCAAAGTTTAACATAACAATCATCACAGCAATACTCCAATGTCAGAATAGTGTAATACTAGTTCTACCAAATATTTCTTTTGATAACAGCACTGAAATATTAATACTCACATATTCAAATCTATCCTTGCATAGAGTTGCAAGTGTATGGAAAAAGCCGAGTATGGAGAACCAGGAAAGCCAGAATATTATTTCACCTGTATCCTGAGCACTACGAATTCCAAATATGAAAATGAACTTGTAAAAGACAAAGTTCCAGAACTTATCTCTGATGTGCTGTAAGTGCATAAAGATGTGTGATTGTGTGCATATGTGAACAGCTTCGATTGTGAAAAAATATCAAAGATACAAAGTTATTTTTTCCTTCTAATTTCAGAGTCTAAATATCATAGAGATAGTATTTAAACTTTTATCAATAAACTAAAATATTATTAATAAATTTTAAAAAAGCTATATAAATTGGGTAAAACATAATAATAATAAAGTTAATGTAATTATTTTCTTTAATGCTCAAATTAGTTTTTTAACTAAACATTAATTTAAAGATTTAAAAGAGAAAAAAAATCACAAAATTTATACTTGTTGTTCGATGACTCTCAGCTTGCCAAATACAAACATTTGAATGACTTTACCCAACAATATTAAAAAACAATATGCCTGGTTCATCAAGATCTAAAACAATATAATTGATATTTAAAGAATAAACAAAATAATTCAAAAATTTTTCATTTTGTCTTTTATTTATTGCCTATATTGGCTTATCCTTATATATAGTATAGTTTACTTTACAGCTTATAATAGTAGCACATACATACTGAAAATCTCTCAAGTGATTAAAATATAAAAAATTAATAAATATTATAATTACCACAAGACACCATGGCTCTTTGGCCATTCTTTTGAAAAGTTGGATGGTCTTTTTAAAAAAGTTTGTATTTTCTTGCTCATCTTTCTTGATAAAATTGAAAACGTCGACCCAGTCAATGACCGCTTGTAACTTGCTAGCTTCCACCTCGTCAGTCCAGTAGCTGGCGATGACGACTGTCACAAGGGTAACCAGAATACTGGCTGTTACGTACATTTTCAAATTTGGTAGGGGGAGACGGACATGAAGTATTGTCGGCATGTTTCAATTTTTATAATTGCGGAACTTAATTTAAAATTAAGATTTGTTAAAAAACTTAGTAAAATTATTTACTGGGTCAAAGACTATCAATCAAACAACATTTAAACAGCAACGAACTCAACATCATATAAGTTGGAAGCGAAATAATAATCAAAAAAGATAATTTAAGATCGTAAGCAACATCATGGCACACATACATTATATGCAAGTTGGACGTTTAAGTCCAAACTTATACAGTAACATTATTCCAAATATGCACTAAACTTTTTATTTCCATAAAAATAACTATCTAATTTAAAGTTAACAATATTTATAATTGATTTACCAAATTTTACTTTTTGTTGGATTAAAATGGTAAAATGTAACTAAACTTGAACTTCATATAGGATATAGGGTAGTACTTAAAAAATCAAGTCGAACGAGTGAACGGTGAAGAGCTAATGGTTTTCAGAATAAGTAGAATATTTACCATCTAACAAATTCTGATATAACTATTGGTGGGAATTGCCAAAATAATGAACAAGTGATCCAAAATATTGTTTAATCAATTTCAAAAATTTTTTTGTTTTTACAAGTTCAAAGCAAATCAGAAAACATCAGAAAGATTAAATGAAACTGAAAAATTGTAGTCGTGGAAGTCGTTGTGTGGCGAAGCTAAATTACAATATGGCAGCGTTTTTGATGTGTGAATGATGAATGATTATGTGACACCATGCAATTATGCAGCATTTTTATTTTGAATCGTTATCTACAAATTCCAAATATTATAAACAGAGTGCACGCAATCGCGAATAGGTTGTTGTCAACATAAATGACACTAGCTCTTAACAACAACAATAACCATGGATTGTCTAATGTGTTCCGTCAACAGTTTTTGCGCTGGGAAATTGTTTTCAAAAAGTACAAAGTGAAATAAAAGCCGCGCAGCATTATATGAAAAATTATTGAATTAATTTCATTTTTGACCATTTGGAAATTACCATTATAATGTAATAAAAAGTATATACATACATATATACGTGTGTGTGTATATATTTTTGTGTACGTCTGTTTATGTGTATATCTGAGTGTATGTGCTCGATTTGGGGAAGTTGGTGTGCGTGTGTGTTGTGTGATTATTTTGTTAATGTTTTCATCAATCAATTATTTTTAACTGTGGCATTTTGAAGTTGACAAGTTTATAATCAAAGCTTCAATTCTTATTTAAGGGATCTTTCTCTGAAATTTTCAAAACTTATAGTGAGACAATTTTTGAATAAATTTGCAGATCATGAATTTTTTAAACTGCTGGAGCATTACGAATTTAAAGAAATTTCTTCATATCGCCTAAAATAGTAGAAATTTGCATCTCAAATTTGAAACATAAATAAAAATGCAGAATTCAACATCAATCAAGCCGGGAAAGAATACTAACATTAACAAAATAAGCCACATTAACACCAGCAATATAGACATAAGTGACGAGATTTCGAATGGAGGTTTCATCCTAAATGGCACCAATGGTGACAATGAACCCACACCTAGCAATCTGCGTTTGTCGTTAATCTCGACGTGGGAAGCCTTTCGAGATGTTACTACTTCTCACGGTCTTCCACACTTCAGTCGTGCCAAAGGTTTTTATTGCGGGTTTTTTGGTATTGCACAAATAAACGGTAGAGCGATTTTGTTAACGAATGGGTAGGATTTAAGAAATGAAATAATAAATAATATAAGCTTCATAATGAATTTTATCTGAAAAATAACTGAATAACAATGAATAGGTTAATAATAAAGTTCAAAATATCTTCATGTGATTTTGAAATCGCAAGGACAATTTTTGAAATAATTTTTTAACAAAATATAAAAATTTGATTTTAAATGTTTTTTTATATTAATTTTTAAAAATGTTGTTGCTCCTAGTTTTTTGATTTAAACGTATATAAAATTATATGTTTTTAAAATTATATATTTGAAAAAAAAATTGTAAGGTCCATTGAAGAAAATGTTTTGGTTGCTGATCACCTTCGCATGCGTTTGCGGCCTTTGTTACAATGCTTTCTTACTAGGTAACAAAATGTTTTATTTTTGGTCATTACATCCAAGTTAACTGTTACTTTATCCTTTTTTTTACTTTTTGTCAAGACCAATTACTAATTATTATTTTACCAATTTATTTCAAGTTGTTATACAACAGAAAAATTAACTTTTACTAACATATTCATGGAAAAACTTTATTTTGTTATTGAAATTGATTAAATTTATGAAATAAAATTTAAAAAAACTTCAGGTGACAAATTTATGAAATACTCCGTAAGTGTAGCCGTAGAGTTGAACCACGCTAAATCCATGGAGTTCCCTGCAGTTACTATTTGCAACAACAATCCAATGAAATTGTCATCTTTTCGTGCCAATAGCAAACTTCAAGAGATATTAATAAGTTACAAATTGAAAAATAGCAACTCGACATGCACTATGACTGAAACGTCGACACCTGCTCCTCTGACTACCACACGTGAAACTTCATCTCAATACACAACCAAAACTCAAAGTAAAAATATGAAACTAGAAAATTATTGACAAAATGCTATTTTTAAACTAATTTCTTCTCATTAGTTTGCACCGAATATGACGACGAAGTTGGTGGAATACAACAACGCAGGGACTTCAAGCTCTTTAACCAGGTCATGGAACTATTCATGCGGATGAACGCAACTGAGAGAAAGGAGAGTGGTCACAAGCTTGAGCAACTAGTTTATGATTGCAACTTTGCGGGATATATGTGTGATTTAGATTAGTAGAATCGATTTTTTTTTAATTATAACAAAGTCTCATTTTAAAATATAATTAATAATCACGGCTGATGCTTTCCATAGGAAAAGTTTTCTAGTTTCTGTATAAAATGGCATTTTTTATTTTCCTGCTTTTGTAAAAACTCAATGCCCTAGCGGCAAATTTATGGCTACGCCACCAAGAGCAGTATAAACGAATTGTTATTTCGAAATTTTATCGCTGACAACGTTTCTTGTTAGCATAACGTCAAATTTATCTTTTATCGAAATAAATACACAGATTTTTTTGAAATTCCCAAGAATTTCATTTATGTTTTTATTCTATTTTATTTTTGGATTTTTTAGCACCTAGGGATTTTAAGTACTTTTTCAACAACTACTACGGAAATTGTTACACCTTCAATTCTGTTTCGAGTGGACAAGATGGTGCGATTTCCAAAATTTCAAGAAAAACTGGTCCAAGTTATGGTAATCACAGCTTTAAACTGGTTTCGTTATTTTATAATTTAAATTTAATTTTTTAAGACAACATTTTCATGTTCATTTTGATTTTCTAAAACAATTCAAATATTTATTTGAAGGGCGTTGCATTTATCCAGGTCAAAATAGTTGAACGTTGAAATAAATCTGATGATTTGAATATAATGAATGTATTACGACGTGATAACAGGTTTGTCCATCACATTCAATGTAGAGCAAAATGATTACGTCGGGGAAGTAGCACAATCGGCAGGTTTAAGAGTGGTTGTTCATGATCCAAAACGCATGCCCTTCCCTGAAGATGAGAGTATTTTTGTGTCTCCATGGACAGTCACTCAGATTGGACTCACAATGGTACTTGACAAATATAATTTTTTGGGTAATCAGTAATAAGATTAAGTTCACAATGAATTTTATGCCATTGATAAAAGTAAAATAGAAACAAATTTTTAACTACTTCGGTGAAATAAGGCAATACAACTTGTCTTAGGTAACTACAATCTTTTTTCACCGCCCTAACCAGTAAAGCCAATTTCATTCTCCCTCGAAAATGAAATTGTTTCCCGCTGGGGCGTGCACTGCCCTAGAGGTAGACCACAATAAATGGTTAAATAATGCATTTACAACTTGTTTTATTCAACCTCTAGACGCAGACCAAAAAAATAAATGGTTTGTACGGCAATTGCAGCGTTGAAAACGATTCCAGTGTTGGTAAAACTTTGTATCAGAAACTCTTCAACGTTTCATACTGTGAAAAGGTCTATTTATTCTAAAAAAATCAAAATAGTTTTGTTAATTTAATTAAAAAACACAAACATTGAATTTTTGAAACCATGATCTCTCAACAAATTGTTAATGCCAGGGTTGTTTATATACATGCTTGAATGAAGAAATTATGAAACAATGTCAGTGTGCGGACATCAAATTTCCTATACATAATGACAATAACACTAATCTCCAACCATGTTCTATACTTAATGATACTTTGAGTAAGTATTACAATTTATATCATTACAGAACAACTAAATTTCAATTTTTTTTTAAATTTACAGACTAATAAAATTAAGTAATTTTTTCATCACAAATCCACCGCTAAATTTTATTTTCGTATTGTTTTTAGCTGAAAATATTTTATAAATTTATAACGAATACGTTTTTTTTATTTTATCGTCATTTATAATTGAAATATAGCACGTTGCTCAATAAGAATCTGGCATGAATATGAAAATGAAATGCTCCCGTGCAGCTCTAAATGCACTGTTCCTTGCAGGTTTATTGAAAATATTTTCATCCTTGTTGTCGGCGGTTATCATATGTTTTACCATTTTTTAAACTTTAAATTTTAAATTTTTTTAATAGTATTTTAGTTTATTGATGTATTAAATTATATTGGAGATTATTTAAAATATGTGTCTGAAAATATTCATTGAAATAATTATTTTATTTTCCGAATAACTTTATTCCGAATAATCTTTATTTAATTTGTTCTCGTTTAATAATAAAAAAAAACATGATTTAAAATACTCCTGTTTTTGACAGCGGTCGATATTTATTTGTAAATTTGTTAATGTCTGTCTAGATGTGCGTTAACACAAATAAATATTAACACCAGGGAGACGCTGTATAAGACGGTTATTAGCAATGGAATGTGGCCTTCCGAGAACTACTGGGTAACATACATTTTAATGAGTTACTTGCATTACACACAAGTTGGATAAGTACGCATATTATTTAAACCTTTTCTTTTGTCGGTGACCAAAAAGTTATTCATATATATTGAGAGAGAAAAAACTATTATGTAAGTAAAATTTACAAATTAAATGGAAAATATAATATAGTTTTTAAATCTAGCATCTAAAATATTCTTGAAAATAATAATTGCAAATAATGAAGAATCAAGTTAAAAGCATTTTTAATTGGCATAAAGTTCAAAGTTCATTGACGCTAAACAATCAGTGAAGTTTGGTGTAGTCAGAAATATGCGTTTAATATAAAACCCAGTTTAAATGTATTGAAAAAAAATTGACGTTAGTTACATGGCGATAAACTCGAAAACCATTTTTCCTGATTCTTGATTTAATTTATTAGTATTTCTTCTGATCATTCACTTTTATCTACGTAAAATAAAAAGCTTTTGCTTTTTTTTGACGGTCCTACTCTTCTCCAACTTGTTTCTTCATTAGTTTTATCCAGGATTGATTTTTGTAAATCGCTCTACTATGGTCTTCATTAATCTAAACTCTATCCTTTAAGTGAAGGTTATAACTTTGCTACTAGTCTAGTTGCTCGTACTCCTATCCTTTCTCATATATTGCTTTATTTTGTTCTCTTGTACTAGCTACCTATAAAATATAGAATAATTTTTTAAATTTGCTCTCAATCTGAATTATTTTCAAAGTACTTATCAGATATATTAGATATATTAATTAAACATGAACGCACTGGTTTACTTTATAGTTTATCGTTCTTACTTCTTTTAAAGTCGTGTTAAACACTCTTATGCTTAAGCAACATTTGCTTTTTCTGGCCATTTTCTATGAAAGTTTCTTACATATTTTCTAACTACTTCTCCATCACTTACAAATTTCAGAGCGGATCTCAAGACCGATATGTATAAACAATTCACTGAACATCGTGGAAATGGCGCTTTAAAATCTAATTGATTGATTGATTGATTTTACATTGTCTATGTATCTTACCATCGCTTTTTGGAATTATTTATTGTTAACTTTATTTGCTTGTTCTCATAGTTTTTTTAATTCAATTTTTTAAATACGCCTGCCGGCATACCCAGGTTTGTGTAAGCACTTGTGCTTTTAATAAACATTGCCGCTATATTTTACTTGTTTATGTTCTCAGGTTGTTATGTTTGACTCATATGTTTATTATCGGAATATACTAAATAACCTGAGGAGTATGGGGCAGGTTCTTGTTTATTTTCAAGATTTCAGCTACACAAACATTGAAGAATCTCCTGATTATGAGGTTATTTTGAAATAGAACTTCAGAATATTCAGTTTACTCAATTTTTATCCGTTCATTCATTGGTCAAAAATTTTTTTTTGCTCGTAATTTGGAAACTGATTTTTTATTTAAAATGGTGAAGTGGAATATGATTTTATTCTCGGTAGCCAGTTGATGAGTTGTTTTATACTATTAGTTCCTTCTTATTATGTGGCACAATTAATAACCTGAGGACGCTGCTGTACAAAACTATTTTGATGACTGTTACTTCTGCCCATTAAACATTGCTGCGCTGATCCCCATCCTCTATTATTAACTTATCACTAAATGATAGTAGATGTTGTAGCAAAATTCTTTGAAAACTGTCAATAAAACTAAAGTTGCTAGCAAATCTTCAAAGTCTTTCGTTAATTCACTCTGTGATGACAAACTCAACCGATATTTTGCTTCCATGTTCACTTGTCAATAAAACATTTCATTTTTAGTTAAGTCTTTAGCAAAAAAACAGTATCTTTGTCATGTACAAAATTATAACTTCATTACAACTCAGCACATTCAACTAAAGCCTGATCACCAATAACTTCATCGTCATTCGTCTACCTATGTTTCAACTACTCACTTGTCAAATCTCATATACGAAATCAACTCGACGTTGAATTCAATTTTTTTTTCAACTATATATTACGTCACACGGCATTAGCATTAACTTTAATTAATTGATATTTTTTAACATTTTTAAAGACAATACAATTCACCTCCGACATTGGAGGCATATTGGGCTTGTATGTTGGCTTCTCTATATTAACCGTTGTAGAGTTTCTTGAACTTGCGGTTGATGTACTGGGAATTATTGGTTACCAGATTTATCTCAAAAGTCAAAACTCTGTCAAAAAGTGGAGGAAAGAGAATGGAAGAAAAATTGGTCACGATGACAAAACTTCCAAAATAACAAGTAAAATAAGAGTAATGTTTATTATTTAAAATTATTTAAAGATCGGGATAATTGAGAATGAATTGGATAACTGTGTGTTATTCTAACTTTAATAGAAAAAAATAATAACGACAAGAATTTGGTTAGAAAAATTGAGAAATGTAATTAAAAACCATCCAACGTTAGAAATTCGGTAGATTTCATAAATTACTGCATATATGAATGCATGTGTATATGTAAATTTATATGCGTATTTAAAACTTATCATGTCAAAGCCTCTCACAGCTCAGTGAACACGGTATTTGCTTGCAGTGAAGAAGAAGTTGATCATACTGTCAAACCGCACATTGAAGCTGTCTGTTCAAAACCTGAAGCACCTGTCTTGCTGAATATGACACCAGTTTTTATCTGACATCGAGCAAAGCAAATATCAGTGCAAGGATGGAAAAAATTGAAATGAAAATTGAATCAATTTTTAAAGTTAAAATTTACGATGCTGACAAAAGTATGAAAATGTTGAATCAACTGTTTATATACTGTTTAGTGTATATTGCTTATTTAAAATGAAACTTTCTATTAACATTATTATACTAGATGTTGACTTTTGGAACGTATATTTTTAATCATTCAGCTTATGCACTTATTAGTATCAAATTCTCACTGCACTATAAACCTTTTTGAATATTTCATGTGTTACATGAAACTGAAATGACAACTTCTTGATAAATTTAAATATATGCTAACATTCAGAAATTAATGATTTTTTGTGATTTTTGAAAAAACTTGTGTTCTTGAACTTCAATTGTTTAAAAAATTGTTAAAGTTTTTAGTAAATGTAGTCGAATTAACACCAAATCATGGGTGGTCCGATTAAGAAACTATTGATAGGAATTTCTTAGCCAGTATAAAAAATGAAATTTTACATTAAGGTGTTGGCATTTTCTTGGTACTAATATACTAAATAACCAAAAATTTTACCAAATTTAAAAATATGGCCAACATATAAAAAAATCAAATCCAGTAGCCTACCACACACCATCATAGTTTAAGTTTGTAGCTTGATGTATTTCTAATAGAAGGTATGAAATTTGTACGTAACTACCATGTACATTTCAACCTGACGTTGCAATAACGTTATGTTGAAATATCAACATTAACACTCCTTCTAAAATGTTTTTGTTTCATGCTAAAACAAACTACCGTGCATTCTAACACTAAAAACATATAGATCAATTTCCAATTTATTCAACAATTCTGATGAATACGTTGGAAAACCAACAAAAAAAAACAAATTTTCACGAGCAGCCTGTCCATATTCATGCATGCATTTATCGACGGCATGAAAGCTAGCAGTTAATGTGAATTGATCATGGATTGATGATTCTAAATAAATGATAATTCTGATGAATATGTTGGGAATAATTTCACGATCATTCATCCTACTAAACAGTGGAATTGGAAACTTGTGACAACATTTCCGACAATTATGCTGACGAAGTTGGAACCTGTTGATGCCTATAAATGAAAATGTTAACAAAATCATTGCGTACACTAAAATGTATTAATATTATACAACAATAACCTTTTTGTTACCAATACATATTTCTTGACACAACTAAATTTATTATTTGTTCGCATATTTCTTTTATTTTTAAGTTACCTTAAACGTTTTTATTCAAAAATTATTTATACGCGCAGTGATAATTTGACGATGACATTACGAAGATGGGATTAATTAATAATTTGATGATAATTGCAGAGATCAGTCGATATTGTATGGTATTGTTGCATTAATGTCAAATTTTGTTCTGTAGAAAAATCATTGTAAATGAAACATATTTAGTAGCTGTCAACGTGTCAACGTCTGGTAATGCTTTTTTTTTGTATATTGTACTATTAGTAACGTGCATGCATTCCAAAAATTTAATCGATATTGCTTCATTATCTGTCCATTTGTAACCTTCGTCATGCGTTTCCGTAATTGCCTGGCGTTTTCATTATTTGGCACGTTCTATTGCAATATTGCTAATATAAGATTTTGCGATAATGTGATACTTTTAAATTGGTGTTAACAAATATGTTACTGTTAATATCTGGATTATAATTATTTTAATTGTTTTTTTTTATTTGTTTTAGTTGAGACAACCTTAATTATCAATAAATCAACCAAAGTTATTTAAACAAATAATACAAAAGCAGGTGTAATATAGGTTGTGGGTTTTTTACATTCCAAAAATATTTTTTCATCAAATGCTCAGCTTAATTTTTACTTTCATTTAGTTGAAAGATTTTTTGACCACAATTTTTAAAACTATCAAACAAACAATAAATATTTGTCAACTATTCAACGTTGTGATAACACAAATTAAAAAAGTCGTAATAAATTTCAGACCTCCTTAAAAAAAGAGACGGGTTTGAACCGAATATTAGTTCAACTTGATAAGACAGAAAAATGCAATCCTACACAAATATAAACGTACCCGACAAGAAATCAATGAACGATTTTATTAACGCACCCGCCAGCTACGCTAAAATGGATCCGAACGGAATTAAAAATAATTTCGATTTGAAACACGCAGTCTCCAACTCGAGAGTTGATCCGACACATATCAACCTGCACTTATCCCTAGTGACAACCTGGGAATCCTTTCAATCCGCCACAACGTCCCATGGCCTCCCACAGTTTGGCAGAGCTAAAGGTAAAAATTAAAAAGTTCCTTATTAAATTAACAAACATTTAATTTAAAAAAAATTAATGTGCTTTAACAATTCGTTCTTTTTTAAATATAAATTATTCATGAAAGAAGATATTTATTGCAGAGATATATGTAGGTCGAGTTAAATTTAAAAAATTAACAACCCGTTAAACTATTTTGAAAATTATTCTGATATTTTATTGAGCTATTATCGTTTTGTTAGTTTTTTAATAGGAATGAAAAACTAATTAAACGCATTTTCATCGTCTAAGGTCTGTTGAAGAAATTATTGTGGTTGGTTGCTACGTTGGCATGCTTGGGTGGTCTCTGCTACAATGCCTTCCTCTTAAGTTCGTTTTGTTTGGGCGTCAGTTATTATCTGTGATTCTAATTTATTCTTTGAGATGGTTTTTTAATTAAAAAAATTAAAAACATCAACTCTGTATGATGAAGTGCTGTAAATAAAATAATGCAGGCGACAAATATATGGACTTTGCAGTGAATGTAGCAGTTCAGTTGAACAACAACAAAAGCATGGTGTTCCCGGCGGTGACCATCTGCAACAACAACGCAATCAAATTGTCTTCTTTCAAAAACGACAAACCCATGATGAGAATGATGACTTCATACTCTAACCAATTTCAAAGTTCTTCTTGCAACGGAGGCCCTGGACCGAATCCAGACGGCAGTGGTGCCATACCCCTTACAAACCCTCCTTCTTCGAACAACAACTTTTCAACCTCCCCTAAAAGTTTAATGTCAACTACACTATCTCCTATTAATAACAATCCTAGCGGCCCAACAGCGAGTGGTAGTGGTGGTGGTGGTACACCGAGTGGTGGTGGTGGTAACCCAGCCGGTGGTGGCACGCCTAATGTTGGCACGAGCATCAATCCAGTCAGCAACGCCTCTGCCAGTCCAAATAGTTCATCAACTGCGTCAAACACAACTAATGTTTTTCAAAATTCGACAACTAACACTAACACTACGACCCTACCAATGGGTTAGATTACAACGCAAACTATTTATCTTCATAAGGTATATCATTATCGCGGTGTAAAATTCAAATGCAAGCAAAAAAGTTACCTAATCATTTCACTCTATTAGACTTTATAAAGATAAATTTGGTTGTTTATTTATGTTCCACAAATGAATATTTGTAAAGTATTGGATGTTTTCCAAACAGTTTTTTTTCGCAAATCATAGTATTAAAAATACGCAACTGTAAAACTACCATGAAGGATGTCACGCGTTTTTTGTGTGTTTTTGTTTTTTTCCTTCCCACTGTCCCAAACTCTTCCAAATTTAAACCCACCACCATGACAAAATGTTTGTAACAAGATTTTCATAATTTCACAATAAAAAACATCGTGACGTCACACAAGCTTTCACCCCTGCCTCCATCTTACTTTGCTACAAAATGCCACAACATTTTTCCCCATTCCCCCTCAAGACGTGACATCGTTCTTGAATGGCCCCTAACCTTACATATGTTATTTTTTTATAAATCAGTTGGCTTGTCACGCTAGTAAGCATTTTTAACTGCATGCATCCATTGTGCGTTCATCGTGTATTGAATCAATGACAAATAAGTAACGAATAAACAACGAATGAATAATGAACGAACACACCTGCCTCGAGTTAGTTTGTGGTCAGTATGATGGCCTCACTCCGGACGGTCGGCAGCAACGTAGCGACTTCAAATTCTTCAACCAGGTCATGGAGCAGTTCAGTAGCATGAATTTCACAGACAAGAAGGACAAAGGTCACACGTTGGATAACATGGTCGTTGAATGTGTTTACGCTGGAGGCAAATGTGTTACAGATTAGTATTTAATTTTATGTGTTCAAGATTTTTTTAGTTTATCGCAATTGAGTTATTTGTGTGAAATATTATTTTTTAACTTCAACACAATTAACCTGAAAGTAAAATAGAGTTTACATTACGTATCTGTTATCAAAATTCATCAGGTAGCTAAATGCGTAACAAGAAAATGGCGGCAATGCTCTGCAATAAAATAAATCAATTAAATGGATTGATTAAAATAATAAAATATTGTGAAGTTTAATTAAAAATTAATTCTCATTTGATTCAGCACACACGGATTTCAAATATTTTTCAAACAACTATCATGGAAATTGTTACACTTTTAATTCTGCAACGAGTTGGAACGAAAATTCTAGCATGAGAATGTCAAGAAAAGCTGGACCAAGATACGGTTTCTATAATAATTTCTAATCTATTAATTTTTAATAGCTAAACGCAGCGTATTTTTCATTATGAACCAAATTAGGCCTGTCCATTTTGTTCAACGTTGAGCAAAAGGAATACGTCGGGCAAATGTCGCAGTCGGCAGGGTTGCGAGTGGTCGTCCATGACCCTGCACGCATGCCCTTCCCTGAAGATGAAGGCATTCTCGTCGCTCCCAATGCACTCACTCATATTGCAGTCACCATGGTTAATAACTTTCTACTTCTGGTTTGTAGTTAGAAGTTAGTAGAAGTAAAAAATTTGGAGTTACTGAATTTTAAAGTGGTAAAATAAATTTTTTTAGATTGTTGTAAAAGTATTGAACTAACGATTTTTTTTATAAATGTACTGAAGGCCGTTTTTTAAGCCATGACATTTCTGAAAACAAAAATATAAATTAGGTATAGAAGGAAATAAATAAAAATAACTTGTTGAAAGAATATAAAAACATTACGAAATAATAATTCCTTATTTTGTTATTAGATTAAAACACAGAAGATAAATGGTTTGTACGGAAACTGTCGCAGCACAGATCAGACAGATAAAAATTTAACAATGTACCAAAAGCTATATAATGTTTCCTATTGTGAAAAGGTTTCTAATAATCTTCAATTCACTTTACAAGAAATATTAAATAGTCAACTATTTAATTTAATTTCAACTTGTTAATTATACAGGGCTGTTTATACACGTGCTTGAACGATCAAATAATACAAAATTGTGACTGTGTGGACATCAAATTTCCCAAGCCTCCAACTGATAAAAACAGCAGAACCGACCTTCGCCCATGCTCAGCTGACAACTCGACTATCAGTAAGTTTTATGGAAAAACATTTTCTATCCAATCCTATTTCCTATTAAATCTGCTCGATTATTTCAACTTTGAAAAATTCTTAAACAAGTGCAACTAACTTTTTGGTATTAATTAAGCGTTCATTCATTAATGAACATTTTTCTTCCAATGAAGCCGCGTGTGTTGATAAAATCTGGCGTGATTACGAGAATGAGAATCTTCCATGCAGCTCTGATTGCACTGTTCCCTGCAGGTTCATAGAAATGAATCTGCTGCTGTTTGTTGTTTACGAATTTCATTCTTTTTTTTATGAATTTTTGTTTCAATGTTTTTTTAAAGTCAAAAAGCATATTTTTCTGTTTAAACGTTTTCATGCTTGCAATTAGGTGTATTCATTTAGTTACACGATTATTATTTGACTAATTTTGACCAACATTTTTTTTTCTTCAATAAATTGAAAACTTTTTAACATATCTAACTTATTTATTTGATAAATATTAATTATCGTTGATAGCGAAACATTGTACAAGCCAGTTATAAGCAGAGAAATTTGGCCTTCCAAGAATTATTTGGTAAGTAAAATTTAATTTACGCAATAGCGTAAATATTGTTCAGTAGCATAAGTTTATAACATTCCGAGTACTCTGACCAACATTCTTCTAATCAGATACTTATCTCGTCAAATTGATATAATTTGTATTACAGCATTTTATTTATTCGAAAATTTCACTACTTATTAGCACCAAGAACTTTTCGATTACTACTATTCACACCATTTATTTTGTCAGCTTTTACTTTTTCTAGGGACTTTCCGTTAGAAACAAAGTAAACTTTTTTCAAAGACTGAATACATAACATCAGCCTCTTTTAATTATTCTTTGTTTCATGTAACTCATTATTAAATAAAATTGAAAATTTTACCAGGCTCAAATGGCACAAACGCCAAACTACCTAACGCTCTTCAATGAGCTGAACAAATCTGACAGCCAAGACTATGGACAATTTGTAGTTTTTCTTCAGGATTTCAGTTACACAAGCATTGACGAATCTCCGGCTTACGAAGTTGCTTGATTACTTTATATTCAAATTCTCATTTACTCAAATAAGTTTATACAATTTTGAAAAATGTGCCTACTCGACAGATCATGCAGTTCAGCTCGGACATTGGTGGCATACTTGGTTTGTACGTTGGCTTTTCAATACTGACCATCGTTGAGTTCTTTGAACTTGCAGCAGATATCTTAGGACTAATTTGCTTTCACATTTATTCAAGCAGCAAAACATCCGTGAAGAACTGGCGGAGAGAAAAAAAAATACGAAACTGCAATCGAGTTCTTCCATTTAAAAGTACGAAACATTACCATCCTTCAATTCATTTAATCAGTTTTCAAAACAAAAATTAAGTTGTTAACAATAACTGTCAGATATTGATTGTTTTACAACTTAATAAATTTACGACATTTTTCTTTATTGAATAAAACATTATATTTTCACGTTCCGTAAATTAATAGCATTCTAACTAAATAACAAAACAAATAATAAAAACTATAAATACATACATAAAAATAAAATAAAACTAATAATCTTCAAAGAATCGCAAATTTCATTGAACGAAATATATGTGAGCGGCGAAGATGACGAGGACGAAGAAGAGATGGATCCCCGTGGAAAACCGCGAACGGGTTCCAGAGCTTCTGTCCTTAACAGGCGAGATATGACATCTGTGCATATCTGAAGTGCACCACCAGATAAAAATATATTTTCAATTTAAAGAAAAAAGTTTTTCAATAATATTTTTAATTTAGTTTGAAAAATGTTTGAACAAACTTTTGAGTTGATATTTGCACTGGATATTTCTAATTGAAAATGTGAAAATGATATTATTTCCCAAAAACAATCTCACTAACATCATACAAATTCTTTGTTATTTTTTTATCTATCATTATTTATTAACAAAAACTTGAAATTGATATGATGATAAAACATTAATAACGATTAATCACTTAAATATTTTTTATATTTATTTGCTAATTTAGTTTCTGCGTCATAGAAATATAACTTATCATTAAATCCATGGCACCGTATAGAGTTTGTGATGCAGTTTAATTTGCCAATGTTGTGAGCCTGCACATTTTATTTTTGCACACACAGAACTTATGTTATAACCGTTAACATGTGTGCGGATGTTTGTTTGTTTGTTTATTTGTGTGTGATTATATAAACAAAATGATGTTGTTCATAATTTTGAATTTAAATTTTATTTTTAGAAAATCGTTGTGGCATATTAAAATTAGATGGTTGTTTTTTGTGAATAAAACTTTATGTTTTTAGTTTATTAATAATTGGTGAATTAATTTATTAATAGGATCTCATTCGCTAATGTTAACTGTTAAAAAAACATCTATAATAATAAGATACAAACCATGAACAAAAAAAAAGTAAATTTTGTAAAATAAATTTTACTCTTACAATAATTCTGTTTTATAACCCACCGTTCATTATAAATTCACCAGTAGTTTTGAAAAGTTGAATATATATGTATCTACGATCAATATAAACAATTGTACGGACCGAAAAGTGATTTAATGACCATCATTAACATAAAACACTCACACACACACACACGCACGCCTAAACAGACACACACACACATATATATATACAGGCAGACATTCTCGATTCTTGCTCACAAATTCAACATTTGTCTGTTGCTTAAAATTAACCACCATCACTATGATGTTAACATCATTCTTCTCGTCATCGTTTCCGTTATTTATTTTCATTCCCTTTAATCATATTAAGACTTGCTGCAAAGTGCAGATGATGATATAAATAAAAAATTTAAAAAACACGCTAAAAATTATTTATTTCTGAATAATTTTTTACAGTTGCCAAAACTTATACAGCTAAATGTTCTTACACGCACAAACCAAAATTATTTTGAAATCCCATTGTCAATTTTTCAACATCTATGTTAATTATTTTATATGAATAATTTCAAAACCTTAACATTGATATTACGGTATGAAAAGGGAACACTAATTGTCGCGAAAACAAGCCTGCTTGACATCGTGTAACGTGTTATTTAAGATGATGTGCACTGCATACAAATACAAATACGGCAATGGACAGATGTTTGTCGAAGAAATTTCGGGTTTATTTTACGTTCATTCGTACGAATAAGGTGTATAGCAAATGGTTAATATATGCTGCAGATAATACACAAACATCCACACGTACACACACACTCACATAAGTTTTGTTGAGATAAATTTAAGATTGATGAAACTGAAATTGACATTTAGTACGTGGTTCAGAAGAGAAAAAATTATACGTACAATCCTTCAGAAAGCAAAAATAATGAAAGTTTTGATTTGAAGAAAAAAATTAGAGCAGTTATTATTTACATCTTTCATACTAAATCAGATTCATTTTCAATTATTAATATATAAAATCAAATTTTCAATGTTCATGTGTTTAGTTGAAGAATATTATTTATTTTATTTTAATTTAATTTATCAAATTTATTTAAGCTAATCAAATTTTTAAAAAATTTGTAAACCATAACACATCTTATGTATGTAACTTTCGACTATATAGAATAAAAACAAAACTATGAAAAAATCACACTCCGTGAGATAAGGATATGAACGAAAGTAATAAAAAAGTTGATGGAAGTTCAAACGTCGAAGAATTAACACTATCAGCAGCTTGGCACAGCTTCCAGACGCACACAACCTCGCATGGAATTCCACACATCGTCAGGGCAAGAAGTTCGGTTTCTGCTGCATTTATCAAAATTTTGATGGTCAAATTTTCATTTTATATATGAATTAATTTGAAAAATTATTTTTATTCAAGTTTATTTTCATTGACCGTTATCCTATGTGTTTGAATTCATTTTCAGGTAACTTCAAAAGAGCTCTGTGGATTATATCGACAACTGTTTGCATTGTAGGATTGTCTTACAATCTCTATCTTTTATGTAATTATTAACCTATTTTTACAAAGTACAATTATTAACTACCTCAAGAACAATGTTCAACAAATACAATATATTTTAAAGCTCTGTTTATATATATTCATCAAACAAATACAATTTCACAAATTGAATCACAACTAAAAATTTTATAGACACAACACTAAACAAATCAAACAAATGAAAAAAATGTATTACGTAAAATTTGGCCAGGTGATAAATACTTGAGGTACAGCGTTGACACAACAATCAAAATCCACCTCTCAAAGTTGATGAACTTCCCGGCAGTGACCATCTGCAATAACAACCCCATCAGAAAAAGTTTCGCCTCACAATTTATCAACTTGACCGAATTTATGTTGGAGTACAGCAAGAGTTGTGACAGCAAGAGTAACGGAATGGGTGGAGTTGAGTGCGAGTTAGAAAAAATAGGTTGGCTTTTTTATAGTGTTATGTTTTAAAAATCGTTGATACAAAAATGGTTTCACAAAATTAAGTTAACCGAATGGAGATGTTTGTTGTGCCTAGCAAGTTTATAAATTATTTTTGATTTTCTTGATTTAATAATTTTGTAAAAAAATTGTTGATAGATAAGACACAACCAGTTATCAACATGAATGGTATGCGGAGTGATTTAAGGTGAAATTTTTATTTAATGACGAAATCTAATGAAATTAAATTCTAAAATTTAAAATTTTGAAAATTATTTTTTGAATTTTATTATAATTGAATGTAAAGAATGAATTAAATTTAATTTACTTAGCGTATTCAAATATTTTTCACTACGAAGACTCACAAATTTGTTGCAAGAAAAGTTCATCGAGATCTTCCACGACAAGCGGTTGGAGTCTGGTCACCAATTGAAACATTTGCTCACCGAGTGCTTCTTCTCTGGAGTTCCATGTGATTATGAAAAGTAGTAATTTTATTCAAAAGTTTATAGATAAAAAATAAAACAACCTTTCTACAAATTATATAAATCAGAGATTTCCGGATCATTTTCAATAACTATCACGGAAATTGCTACTTATTCAACTCAGCCATGTTCAACATGCCATCTAACAAATACTCACAAAAAGCTGGCCCACTTTATGGTAGGAATATTCAATTGTATATATAAAACTGCAATAATTACAGTTGGAAAAAAGCAAATTAACTTTGTGTAAAATAGTTTATGATAAAAGAGTTACTTCAGTTCATCATCGTATTAAATGAAACAAATCTATTTTAAAACTGATCAACCGGATTGATGAAAAATTATTTACAACTTTATCTGGAGGATTATCTGTGATGTTCAACGTGGAGCAGGAGAACTACATCGGAGAAATATCCCAGTCGGCAGGATTGCGCGTGGTCGTTCACGATCCCAAACGCATGCCCTTCCCAGAAGATGAAGGTATCCTTGTGCCTCCCAATGCACTCACTCATATTGGAGTCACCATGGTTAGTCTCGTAAATCCATACAATTTTGTTTTTCAAAAATAAAAACGTTAGATTGTTTTTATAATTGATTTTTTGCCAAAATCGACGCAATCTAATGCATTTTTCAGATAAAAACGAAAAAGATGAACGGCGTTTATGGTAGTTGCTATGAAGCGAGCGATGACAATCCCATTAGAACATATTATCAACGAGTTTTTAATTATAGCTACTGTGAAAAGGTCCTGACTTTTAATTCATAAAAATAATTTGAAAACTAGAACATATAGACGAACATTATTTAAAAAGGGGTGTTACTACACATGTTTGAGCAAAGAGATTGTCAAACAATGTAAATGCAATGATATAACACTTAACGTTTTTCATGAATTTGACATGATCAAGCCATGTTCTGTGAAAAGTCTACAAGATAGTAAGTCATTTTTCAGATCCGTGACGTGTTGTTTCTAAAATTATCTGAAATTCTATTTTGAAAATTATTTTAATAAAATAACTTAGTCAGATGTGTGAACAAAGTATGGCAGATGTACGTGAATGGAAGCCTCGCGTGCGATCCAGCCTGTCCGGTGCCATGCTTGTCGGTTCATTTTTCCCAATATTTAATTTAATCTTTCCCCAATCTTGTAATTCAAATTTAAAAGTTAAAAGTGACTTAATCTCATTTGTCGTATTAGTTATCATTTGTTTTCAATTCAATCGTTTCTCTGCTGCATTTAAGTTTTTAGATGAAAGAGCTTGATTGATTAGTGTGTAATGTATTGAAAAATATAAAAAAATTCGATGAGAAATATTACAACTTGAGTTAAATTCTGAAGAACAAACTAAGATTACATTTAAAATAAACTTGAAATAAAAAATTGAATTAAAAATTCTTATTTGTTCAACTTTGATCAAAACTTTACAGAGAAACAGTTTACGAGCCGCTCGTTAGTTCGGAGTTGTGGCCATCACAAAACTATTTAATGAACCACGTAAATTTTATTTTCTTAAAGAATAATGCTGAATAATAAAATAAAAACTTATAATAATTCATTTTATTCAAAATACAGATGAAAAGATTTAAAAAATCTTTCCTGAATAACACTCAAAATTATGGAAAACTTGAGGTTTATCTGAGAGATTTTTCGTACAAAGTCGTTGCCGAATCGCCAAATTATGAGGTTAGTGTCATGAAGTCTTATAAAATATATCAGACTAAACGACTTTCTATAGACAGCTGAAGAAATAATTAACTGTGATGGGAATAATTGAAAATTCAAATTTTTGTTGTCTTTGAAATTGAGCTACTTTTATCAGCATGGAGCTTAAAAATAATTCTTCAATTCTTCACATTAAAAGATATTGTTATTAATTTTTGTCAAGTATCTTTTGTTTGCTTATTTTTCATTCATTCATTCATTGAAACCTTACTTTTAAAATAAGAAAAATTTAGTTAATTTATTTCAAAAAATTTCTAAAATTATTCAACGCAATAATTATTAAACTTTTAGTTTCAGCAGTTCATATCAGACATCGGTGGAATTCTCGGCTTGTACATAGGCTTCTCCCTGCTCACCATCGTTGAATATTTAGAATTCCTTCTTGATCTACTCAAAATTATCTGCCTTTCATGTGTCAGGTATTTTCATAAAAAAAATTACAACTCAATTAAGGAATAACTTTCAATGCCTTTCAATAAAATATTTTTTGCTAATTTAATTCCAAAAACAGTTGTTGAAGTTGTTTTTTTTTAACTTTGTTCAATATCTTCATTTCTATTTAAAAATTAATAACTGTTTTATAATTTAATTATCAATTTTTTGAGTTCAACAATTAGGTGTAATTTGATAGTTTAAAATATTTTAGCAATTACAACTCGATAAACGATAACTTTCAATGCCTATAAAATTTCTCAACGATTTTATATAATTGGATAATGATATCTTTACATTATTTTTGTTCTTTATTGTGTTTTAAGTTAGTTGATTTATAACAACTGTATCACTTGAAAAATCGTTTTAAAGAAATCAAAAAATGTTTTTTTTGCATTTTTTGGCGTTTTGGCAAATTTTACTGGCCAATATTGCGTAAAGTGTTATTATGATTATTATTATTATTAGTAGTAGTAATAGTAGTAGTAGTCCTACCCATAACGAATGGAGACCAAACGAAGATTGATATTAGTGGTAGTAATAGTAGTAGTAGTAGTAGTAGTAGTAGTAGTAGTAGTAGTTGTTGTTGTTGCTGTTGTTGTAGCAGTAGTAGTAGTAGTAGTAGTGGTAGTAGTATTATACATATTATTGTACTAAAAAAGGTTTGCGACATTACCTTTTCATTCCCTAAAAAACGAATTCAATAAATAGATCGTAGCGTATTAATAACTTCTTCACATTATCAAATGTTCAAAGAAACAAAGAAACAAATAGCTTAAATGGGACAGATAAATAAGATCGGCTTTCTAAATTAGTTAAATAAAATTTAATTAATTAAACTGTTGTAATATTTCTTCTGTCGGATGTAATTATGGTTCAGTATAAATATGAAAACATTTGTTTGAACTGTTAGAGAATGAATATAGATGCGGTAAACCTAAATGTACATTTGCTACTAAAAGGTTATTGATGTTGTCCCATAAATTAATCACATGGAGTACCTTTCGGCGCCCTCAAAATCGTTATTATACTTATATTCACGGCGTATGGTTTGTTCCAGTAGCCACTTTTTAATTGCTAATGAATGATTTTGATTTTAAGATTTATTACCTTAACGTTAAAAGCAGGACAAAGACATTAAAAAGAATATTCAAGATTATAATGACAGTTAATATAATGAAAGAAAAAAAATGTTCTCTTGTAAATACGATAATCTTGTTTGAGAAGGAGCGCCAGTCAACAAATGAAATTAATCAATTAGTGAAAGCTGATGTGATGTTTATAAATCATAACTTGTGACCGACTTGTATGCTGTAGGAAAAATGAGAATAGGTTGTTGAAAGACTTCAAAGATATCCAATTGAGGCTTAGTGACGTCTGATCTTATCACATTGTAAATTAAAACAAAAAAAACACCTAAAATTATCAAAACATTTAATATTAAGTTGCAATTTGTTCTTCAAACATCGAACAAAAATGCATCGCAGTGATCCGAGTTTTTCACAAAACATTACTGTAATTGACATTCCGGATTTCTTGAGTAATTTTCCAATTTCTGACGGTGTTTTTGCAGTAAAGTTTTTAATTGATTTATCAACAATTTTTTCACTCTTGTTAATGTTTTCTACAATTGGATTACTAAATTATTTTTAATTTATCAATCTGCTAAAGTCTATTTTAAAATTCTCCAAAAAATATCAAACTTGGTTAAATTATTGAATGAATAATCACTAGCTGAACAACCAGTTGCACAGATGTCGACACTGACGAACAATCAGACTTTCTTTTTTAACAGGCTTTCTGTCCGTTAGTAAAATGCAATGATTTATTTTTTTAGCATCTTGTTCTCGTGGGATCTGGAGTGCATACGAGAATGGAAATCTACCTTGCAGTGCTAAGTGCATTGCTCCGTGCAGGTTTAGAAAGCAGAAAAAATGTTTTTTCAAGTTTGATATTATACCTTTGAATTTAATATAAAAATCGCAATCTGTTCATTCTACCATACATTAAACACCTTGCAAATATAAACTATGCTACATCGTGACTTGATCTAGTGGTAAGATTAAGCAGCTGGTCCCTTTAATGGACATGGATTAAACCGTTAAGCTAACTCAACGAAAACAATGAAATTGAATCCAAATTTCAATCATCTTTCTTTCTAAATCCTAAAAATTATTTCTTTTTAAACGGACATTAATCCAATTTCAATTTTTGAATTCAAAATCTACAACTTTTTTACAGATTACGGCTTTTATTAAATTATAACCATAAATTATAACCATAAAAAAATAATATGTGTAACTTCTTAAAATGTTTGCAGTCCTGACTACTAGGTTCATTCATTCAGTTATGCTTTTGGAAGTTAGATGAAAAAGATTCAATATGATTCGATTTCATCTTTTTATTATACAATCAACAACTTCCTGAAATACAATTTGTCTTATTTTTGAATTGTTTTTAATTGATAAATCTAATATCTTTTAATGATATGTTTTTTAATACAAGCGATATCCAGTACAATCCAGTTATTAGCCGAGAAATTTGGCCGTCAGATAATTACGAGGTTGGTAGCGGCTTAACGAATAAATATTATGTTATAAAAATATAAATAAACTTTTTCAATTATTAATGAAATGTTTTTGTAATAATTTGCAGATGGAAATGAAAGGCTTTACTGGTGGTAATAATCAGAACGTGAGCAACAAGGATATTGGTGTCTTTGTGGTGTATTTCCAGGAGTTAAGCTATACGAGCATTGTCGAATCGCCGGCTTATGAGGTTTTTTATATTTTAACTTTTTAAATGTTAAGCTAAAAACTTTACCACAAATTTTTTTAACTAAGATCAAAATATATGATCATTAATTATTCGACATTGAAACCATTTTGTAACAAGAATTGATACTTGTTAAAAGCATATAATAAAAAAATATTCAACGTAATCTTTTAAACAATCTGCAACAATTTTTGTTATATGTTTATGAAACGATACGACACAATTTAAGATTCAGGAATTTATTTCTGACATCGGTGGCATATTAGGTCTTTACGTTGGATTCTCCATATTGACGATTGTGGAATATTTTGAACTGGCGTTGGATGTTTTGAAGATTGGTGGCCATATGGCTCAAGCTTCAAGTAAGAATGTCATCACGAATTGGAAGAAGGCGAAGAAAAGAAAGCTTAATCCCAGCGTCTCCTCCTCCAGAACTGCAGGTGCACTTCACAAAAATTATCAAGTTGTTTCAACTCTATAATTTTAAGTTTTAACGGTTTTCATTTTTCGTCTTTATTTTTAGTAATAGCAATTTTGAAAAACATTATAACAATTTTTTGTTAAATATATTTGTATTGCCAGACGTTTTACTAATTAAAATATTCTCCTTTAATTTCACTAATTCTGTTTTTCAAAAGAGTTTCAAAGTTCAGTGGACATGGACAAATACAACAGGACAAGCGTAGAAAAGGGAGATGGATTGGAAATGAAATTTTAAACCAACTCCCATTCACAACCAATGAAGATCTCCCTTCAGTCTCCATTTTGTAATCATGACAGTGCCAACAATGGTGAAAATAATTAGTGATTTTCACGAGAACTACGCAAATTATTGTACTAACATTCAAAGATTTATAATTTTCCCTATAATTGTTGCTATATGGTTGCTGCTTATTTTTGCTTTATATATTTGTTTTAAAAATGAAGAGAAAATCAGCGAGAAATGACGAATTCGATGGAGATGCTATTGGCAATCAGTGCACGGCATCACATTCTTTAAAAAACATATTCAAATCTTATAAACCCATGTGCACATTTTTTAATGCTTCAGCACTGTTCACCGGAATAAATTGGCATAGATGTATTATTGTTATGATCAACAAACTATATTGTAAAATTTTGTAAAACAATGAATAAATAATGCATGAAAAATTGCGTTCATTGTTTCACAATTACACAAGGTTTTGCTATTTGTGCCATGCCCTGTCCTGCAATTTTATGTTAGGTTTTTCTTACACGCCTGTTTTAATTCCAGAAAAATAAGCCATATTTCTTCTAAATGATAAAAATCATAGAGAACTTGTGCAATTCTGTTCTCTTATAGAATTTCACTTTCAACTAGATAGAATGAACTGCTTAAATAATTAGTTGTTAAACATTGTGAGCTTCGAATCCTAATAGATCCGTCCTAATGAATGACAAATATTTGTCTTATTGATCTCTCACATTTTCCTGAATAACATCATGTCAAACGCGCCGTGAAGTTGCAACATTTCCCACTTATATATTTGTTATCGTTGTTAGAGGGATTAAAAAATGAGATTGTCGTTTCAAGCTAGAAGGCAAGAATAATTTGCTAAAATATATTTTTAAAAGATTCATTTATATTAGGATAAATTATACGCTCTAAATGCTTTTGTAACTATCAGTAAAATTTTTCATAAAAGTTGTACAATATGAATAAATTTGAATATGACGCGAGTAATTTAAACGATGACCATAACAAAACGACCAAAGGAAATAAAAACAAAAATGAAATGACATCATTGACTTTGATATGGAATGAATTCTACAAAACAACTTCATCCCACGGAATTCCTCATATTGGAAAAGCTAAAAGTTCAAAAAAGATTTTCTGTTTTTTAATATTTATTGATTAACTAGTGTAAAAGAAATTTTTCAAATTTATTAAATTGTTCACATAAATGTTTTAAGAAAATATCAACTGTTAAATTTCTACAGATACATTCAAAAGAATATCATGGATTATTTTGACACTAATCAGCGTAACAAGTTTTACCGTGAACTTATCTGACATTTGTGAGTTTAATTTTTAAATAGTTATACCGTAAAATGAGGTTAAACCTCATGCATCTAACAGGTAAAAAATATTTTGAGAAACCAGTGGAAACGTTAGTGAAGTTCGACTACAACCACAATTTGATGATGCCCTTCCCAGCTGTTACGTTATGCAACAACAATCCCATTAAGAAAAGTGTAGCTATCAAGTACCTGGATTATAAAAACTTGATGAAGAACTTCAGTGAAACTATGGAAAGCGTAAAATGCCAAAGAAATAAATTTTCTGTCCCTCATAGAGGTTATATTAAAGATGATAACAAACATGAAAATATAAAAAATAAAAATATTAATGAATGTTACAAATATATTAACAATAAAATTAAAAAAAGGTACAACGTTGATTGTTATATTTGCGTTTGAAATTAATTATAAATATATTTTCAAAATTTTCAAAGATTAGTTCATCTCATTTGATTATTATCACTTATTAAAATAAAAATTTGATTCAATTTGATTGAACAGGAAAGGATTCAAAAACAGGAAACTGCACAACTACGTGTGACCAAAAACCTCGATGTGGATTATTTTTCCTCAATCTTTTCCTGGAAAAGTACAAATGATTCTTACATTGCTAAATTTGTGTGTTTGGTGTGGCGAGAGAGAGAGAGAGAGAGAGAGAGAGAGAGAAATAGAGAGAGAAAAAAAAGAGAGAAACAGTGTGTGTGAATATTCAACTTTGATAACGATTAGCTGGTAAAATTTATTCATTTTATTTGCAAGAGACTCAATCAAATTCCCTGGAACGTAATATCCACACCCAACAAACCACAATCACATTTTTTAGTTCCTTGCATGCAAACTCAGCATCATACGTACGTGTTTGTGTGATAGTCTAAATAGTCTAAATCATCTGTAGAATGTATTCGAAATTCGGCAGCAATGACCAAAATTCTTAATAGTAACAGGATCGACCTTGGGCTGCAAGATGTTGTAACGGCTAAAGGCCTCTAGTCCTGTTTTGCAGTGACCCATCCCTTTCATATGCAATTTGAAGCGTTGATTGACGCGTATTCGTTTGCGTTCTTCAATGTGTTGCAGATGCAGTTGCGTGATATATTAATATCAATGTTGTTTCTAGGCATTATGAAAAAATGGATTTTCTTCCAAAGAGTGGAGGACATGAAATAGAGAATATTGTACAGGACTGTTCATTTAACGGAGTCAGCTGTCGACATAGAAAGTACATTGAGAGGAAAACTTTATTTGCTGAATTAACTGTTTTTTAAATAAAATTTTTAAAATGATTTTTATTACGCAAATTTCACAGAGATTTTGATCATTTTGTGGACATTCGACACGGCAACTGTTACATCTTCAACTCAGCGATGAACGGAAAAAAATTCAAAAATGCTCAAAGATCTGGACCTCTCTACGGTTTGTCCTAAGTCAAGTTCATTGATTTTAATGCGTGTAGCATCTCATAAGAAAAATTTTGCAGGTCTATCGATAACATTTAATGTGGATCAGAATGAATACATTGGAAAGATATCTCAGTCAGCCGGATTGAGGGTAGTGGTTCATGATCCCAAACGAATGCCCTATCCTGAAGATGAAGGCATCCTGGTCTCTCCAAACACTCTCACTCATATTGGCGTTAACGCGGTTATTACTACTTCAATTTGTTGACCATTTTTATTATAGATTCTAAACTGTTTTCATCATTTTATCTACTTCATTTATCATTTCACATCAGTTGAAACTTGTGAAGAATATTAAACGGGTGAGCACGTAGCATAATGTTTCCTAACTTTTCTTTAAATGTTTGAATTTGAAAGGTTATAAAATTTATGAAATCTGATCGAAAAACAATGAAAACATTATATTGGGCAGATTTTCAGAGAGAAACTGGGCGATCCGTATGGTGACTGCTATGAAGATGGCGTCGAACTTGACAGAAGATCTCATTATCAAACCCTCTATGGACTGAATTACGACGAAAAGGTCAGTGGTGTTTTAAATTTGTTTTTCAACTCAAAATATATCGACTTGTAAATTATTTGAGTATCAATACAATTTTAAAGGGATGTTTCCGTACGTGCATGAGCAAAATTATTTACGACAAATGCCAATGTAATGACATGAAGTTTTCGAAAGATTTGTTTCCCAATGGAACCAAGCTCTGTTCGGTTACCGACGATAGTACAAGTTAATAAAATTTGTTAATTTTTTAAAAGAATTCTTTTAGCCTTCACATAAATTAAATTATTTTAATTTGTGAAAAACATCAAACTAGAATAACGTGTAATGGGGAAAAACACAAACTGAGTGATAAATTTTAATTAATTTTGAAGATCACTGCATTGAAGAAATTTTGAGAAGTTTTGAAAATGAGACCTTTAAGTGTGATCCTGCATGTACATCCGCCTGCAAGTTAACGCACTCTACCGTATTTTTTTTTTAGGATTTATAAACATTCTTTGAGAAACTAAAATATTCTTTTGAAAAAATTTTTGTAATGAATAAAATCAAAAAGAATATTGCAAATTGTTAAGATATTTAAACACACAACCACTCAGAACGATCGATTTCAGCCCAATCATAAGCTCAGCTGAGTGGATTTACAAAGGCTATGTAATGAATAATTTTATGTTTTTTCTAATTTCGAATAACAGACATTATAAATAATCAGTTTTTTTTAAATAAAACTTCATTAACTATTGGACATGTTCATCATACTTGTGTTTTAATTAGAAAAAACTTCAGATTCAATAAATTTTTAAGCGAATTGAACATTTCAGAAACATTTTCAGAGAAGAGAGTTCGTAATGACTAAAACAAATTTTGTCTTCCAGTTCAATAGTATCTCCACGGTGGGAAGGCACTCCAATCGGAATGCAGACAATTTTGGAAAGGTGGTCGTCTTCATACAAAGCATGTACTTCAGTACAACATACGAAAAACCAAGCTACGATGTAAATTTTACAATTCATTATCATTTATTTATTTATTTGAACGATGGAACTATTTCAAATTTTTGATTAAATAACAAAATATATTATAAAACTTTGTCTAAATAAACTTCAGATTACTATTGAAGATATCTCAAAAAATTGTTTTATATTTAAATGCTCATAAACCAAAAATTTTCTCATTTACCAAATTTAATTGCAAACCGTTGTCGTAAAAACTAACACTGACCTTGGCCACCGCCCACTTTTCATTTGAAGGTGAACCAGTTGGTGTCCGACATTGGAGGAATTCTCGGCCTCTTTATTGGCATGTCCATATTAACCATCATCGAATATTTTGAATTCATTCTCGACGTGGCTGGAGTTATTTTGCTAAAGTTTTTCAAATGTACTTTTTGTATGAAATTTTAAATTTTTATAAATTTCAATTATGATCAGATGTTCCATTCATTTAATAACTGTATTTAAAACCATTAGTTTGTAAGTTATATGAAAATGCAAATTAATATATTTAATTTTATAATGAGTAATCATAGTTTTAACTTTAAGTATAAATAAGTAATCTGAAAATTAAAATGACATTTTAGAGAATTCGTGATGAATAAAAACATTCTTAACATGATTTATTGTAAAGTTAAATCACATACGTATGTAAGTATAAGTGTTTGCTTTACAATTTGAACAACGTGTTGAACTAACATGCCGTATGTTGTACTACAGATCAATACATGGCTTCCTATCAAATTATCAAAACAAAATTTATCTCTTTTTCAAAAATATTAACTTAACATAAAATTTGAATAAATAAGTATATGAATAAGAGTAAAAGAAAAAATGTTTTGGAAGAATTCATAAATTCTACCAAATATCATGGGATACCTCACGTTGTGAGAGCTAAAAGTAACATTATTCTTCATTGATGAAAAAAATAAGAGCTTCTTTAAAATAAAATAATTATCAAGCAAACGTTTGTAAATTTTGGTCTTAAAAAGATTTGAAACATTATTTATTCAAGGTAAATACAAAAAAATAATGTGGTATACTATAAATGTCGTGTGCTTGATAGGATTTTTGGTCAGCATGTATTCTCTTTGTAAGTCTGTGTCACTTTTTTCAAACAACATTTTATTTTAATAGTTTGATTAGAATTTTGTCTCAATGTTGTTAATCCTATTTAGCATTCATTCATAGAGCTATTATAATACTAATTTTGGTTAATGAATAATGATGAACTGTACGCTGAAGATGTTAAACTGCGCGTGGAACAGGTGAGATCGTTGCCTTTCCTTGCGGTGACTGTCTGCAACAACAATCCCATCAGAGAATCGCAGCTGAAGTTTTCTAAAGGATTGCACGATTTGATAGCTGCTTACAGAAATGAGAACGAAAGTTTCAATCACACGATTGCTGAGTATCAGATCATTCAAGAGGATTTTCAATCTCTTGCTTTGTTATTTTCAAAAGGTTTAGTTAAAAATTATTAAATAACCCTTTTAAAGAATTATTCCAACAATCATTCAAAGTTTAACTAAAGTCTTGTAATTAAAGTCTTTGCTTGATTTCAATTGAATTACTTTGGGTTTTTAAGAAACAAATGTCGTATGTCGTTTTTGAGTAATTTGAGAAATCAAATTCAAAGAGAATGTATGATAATATTTTAAACATTTATGTTTTTTTAATTAATTATTTTTGATTGAAAGAAAACCTACCCTGCTAAAACCTAAATGCTACGGATCATCCATTAAAAATATGTCAAAACTCACCAAGGTCTTTCGATAACATTCAAACGTAAAACAAGAAGAATACATTGAAGAGATAACGGAATCATCTGGGTTGAGAGTTGTGATTCATGACCCTAAACGAATGTCATTTCCTGAAGATGAAGGAATATTTGTGTCTCCTTATGCTCTTACTCATATTGGTGTTAAAAGGGTTAATTTTTATGTTTTATTACTTACATTTGATTAAAAAACGAAAGATTTTTAGATTAGTAATTCTGTAGTTGTTCTATTTAGTGTCAACCTATCTTTTTTCAAAACATATTCAACACAGTGTAACTAATTTTATTTGGGTTGATCGATTTTTTGTTTGCTATCTGATCTAGTTTGTATAAATATATGTTTTTTTTTGTCACTTTCTGCTTCCTATTCTGGCAACGTTATTCACTCGATTTAAATTTTTACGAGTTGAAAATTAGAAAATTATGGCCAAAAAATTAATTATAAAATTTTAATCTGATTGTTATTTTATTTTAAATATAAAAGATCGAGATTGGGCGGAAAGTTTGGAAAATGACATACTGGCAGTGCGAAAACAAAGACGTTTCAACAAGCCTACAACTTGTCCTACTTTCGCAATGTAAATGATTGATGCTTATGTTCTTTTCAGTTATAACATTAACAATCATTCAGAGAGTTTGCGATTTGGAAATTCATTGATTAATTGTTGCAGGGTTGTCAATACAGGTGCCTAGGGGAGGAGGTTCTTTGTAGATGTTCGTGCTTATATGTCAAATTTGCAACTCAGTTCAAAGTTGGAGTTCATAGCAAATATGTATGCTCTAGCACAAATACAAAAAAAAGTATGTTTTACGATTTTTCATCTCATACATTTATATTCAAAATTAGACCTAATAAAGGAAATGAAAGGGAAAATTAAAATTTGTAACATTTTCAGCTCATTAAAATAGATTTAAATTTTTAATGTTGGAATTTTAATGCAAATATTTGTTTTTACAATTAATTTTATAAGCTTCTACAATTAAAAAGTTTAAAAATTTAAGGTGATTGCTTGTCTGAAACTTTGAGATCCCACGACAATATATCCCTGAAATGCAACGAAAAATGTCCGCTACCATGCCGGTTAAATAGTTGTTGCTCAATATATGCTTTTCAAAATGTTGGAAAATAATTTAATTTCAGTTTTTTAATTAAATACAAATTTTTAAATTGAATCAATTAAATTATAAAAACCAAAATAAGTTTTCAACTTCACATTTTTGTGATCATTCTATTTATTTTTCCACGTGCAAGCAGGCAGGTGCTTATCGTTCCAACCATCAGCTCTTTGAAGGGTTCATCCCATCATATTGAAGTAATTGATTTAAATAATTTTATCAAATAGCTATAATAATACCGTTTCTTGCCACAGGAACACGTTCAAAATAGCTTCCATATGAAGTACGGTGATAAAACTTAATTTGCAAAATTACGGAAAGCTAGTAGTTTATTATGAAAGGCTAACATATCCTCATATTAGTGAATCACCAAGTTTTCAGGTTTTTATGAAAATTTGTTTTTTCACAAAATATACATAACCAAAAATGTCAATGTTCATTCGTTTAATAAAAACCTAGTAAACAAAATCCACCCGCACACAGCTTCACGAACTGTTTTCGAACGTTGGAGGTACGTTGGGTCTGTACATGGGCTTCTCACTGCTGACCATCGTTGAAATTGTTGTCCTGTTGTATGATCTCTTTCGAGCTGCAGTTCTTCAGAGGAATGGCAATAACATTTTGGAGCACGTCAAGAGAAACAGTTTTCATCATGTCGTTAAGACATCAATTTGTGCTTGGTTTTGTTGATTGAATAAACGCTGACAATGTGAAACTTTAGTGAAATTTAAAGTTTAAATTAGAATGAAGCGTTTCATCAGCTCAAAAAAAATTTAACAAAAATAAATTACTAAACTGTAGACTAAAAATTGTAGATCAATATGAATCGATTAATTTTTCTGTAAAGCACCTCTACTATCTGAACATTCTGTGTGCGATAATTTGGATTTTTATCGCATACAAACTCGCTCATCATTTATCCAAATTTTAAAGAATTGATAGCAGAACACTCGCGACTTTAAAAAAATGTTTAGATACAATTTATCAATAGAAAGTGAAAATTTAGATGAAAATATGAAAAGTGAATTGTTCATATCATCGTTAATCAAACACAAAACTTTGAAAATGTCAATCGATTATAAATAACAAATCTGGCCTAGTGCTAGCAAAAATGAACAAAGTTATTGATTGAATAATGTTAAACAGTGTAGTAGTGTCATTGTATCAATAATAATTACGATTCAACAGCACACAAGTGTGAACAAAAGTCAGGAAAATATGAAATGAAAACATTACGAATATAAATTAACACCATCATTTTGTTAGTTTCATTATCGTCCTTGCTATATATCGTGTTTAATGTTACGTTTTAATTAATGATGATCCCTTTTTTGTATTATTTTTGTATGATATCATTTTACATTGTTTAAAATACTGCATGATGCTAATAGTCGTTATATTTTTATAGAAATGGTATCAATTCTCTCCTAAGTTTTCAAAATTTATTGAGAATTTAGAGAATTATTTGTAACATAAGCAAGTAGCTAAAAATGGGCAACTCCAGACCCAATGATATAAACCATCGTGTTCAGCCGTCAGAGCATAACACCTGGCCTAATGGCGAAAGAGTCACAAGGAACCAAATAAATATTCTCCTGTCAACCATTGTCAAAAGAAATGACTTTCCATCAGCTTGTGACAATAACGACAACGAGAACAAAACATTTGAGATATGGTCAGAATTCACCAACATACTACTTCCCACGGAATCGCTCAAATTAATAAAGCTAAAGGTTGGATGATTTTTTCGACACCAAATTTAAACATTGAATTTTTTTAACACTTTTAAATTTTTTTTATAATTTAAGTATTATTTCAGAAAATTTTTTGACCATAGGTAAATGCAAAAAGGCTTTGTGGGTTATAATAATGTTGACCAGTCTGTGTGCACTAATTGCTAACATGTTCTATTTGTGTACGTTTATGACTTTCTCAATTTTTACTTACTCTGTAGTTAATATTAAAAAGAAATTTAAGCTTGCATTATTTTTAAAATTAAACCGATCAATTTTCCAATCTTCTCATAATCAGAAGTTATTATGTAATTTATAAAAGATTTTCACCAATTGATTTATAATATCATGCAAAATATTAACCCAAAACAGGCAATAAATATTTCAACTACGATGTTAACGTTCAAATAAATGTCATACAAGCCATGTCCACAACCTTTCCCGCTGTTACCATCTGCAACATCAATCCAATCAGGAAATCACAAATTGAGAACGTGGCGGAAATGAATCATTTGGTGAAGAAATATAACAACAAAATTGAGAAGTTTAATTGCAATAGGAGCGCTTCAAAATACAATTTGATACCACAGTCACTGTTCAATTTATTCATCAAGACGCCGACGACTATTCACGGTTCACAAATTATTTCAGTTTTTTATTAGATTTTTAGAAATGAGTCATGTAGAGGAAAAATGCTTACTTTTTTTGTTATAACTGAAATTTTAAAGTAATTAGTTTGTAAAAGTGTATTTAAACTTTGTATAATCACATGGCGAAGTTGACGTAATTTGTTGTTTTCAGATCGATGTATTCCAAAATTCGGCCAAACAAAAGATGGAAGAGACGAGCGATTGGATTTCCAATTTTCAAATGAAATGCAAGAATTATACCAAACGTTAAACGATTCTATCAAGTATACCATAGGGCATGATATTTATGACCTGGTTGTCGAATGCGATTATTCTGGAGGATTGTGTGTTCTTGAAAAGTTATCTCCAAATAAAAACCACGCAAACAATAAATCATTAAATAAAGTGCCACTTTTAACTAATAAAAGAATAAAATTTGTTTAAATAAATAAAGCGTTTTAAATGAATGAAAATATCATAAATTTTGACTACGTTGGTAACAATTTGATTTTGAAAGTTGTTTTACATAAGAAACACTTCAAAAATTCTGTTTGTTTCGATGAATACTCATAGTTAATGATGTGGGATTATTTCGCACAAAAATTCATTAACTGTCAAACATATCTAATTATATTTTCAATGATCTCAACTTATTCATAAACAGTCAACATGGAAATTGTTTCACATACAACTCAATTTTAAACAACAAAGTTCTTAAATCAACAGTGATGTCTGGTCCAAAATATGGTAAATGTCGGAGTACAAGCAAAAAATGAATGGACCAATAAAATATTTCTATTTAATGAATTTGTCAGGACTGTCGATAACATTCAACGTACAGCAGGAAGAATACATAGATGAGATATCGCAGACGGCAGGGTTGGTGGTGGTCGTCCATGATCCCAAAAGAATGCCCTTTCCAGAAGATTGTTTTTCCCAATGCTCTCACTTATGTTGGAATCAAAATGGTGTGCATTTTAAATTTCTGTTCATATTTTTAAGATTTTTTATGATATAACTTCTGTATTGGTTTGAAATGCCTTTTTAAGTAAAAAAATAATTGTGGACTTGAAATCTTTTTTGAGGTTTCTAGGAAACACTGTCAAGACTAAATGGAAGTTATAGGAATTGTTATGCTAAGGGTTTGCCGAAGCGGTCAATGTTTCAAAAGATCTTCAACTTGTCGTACACACAACGGGTTACGATTGTTGACTTTTTTTCAAAATTTTCATCCTTAATTTTTTACAAAACTTGTTCTTATAAGGATCATATTGAAATCCTTCGATCAAAACAATTATTCTGCTGCCACGTGCCTGATATACTCTGTTGATTTTAACGCTTGAATTATATTCACGCTGCTTTTTTTCCGTTAAACTAGCCATAAAGCTGTTGCCTAATATTTTACATTGTGAAAATTAACTTGAAAAGTTTAGACTAAGCGATAAATTTTTTGTATGAGATGAATGTTGTCGAAATGTACAAACGACTGCAAACAATGCAATTCAATGAAGCTTTGTATTCTTGATTTATGCAAGATAATCTAAGCCTCACATGTAACCCATCATGACTAATAAGAAGTTTTACATTTTTTTCATTAGCAGTTTTCAACATCAACTAAAGCAATCAAAAACAAATGCAATATAACCCTACAAAAATATTAGGGCTGCCAATACACGTATATTGGCGAACAGATATACCAAAGATGTTCTTGCATTGATTCCAACTTCAACGTCTTAGGTAAGAATGACTGACAACCGGCGAATTTGTTCAAGCAACAACAAGACTGGAGGTTTTAAACTGTTGTCAATTATTTAATTTTAATTGTCTACGGTAAATTATTGGCAGAAAAATTTTGTTTGAACATTAAATTATAAAAACTTTTAAACTTATCCATTGGTTTATTTCAATTTCTAGGAGATTGCGTATTCTCCGCAATTTGCAGCAGCAAAAACACTTCCTCCATGTGCTGTGCAGCCAAAGATGCGTGCCTGCTTGTTGGTTAGTTATTTTTTTACACAACCATCCTCTTGCATAGTTTATTGATGTACAAATATCTCATATTAAAGAATTAATAAAAGTTACTTATAATTTAGCAGATAATTTCAAAGTGCGTACATATAAGCATTTTGAAACTTATTGTTTTATCTTTCAGAATGTATAATAATAAGTTTATAAGTTTACTTAGTTCAAATTGCACTATATATTATTTCAGTAACAATCCACAAAACTAACTTTTTTAACATTATCACACTCTTTGAAATGTTTGAAAGTTAACCCTTTAACCCTTACCCCACCACACCGCCCAAATCGATTAACGTTACGTAACAGAAGAACACTGCCAATTAAACATTTATTTCAGAAAGAATTTCATTCATATTTGAGGTTCTTGTACAAAGATAAAGCAAGAGAGATGGCGCATCGTTCATGAACGATTCAACCACGGCAGATCCTAATAATCTGTCTCCAGTCCTCATCAAAAACAATAACTTTGGCAAATTAATTGTTTATTTTGAGAGCCTCTCATACTCGGCCATCAGTGAAACTCCCTCCTGTGAGGTACAGTTACAAAAAAATATAAAAAATAAATTAACGTTAAGTTTTATTTTTTACTGTTGTGTTATATATTAGCTAGCAAAAACTGTAAAAATAGTTATTAAACTTGAAACGAAATATTTTGTTCATTTTCGAAAAAACCCTTTGATATTAAAATTGGTTTTTTTTGGAGCATGTACTGGTATTGTTAACATAGCATTTATTTACAATTATAAAATAGTTTTTGTATTAAAGCTAAAGAACTGATAATTCAGCGATGAAATATACAAACAGGTGCAGCAACTGCTATCTGACATCGGAGGAGTCCTGGGGTTGTACATCGGCTTCTCACTGCTGACCATCGTTGAATTCATCGTTCTTATTTATGATCTCAGCTTTGTTGGCCTGAGTAATCGTTGCAGGAAAAATAAAACAAAATCAAATTTTAACCGTCATAACATCCGCGGCAAAAGCAGCGACACTTATTATTTCGACGATGCAATTAAGAACAACGTAGCTACCATAAATGATCGAGTTGGCATGGGCGTTAACATTCAGAACAGCATCGACAAGAACTACTTCACACATGAAGGTTATAAGATCAACGAAATCACGGATCATTTCAATCATTATGGTAAAGAATGTGGGAAAAAAGTTTTAAAAATTAATTCCGGTGATTGCAAAAAAGAATTCCCACAAAAAATCAACGACTGCGAAGGCATAGTTGGAAGGAATGATTTCAATAGCCGTGGTACACACCAGAATGAAAATTTCATCATCACATCTGACCTGGTAGGCATCTGACCAAATTTAAAAAAGCACATTAAAAATCACAATAGCAATAACAGGAACGACCAAATTTACAATCTTGCACTCAGCAATGTGAATTTCGATAAGGATAACGGCAACAGCAGAGACTCTATCACTGGCAACAATTGCACGTACTGCAATAAAAATGAAAAATCGACTTCCTACGCTAATCCAGCCCTCAGTCAAAACAACGAAACTTATTTCTAAATAATTTTTCAGATTTGATTAATTAAATTTGAAGAAACGGTTATATAAACGGATAGAGATGAAAGTTTCTTAAAAATTTTGTTTATTTTGTTTATTTAAAAATTTGGCATATATAACTTGCGTTAAAGCCCATTATTTATTTATATTTATTTATATTTATTTATTTACAATGGATGAAAAAATTGTTTTTTTAGAAAATTAGAAAATTATATAAACTTTTATAAAATTGAAATCACATAAATAATTCGCCAGTGAACGACACACAAATTTCATTAAATTTTTATTTTTCTTGAGATAATATTTCATTTTTATAAATTAGCTCCATTAAAAGTTTTAACAAACAATACCGTGATTTAGTTTAATAGCTTTGTGCCCATTTTCTGCTCACTGAGATTATCAAATGTGTCCAAGCCAGACTAAACTAACAAAGTAGAAGAAAGTATAAATATACACAAACATATATATTTACAACCAATTTGGTGGTTTTTCCATTTGTGGACGTGTTAGGTTTAAACATTTTACTTCAAGATTTGAAGTCGCGAAAAAAGAATGAAAGAACGAAAGCGAACTTGAAAACACGTCGTTCGTGCATTTCATCAGCCGGTTGTTTAAACAGCTCTAAAAACCCTTTCAACAAAATACACAAATCTGATTAGAGAATCATCGATTGGTTCGAGTACCAAGCACAAGGTAACAGCAATTTTTTGTTGTTGTTTGTTTAATAAATTTGCACCAAAAGCACCTTCAGCTCTTTTTACATGATACATCATCACTTACAACGTTTTGCAGTTCTACCATACTATTTTCTTAAAAATTACAGATAATTCGTTTGCTATCACACTGTTTCTTTCATTCCCAATGTTACAAAGTTGTCAGATGTTTAATCCGAACGACTACGACGAATCTTTCTACCGCAGTGGATTCATTTTGAATGGTAATAATAATAATGTTGGCAGCAATCAAACAGTCAAATTTCAGCAAAAAAACGAAATCGTAAAAATTTGGAGTCATTTCGCAAGTCTAACAACTTCGCACGGCATTCCCCACATTGATCATGCCAGAGGTTTCAAAACGTTTCCACTTATTAATTTTATTGCTACAGAAAGTTATGAATTTTATCTAAATAAACACAAGTTAATTCGTTTTTTTATATTTAAACAAACATCAACAATAATAATTATTTTGTAAATATAATTCGACGTATTTTATCTCCAGGGAGGTTAAGGAAATTTTTGTGGATCTTGGTGACATTAATTTGTGTTGGCGGGTTGATCTTCAACATGAATGAACTCTGTTAGCATTTTGCTTCTAGCTCTAAAAAACAATCTGAACTATCACATTCGATTAATGAATGACGCAATTTTAATTATTTAATTAAATATTAAGTTTGGCTATTGAAACTTCTTAAGTCTGTTACATTATTTGTAACTATTGCGTGAAAATTTTAAGCACCCAGTGATAACACTAATATAATATTTCAGGCGTCAAATTCTTGAAATATGGAGTTGACGTGAAGTTCAGCGTTGAACAGGCCAATCCGATGACATTCCCTGCTGTGACGGTCTGCAACAACAACCCCATCAAAAAATCAAGTGTCGCCGGCATTCAAAGATTGAACAACTCTATCATAAGCTACAACAACGATATTGAGTCTCTCATATGTTCAAACAATATTTCCTATCTATCCAAACAACCTGTCAATGCACCGAACTCATGTAGGTTTTTATCTGGCAAGATGAAATATTTTACATTATTTATGCTTAATTTTTTATTAAAATATTTAGTTTCATTATAAATGGCCATTTAAAATAATAGAGCCGATAACACTTCTATATTATTCAATTGTCAGATTTTCCTAAGCGATTTCAAAACTTGAACTAAACATTAAATATACATTGATAGATCAACATGAATATATAAATAGAATTGAATAAATTTTTAAATTTATATATGGATTTGTTTATTTCCATAATAACATCAGGATAAAGTTACTTATTTGTAAGTAAACATAATAAATAATAAAGGTATCTAATAAAATTTGTTTTACAGTAAAGAGATATAAATTTTTAGAAGCCATAATGTTATAAATTTCATTGGCACTGTTTGGTCCAGTCATACATGTCAAAGATTTGGTAAGAAATAATTTAACTGAAAACAAATTTCCAAAAAATAACTGTTGACAGCAAAATGCATCGTAAGCAGTGGATCGTCAGAGGATGGCAAGCAGGAAAAAATTGATTTCAAGATGAGGAAAATCGTACAAGAGATCTACTACGAAATGCGTAGCACTGACATATATTCGAAGGGACATATCATTGACGACCTGGTGGTTGATTGTCGCTTCTCAGGAAAGTACTGCTTTGGGTTGGAAAAAATTAGACATCCATTTGATTTAGCAATATTATTTTTTTTTAATTTCAATAGTTTTAGCAAATTTTATTATTTATTTATTTATTTAACAACTGACCAGAGGGCATCAAGATGTTTCGTACCCAGTCAGAAATTATATTTAAAAATAATAAGTTTTTTAAATAATAAGTTGCTCGACTTTGAATGTTAATTCATTTTCAATTTAGAGACTTCACGACTATGTACAATATACGATATGGGAATTGCTACACATTCAACGCGGCCGAAGAAGGCAAACCTCTGAAGACTATCAATTATCCCGGTCCAAACAACGGTGAAGCTTTTTTCGAACGCGTCACTTGAAATTTCATCATACAATTAAACAATTTTATTTTAATTTAACACTGTTTTTATTCATGGAACCACGGTAGGTCTTTCAATAATTTTCAACGTGGAACAGGATGAATACATCGGAGAAGTGACACAATACGCTGGCTTGAGAGTGGTGGTTCATGACCCGAAGAAGATGCCCTTCCCAGATGACGAGGGCATCCTTGTGCCTCCGAACGCCCTTACTCATATCGGAGTACAACTGGTTTGTTTGTGTTAATGAATAAATCATTAGTACTATTAAATTGTATGGTGGAGAGTAATAATATTGTTATAACCGCGGGAATGATCGAATTGCGCTAAATTATTTATCATTTGATTATTGTTTTCTTTGCTGTATTTTTAATCTTTGGAAAGATTGTAAAATTGTATCTATGCTAAAAATTGGTTATAAATACGCCCTACGTAGTCAGGTTTACAAGTCAGGTTTCCAGCAGAGAAAGTGAAGTCGTAAATGTGATTTCTGTAGTTACTTGGATGAGTTTATTGTTTCTATTACTGTTGGTTTTAAAATAAATGTTCAACAAACTTTGCTTTTGACTATCGTCGAAAGCTACAACACTTGTTGGAAATATAGAGATCTTTGAAATTATAACATCGGTGTTGGTAGTTACGAGAGTCAACGGTTATAACAATATAAACCCACTTTGTGTTCGTAGTACGATGTTTAGAGCTTGTTTATAAGAATATTCTACTTCTTGATCTTCTAATTTTAATTGAAATTTTGAATATTTCAAGTTTTTTGTACAAAATTATGTAACTAAAATTGTTGAAATAATGTAGGAGACAGTTTCGAGGCTGAATGAAAGTTACGGCAAGTGTAACAGCAATGACAACCCAATTAAAACCAACTACCAACTCACGTACAACAAATCCTATTGCCAGAAGGTTTATAATTACTTGAGAATGAACTGGCCTTATGAATTATTTAAAATATGGTTTAATAAATTTTAATGATAAAATTTGATGGTTATGTAATATAAAATTGTTCATAATTAACCTGCTTCAACATATAAATTTAAAAGCCACCTCTAGCAAACGAGAAAAGAAATTTAAATTGAAAAATAAATTTATTATAGCTATCAAAATTTTTTTAAAGACTAAACAAGAAAATGAACTTTTTAGTTTACACCAAGTTTTTGTTTTGATAAAGCTCTTTGGCTGAGCAAGCAGCTGGATTCCATTTTTACATTCTATTTCTTACATTCTATTTCCTAAATTTTTTACATTCCATTTCTTACATTACTTTTCTTACAGCCAAAAAAATGGTCAATTACGTGTGACGTACCTTTATAATCTCAATTATTGTTATGTCGTTGCTGTGAGAGGAATATCAATTAATGAGTCATGATTGATTTATATGCATTTTACGTAAGAAAATTTAGAATTTATTTTCCACTTTTTGCAACCTACAGGGTTGTGAATACACTTGTCTGGGAAAAGAAGTTATCGACCGATGCAAATGCAAGGCAGTCAAATACGCCGTCTTCCCAGCTAACGAAGACCCAATAAGAACCTGCCAATCACAAAACAAAAGCGACGGTAGATAAAAAAATTAATCACATTTTGTCGTCAATGCGTGTCCAATTCGTTGTTTTTCACGTTTCTTTATCTATGTACGTATAATTTATTGTTTTTTCTTGAAAATTATTTTATATTGAAGAAAATTAAAATAACTGAACAGAAGAATGTATGGCGGAGGTAACACAATCCAGCGAAAATGGTTCATCGCAGTGCAATAATGACTGTCCTAAACCATGCCAGTTAGTTTAACTTTAAATTATTCACTATTATTATGAGTTGAATTCATATAAAATTTAAAAAAATCAGTATTTATGCCAAAGTAAATTATAAAATTGAAATAAATGTGGCGAAAGTTTTTAAGAAGAGTTAAGATTATAGATATTATTTTTTTAATCTGTTCTCTCTATTCTATTCTTTATTTCGATATTTGCAGCTAGCTGATCAATTTGTTTATTTGCACGTTAATTCGTCAACTGAATTTGTTCCAACAGAGAAAATATCTACGTCATCTCCATCAGCACATCCATGTGGCCATCAGAAAATTATAAGGTTAACTAATTTATTTATTTTGAAAAATAAATTTCAACCAATCGAAACAAAGCTATTTTGATTTCTATCATTTTTTAATTTAGAATTTTAAAAAAATTTCCTTTCCAAGGCAACATTAATGAAAATACTAGAGAAGCACCACGACATATTCCCTAGAGAACTCAACGACAGTGATTACTTCATCGATTCGAACTACGGCAGGTTGGTCGTCTACTACAGCACGCTGGCCTACACGCAGACTAGTGAGACCCCGTCGTACGAGGTAGGAACAGAGCATCATAACTAATTGCAACAGTTGCCATTATTATCGCATGAACACTTAAAAATTGAAGAACGAGTCGTGCACAATTTAAATTTAAAATTGAATAAATTAATTAGATCTTATTTTAACACAACGCCACAGTTGAAACAATTTCTATCTGACATCGGAGGCATACTTGGGTTGTACATCGGCTTCTCCGTGCTGACGTTTGTAGAATTCATCGAACTCATCTACGACATTTGTCTGTCCATGTTCACAGGTGGATGTTCGAGAAAAAAATACAAAATTTTTCATAAAAAATTTGACAACTCTAGTTTCGATTACAACTACGACAACAATGGTATAACCAATAACAACAACAACAAAATTGACAACTTGAATAAAGTTAAAAACGATACTTCAAACGCAACAAATTGCAATAAAATTTATAAAAACATTGACGAAATTTGCGACGGTTTTACAGTTAACATCGGCACAGTTGATGTTGATTAGAAAGTGAGGAATGTGTTATTAATTGCTCATGATTTTATTGCTAGATTGTTTCACCGCCAGTACTACGATTAACAACACATTTGTTACAAGACCTACAAGTAGGGTGGTAAATTTTGTTGTATATGTTTGAATTGAATCAAAAGATGGTATAATTTCCCAGACAAATGACATGTGGCAAATAAGAGATAAGTTCTGGTTTTTCGTTTCATTGACAGAATTGTTTTTTTAGTTTTAGTTAAGCGTGATATAGTATAGCAAATCACTGTTTATGTTTCAATGTTGATAAACACCTTTTACAATTTCCTATTAACCACTTGATTTTTTAAAAATTCATAAAAATGAAGTTATTTATCACATTTTAAAATTGAAGATTTTGAAAAATTTGCGAGTCATTGATTTCCTGTTATGTGTATTTCAGCAAACTAAATTTGCACTAGACTGTAACTAACCCTATTATGCAGCTGTAATCTGCCTGTTATTCAGTGAATGTTAATCAGCGAGTCTCATCAACGAATGAATAAAGTTTTATAAAGAGCAGCCAGCAGCAGACGTGTGTGTTAATTATTTAACGATAATGCTCTCGATCGACAGTTTCATACGTGTCCTGGAATAAGTTCTTGAATTGATTCTATCATAGATTCTATGATGAACATGAAACAGATGCTTGTGTTTGCACGCTGCTAGAGTGACGAATAACATTCAAAATTTTGTTCAATAATTGTTTGTAAAATTTTCTAAGTAGTTGTTTGGACATAATAACATTTTGAAAATTATGTACATTAAATGTAATCAGATATAAATAGTTATAATAAACAAAATATAAAACACATAATGGTAGTTATTTGAATATATGATGTTATACAAAGTTGTACAGATCACAAAAACTTCAGTAAAGGCTGTTTGAGTGTAAAAAATTCAACTTGGATGTTAGTTTGCCCTAATAAAAATACCGGAATATGACATTTTTCATGGCAATTTGAATAATATTGTAATAAATATTGAACTATCGAAAGAAGCATCGGATGAAAAAAAATATGGCACACACACACTCATATATACTATATAGCCTATTCATTCATACACGTACCCATATATAGCACTTATAATATGCGCATTATAATCCTCATGTAGAGATTTATTAAATCATTTCTTTGTGTGTGTGTGTAAATCATTTCTTTGTGTGTGTGTGTGGGGGTATATCTATGCTAACGTGCGGATTTGTAAGTATGAATCAAAAATAAATGCTTACATTAACATATGTTCTAATAAGATACACACATCGTGCATAATCGAACGACTTTGAAATTTATATCCATTCAATGTGAAATGATTTGAAAGTCTTTGAAAATAGAACTATATGAACAACATTTACTAGTCATTCTAATGTTCAGTGAGTAATTCGTTTGAAAAATTTTCGTTATGTGATTTTGAGAAAGCAGTAGAGAGTATGGATAGCTCAGAACACCGCCTCGGAAATATTATTTTAGTCAGTAGTTCTCTTGAGTTACAAGTTTAAATTTTATATTAAAATTAGAAGAATACAAAATGGAGGATAAACGAGTTGACCAAGACGGGACAAACGATGAAGGTGATCTTAGTAAAATATGGAGCGAATTCGCGAGTGTGACCACCTCACACGGCATTCAGCGCATGAATAATGCTAAAAGTCGGTTGTTTCGTTTTTTTATAAATTGCTTTGCAAACAATGTTTTGATTCTTAAATATATTTTAAATTAGTGACTGAGATGGATTGCGACTGGTACTTCCGTTTTGATTTGTAACAAATTTAGAAAGTCTATAGGCGGGATGATTGTTAAAGTTTTTATGTCGTTGGATAGGTTCACAGTGAGAGCGTTGCTGGTGCACAGTGATAGAATAAAAAGGCTGTTAACATTTCGGAACAACACATTTTATACTATCATTGAAAAATTTACAAATAAAATTTTTTCCTTATAGCTGAAAAGTGCAAATTTTAGTAAAATTTAAAGTTTTAACGTGCACAAGCAATTTTTTGGAAGGCAAAGTGCCGTAACCAGTGAGCAAGTTCAAATTCAAAAATTCATTTCATCATATGCGAAAGTTTATTACGTTTTAAATACTTGGGGAAATGATTACTTTCTAAACTATGTTTTAAATTAATTATTTGTTAGCTTATAATATTTTTTTATCATACTAATGAAGGAAAACAAAGCAGAATCATTATTCCAAAAGAATTTGACTTCATTCTTCTACCTTCTATATTTCATTTGCTTTAGCATTTTATTTTGGTACATATTCAACAGATTATCATTTAAAGATTGTTCTAGATGAACGATTGTTTAATGTTTTTACTGCTAGGTTCTATCAGCATCCTTTTTAAACTTCTCATTATAAATAAATTTTTCATACTTACAATTAATTAAAAAATTTTAAAGACAAATTGAAGAAAATCATATGGTTAATAATTATATTGGCCAGTGTCCTAGGACTGACTATCAACTTCTATTCGTTATGTAAGTCATACTTGAAAATTTGAAAAATTATTTATTAAAAATTTAAACTTAAGAGGTGTGATTATTGTTCAATTGTTTTACATATTATAATACAAAACTGTTCATCATCTAGGTAAAAAATACTTAAAATACGAAGTTGACGTTAATTTCAAAGTTGAACAAGCCAAGTCATTAAAATTCCCGGCCGTCACCATCTGCAACAACAATCCCATTAGAAAATCCCTTCTAAAAAGCTCTCCTGCTTTTGAACAAATTCATGCACTGGTTGAAGAATACGTCCAGATATATAAATTCTCTTTCTGCCGTGACAACGATTCACTTTCGGAAGATTCTTACGAAAACGGTTCGTCATTTCTTGCGCCAATGTGACATGTATGGTGCTTTGAACGTAATGTTATTATTAATTACTTTGAGGTGATTATATTTCACTAAATTTTGGTCACTGCGAAGCAATTAAATTTAGTCATTTAAATAAATTATATACAGTTATATACAGTACAAAATTGTTCTTTCAATTTTCCTTCTCTATAACGGTCAGTGTCAGATTCGTATTTTTTAAAGAATAATAAATAATTATTACTGTCACCGACATTTTTTAAAAGTATAAGCCACTTCTACAACAAATTTCTGGTTGAGCCACTGACCGCAAGTTGTCACCGACTTGCTGTTTAATGTCGTTGTTTAACTCATAACCGATTTTAGTATATATTCATTTTTTATTTAATTTATTTATCACAATTGAAATAATGTTATAATGTTATCTATCTATTTACAATATTTTGAAATGTTTAAAATAACGCCGAACAGAGGAGGCAAGTGATTGTATTCCGTTTTCAGAGGCGTCAGTTTCAGAATTTGAAAAAAGTTTAGACACTGATGTAGGAGTTAGAATAAAAGAAACGTATGAAGCTTTAGAAGAAAGTTACAAGTTTGATGCTGGTCACCAATTTGATCAATTAATATTGGACTGCGAATTCGCTGGTGTTTCTTGCATGGATACCAAGTTTGTGCAAACTATTATATAATTCTAGACGCACATAACTTTTTGCATTCATACAAATGAGTTTCTCTCTGTGTTAAATTTCACTTCAAATCATATTAAAAAGTGATTTTGTGCATACTGTAAACAATGTCTATGGAAACTGTTACACCTTCAATTCTGCATTGTTAGCTAAAGAAATCAAGGTAACCAAACTGTCTGGTCCTAAATATGGTAATGTTTGACTTGGTGGTGTCTAGCTTGCAAATCCAACGCTCACTTATAACATAAACTAATTTGACAGGTTTGAAAATAACATTCAACGTTGAGCAGAATGAATACATTGAGACATCTGAAACTGCAGGCTTGAGAGTTCTCATTCACGATCCCCAACGTATGCCCTTCCCAGAGGATGAAGGTTTCTTAGTGGCTACAAACGCGCTCACCCATGTTGCAGTTGAAGTGGTTTGTTTTGTAAGAGGGTCAGTGTTATTAGGTGGTTGGTTTTACCAAATAGATGGATTTATCGAGGGGTTGGTTTCAATGGAAGGTTTATTTGTCGGGTAGTTACTTCAACGGTTTCAGTTATATTAATGAACATCATTGTACAAACATTCTGAGCAAATTTTTTTCGTTGAAAAAATAGATGAAAAAATTAAGAAAAATATATTAACCATTTTTGTACGTTTAGGAATTTTTTATTAGTAACATTTTATTATAAGGAAACTATGCTTAGAATGAACGGAAGTTATGGGAATTGTTACGCAGAAGGTCTGCCAAAGGAAACAAACTATCAGCATCAGTACAACTTGAGCTACTGCCAAAAAGTATTTCGTTTTACTATTAGATGAATAATTGGTAATAATTTTAGATTTGATTTTTGGGTTGAGTTTGTGAATAAATAGTTCAAATTATATTTTAAATTTTAATTCGTGGAAAACAAAGAGACTGATAATATTAATAAGTTTAGTGACAGTGGCTCGCTTCTAAAACATTCAATCTTGGCTTATTATTATCGTTTTTATGCGTTAATTAGTGATGATGTTTTTCAAAGTTACAAAAATTTGATAAGCAAATTTCAAAATGTGTAGTTGTTAATAAAAGTAAAAAATGTTTCGACAGCAAAAAATGAAACCTAACCTGCAGGGATGCCATTACACACGCCTGAGCGAGGAAATATACCACAGGCGTGCATGCGTCGACGTCAAGTTCACTGCGATGTTGAATGTGCCGAAGTCCAGAAAAATTTGTTCAACCAGCAACGAAATTGAAAGTAACTATAGTTTCATAATTCTAAATTTGTTTTATTAACTGTTAACATTAATATAAAGATGGTGAAAAAGCAGGTAAAATTTAGCTGCTTTTTCAGTTAAATTCTTAACAGGATAATATTGAGAATTACTAATTAAAATTTTATTAAATCACTAAAAAATATATATGTTGCGAGTTAAATATATATGTTGCGAGTTAGTATGTACAGTTCTGGTTCTTTATTCTGATGAGAAATATTCACTAAATTCTCTCATAGAAAACTGCGCAAACGAAACCTTAGCAGCGTACGAAGACGGCTTACTGTTTGGTTATGAGATGTGTCCACCACCTTGCAAGTCAGTCCGTTTGATATCAGCTGCAGTTATAGACTTTGTCAATATTTGACTTATACGAAGCGCGGTTGTTTTTGATTTATAAATATTTCATTCCCGTAAAAATGTGATATATAAACCGATATCAAATAATTTTAAAAACTTTCCTAACTCAATGGTGACTTTGCCACAATAATTCATTGTTAGATTATTGTAATCAAAGTTCTATTTTTTTTAATTATCAAACTGTTTTTGTTGCTAAAATTTTAAAATAAATCTTAACCTATTTATTTTGTCATTAGGGAAAATATTTACAAAACATCTATCAGCTCATCTAAATGGCCAGCCAAAAATACAAAGGTTTATTTTCTATGTTCTATATTCCAACAACTCTATCCTCGACATTTTATTTTCTAGCCTTGAAAATGTCAAACCATTTAAAATCACAAAGCAATTCAAGTGACACAGTTTCATTACATTAGTGAAGAACGCTGAATAAAAACTGATAAATGTACTGTTACCTTTATACTAGCAATTATGATCTACATTTCGTTAAATCGTACAGGATCTAATGGCATCATTCATAGATAAAATCTGTCGTGTAGCCGAACACGAAGATAAGTCATGTAACATAGACATAAAAGATTGCGGGATGCTCTTCATCTATTTTGAAACTCTTTCGCATTTAATCGTCGAAGAATCTCCGTCGTATGAAGTATTATTCGTCTGGATTTCAGTTTTCAGTTTTAGTCTCTAAACTTTTGATTGTTTTTATTCAACTTCCCTCCAATCTATTTTAAATTTTATAATTACTAACACTTTGATGCTTTATAATTACTATTTTTATTTTCAATTGCTTTTTTGAAAATTGAAAATCTTTAAAAAAGTGAAACAAATAATACAACATTAATTTTAAATAAAATAAATTTTAAATCTGAAACAGTTTCATCAGTTGCTGTCTGATATCGGAGGTGTCCTGGGATTGTACATAGGCTTCTCACTGCTGACCATCGTGGAGTTCATTGAATTAATTTTTGAAATTTGTAGAGCGAGATTTCGCAAAAGATGTTTAAGAAGAAAAAAGATTTCAAACGCCAGATCCGCTGAGTTACGCCAATTAAGTTAATTACTACTCCAAGAACATTGAACATGTGAAATAGTAAAACAATTGTTCTTGAAAGTTATTTACAATTTTTGACACTGTGTTTATGTTTTGTGTTGTATAATTCATTTCAATTTTTCCGAGTTATTTCATAAATTTTTTCAATTATGTTTACTTTATTCGTAACAAATTAATCGTTGAATTTTTTCATATTGATTTAAATGACATTATATATAAACTTGTTAGGAATTTAATTCTGAAAAGAAAATTGTAAAAAATGTAACAATTATTTAATCTTAAACGTAAAGCTGAATGTTAGCCTATCTGCCTTTGTAGCAACAACGTTGAAAATAAACAATACACCAACTTTTTAATGAGTTTTTGATAAGAGTGTTCTTTTTCTCGTGTTTCATATGTTTTTTTGGCAAAAATGTTATTTTTTTTAATTTCTGTCTGATTGAAATTTTATGAGGTAGAGAAATTTGATATGCGCAGAAATTTGTAATGATTGTTTATAATTACTAATTATTATAAGTTTAAGGCTGAACAACTTCAACTTGTATATGTATTTAATTTTACTAGAAATATATTGAAGTCCAGTAAAAAATACGAAAATACAAATTGTGCTAAGCTTGAGCATACATATTATATACTCTCACTCATATTCTCTCTTCATTTCTCTTTCTCTCTCTCTCTCTCTCTCTCTCTCTCTCTCTCTCTCTCTCTTATAAAAGTGTATGTGTGCGATTGTCTGTGTGTTTGTATGTATATGTGTGTGTTTAATAAATTTAGCTGCACAGTTTCACAGCAATCCGAGTAAATTTAACAAAAGCACAACAAAAATTGTTGTTATAATTATTTCACATCCCTATATATATATATATATATTATTATTATTATCAACAATTTATTAAGCGCATTATAAAATTGAAATTTTTCGAAAGCGCTCTCTATTATAAATGAAATCAGTGAAGGTCAATAAAGTACAAATCAATAAAGTATTTCTATGTCAAAATAAATATGTTTTTAAGTTCCTCTTAAAATCATCAAGCTTTAGTCCAGGCATTCTGAGCGATTGCGGAAGACTGTTCCAGGCAATTGGTTCTGACACGGCAATATTTCTAGTTGCAGTTTGTAGTTGAGTTGTTGTCACTCCCAGTAGGTTGGCATAGTCTGATCTCAATTTTACACCTGTTGAAGAAGCTGGTTTTTTTAAGATTTTATTTGCTAGATATTCTGGTAACAACCCGTTCAAAGCCTTATACATAGTCACACAATTCTTATAGTTGATTCTTTTTTTCACTGTTAGCCAATGTAGGTCTCTTAAAATGGGTGTCACATGGTCATACTTTCTACGTCCAACAGTTATTTTTGCAGCTCTATTCTATATCGATTGAAGAAAAGCAATAGATCTCTCTTGTAATCCATTGAACAAGCTATTGCAGTAGTCTAACCGTAAATAAACAAACGCATGAATTAGTGTTTGCATGGTTGTTTGATGTAAATATTTTCGAACGCGGTATAACTGGCAAAGCTGATAAGAACATGATTTGGATATGGTTTTTATATGATCTTTAAAAGATAATCTCGAGTCAAAAATACATCCTAGGTTTGTTGCATTTTCACAGAATTGTATTTCATTATTATCAATTTTGACTGAATTAATATTAATTTTAGAAAGCTGTTGCCATGTACCGACAGGTAAAAATTGAGTTTTATCTTGATTCAATTTGAGACGATTTCTTGACATCCATGTACCTATTATAGTCAAGCATTCAATGAGATTTTCAACTTTACTTTCAAACAGTTCTGGTTCACTGCTAACTATTATTTGGATATCATCAGCGTACGCATGATATGAAAATCCAAAGGATTCTATTACTTCATATACTTCAGCAGTGTACAGTACAAACAGAATAGGTCCCAGGACTGAGCCTTGTGGTACACCAGATGACATTGCTTCAATACCAGATAATTTGTTCCCGAAAAAAACCTGCTGAGTTCTACCAAACAAGTACGAATTGAACCAATTAGCTACAATTCCAGTAACTCCGTAATCACATTGTAGGCGATTCATCAGGATTTGATGGTCTACGCAATCGAGGGCAGCACTCATGTCCAAGAATGTAAGCAACGAAACATATTGTTTATCAATTGCATTAAACAACTCAGACATAACATACAGCAGTGCTGTTTCAGTTGAGTGATAACGTTTATATCCAGATTGAAATACTGGTATTAAGCTATTTTTGTGTAGATGACTCAGTAGCTGACTGGCAACAACTCGTTCAATAACTTTAGAAACGAAGCAAATGTTTGATATGGGTCTGTAACTTTTCATTTCATTTCATTTCTATCGTCTTTCATTTTCTTCAAGACAGGTGTAATAACTGCGTGCTTACATTTATTCGGAAATACTCCCTTTTGCAAACATAAGTTAACGAAGCTTGCGAGAAAAACAATAAAAATATCTATATGTTTTTTAAGCACATGAGTCGGAAAAACATCTAACATACAGGTTTTAGCCGGTAGATCAAGCACAATTTTCTTTATGTCTAGTTCCTCAACGACGGCAAAATTTGTGAGCAGACAATTTTCGGTAAGCCTACATCTGTCAAAAGTAGGTTTTTCGTTAATACTAATAGTATGCTTGATCCGATCGGTCTTTTCTTGAAAAAAACCCATAAATTGAGAAGCCGTGATGTCAACATTATCATAAAGTAAGCTATAGTTACTTTTACAAAGAATTTTGTTTACTACGTTCCATAGACCCTTTGAATCACCATTACTATCAGCAATCAACGTTTTCCAGTAATCATTTCTTTTTAAGTTGGCGTATATATATATATATATATATATATATAAATATATATATATATATGTGTGTGTGTGTGTGTGAGTGTGTGTGTGTGTGTGTGTGTGTGTGTGTGTGTGTGTGTGTGTGTGTGGTGTGTGTGTGTGTGTGTGTGTGTGTGTGTTTGCATGTGTATTTCTATATTCGACGCCTTTTGAATGAAACGTTAACTACGTTATTTAAAAAACACCCTGTTAGTTTTTAGCTGGACAAACATGGCTGTAAACCTTTTAACAAAACAAATATATCGGTTCAATGGGGCATCGATCAGGTCGGGAACGGAAGCAAACCGAGGAAAATGTTTTCAAAATGTTTACTTAATAAATTGCATCGAGACAGGGCTCGCTGTTTTTCGGTAATGCATTGTTTTGTGAAAATAATGTGAAACATTTTTAATGTACGCACTGAAGGTTCATTTAGGTTTTTAAATATCACTTTTCTATAAATCGCATTCTCAATATGAGCTCCGGAGAGTTCTTCTGACATTTCATTGTTGAATAGTTAGTGGCAGGATGTTCAATCCAAATAATTTGAATGGACTTGACATTGGCAAGGAAGTTGATCAGAATAAAAAAAGAATCATCGCGCAGCAAGCAATGAATGTCGTCGAAAATAACGAAATCATGAAGATCTGGAGTGACTTTGCGAATTTCACAACATCGCACGGCATTCCACACATTGACCACGCCAGAGGTTTCCATGCTTGATCTAGTTTTTTAATTCCACATCTTTGAAAAATGTTTTAAAATAAATTTATAATACAAAAAATTTGTTAAATTATAAATTGAAATTAATATTAATAAAAAGGGAGAATAAGAAAGGTTTTGTGGACGGTACTAACGTTAATATGTTTGGGTATGTTGGTTGTCAACATGAAGGAACTATGTAAGTGTAAGATGTTTTTTGGATTGTTGCATCGAAAACAATGACTTATTAAAACATTTTCAGTCATAGTTAATTTTAACAAATTAGTTGTAAGTTGTACAACGCAATTTTTGTGGTGTTTATTTGCGCTTTTTCAACGTCTGATAAACAGCATACGTATTAAATGACCCAACATACGCATTGGAGCATGGTAGGTGGGGCTTTTTTGGTATTTGAACCTAGTGAGATCAAGGCAAGACTGGCTGCTTTACCTCTTCCTACCAACGCCCCCTCTATAATAAATCATCATACAATATAACATGCTATAACACATTAGAGTTTCAATAGCTAATAGTTTATTTAACGAATTCAAAATTTTTTTGCTGAGTTGTTAATTTTGATTAAAATTCTTGTTTATATTATTTTATTATTAGGCAACAAGTATTTAGACTTTGAAGTTGATATGAAATTTAGCGTCCAGCACAACCTCCCCCTGCTATTTCCAGCTGTGACGATATGCAACAACAACCCGATGAAAAAATCGAAAATTCCAGAAATTAAAGATTTAAATGAATCTATTATTAATTATCACAAAAAGATTGAAGCCTTGAAGTGTTCCGTGAATGATTCTTATCTATCGAAACCGCCACCTAGTTCAAACAACAGTACGTTTTCAAATATATCATAATATCATAATAATGAACTATATCATATAATGAACTACTATATCACATAATCATCATAATAATGAACTACTCTTTACCTCGAGTTATTAATTTTATTTTGTTTATAGGTGAGATGTTATGATTTCTATAAAACAATTGCATGCTTACCTGGTTCAAACGCAAATTAAATTAAGACCATCTATGGCTTGTGCTTACGTTACGCTGATTATTACATAAGCTAACAATGACGCTCATGAACAGCACATGTCTTGTGAGGATGACTGACATAATTTTTACAGTTACAACACTTAATTTTAAAATAAATAAAATGGCTTACAAGATATATACAAATTCTTGTTTCCAGCAAAATGTATTCCAACCAGTGGAAACAACAAAAATGAGAAAATTGATTTCAAGATGAGGAATCTCGCCGGCGAAATTTATTACGAAATGCGAAACTCTGCCCAATTTTATCACATCGGTCACACCATTGATGATTTGATTGTAGACTGTCAATTTTCTGGGAAATACTGCTTTGGGTTAGCAATGAGATTTTCTGAAAGCCACAAACTACAAATTAAAAATGAAATTTTCATAAATAATAAAACAAAATAGAATTATTTTTACAGACGCAACAAAATGTTTTTTTGTTTTTTTTTTTGACTTTTAAAATCATGTAAATAATTTCTAAAGATATAAAAAAAATAATGAATTTTTGAAAACGTAGAGAGTTCACCCACATGTACAGCGCGCGATATGGGAATTGTTTTACGTTCAATTCAGCTGAAGATGGGAAGTATCTTAAAACAATAAACAATTCTGGACCAAACAACGGTCAGTTTTAGCAAATAACATTATCAAATCATATCAATTTGTAATTTTGATTTAAAATATTAGTCTTCTGTTTAAATTGGAATTAAAAATGCTTGACAAACATGAAATTGATACAAAATACAGGACTTCTAATAACATTCAACGTGGAGCAAGATGAATACATCGGTGAGATTACGCAATACGCAGGATTGAGAGTGGTGGTTCATCATCCGAGGAATATGCCTTTCCCGGATGATGAGGGCATCCTTCTGGCTCCAAACGCTCTCACCCATATCGGAATTCAACTGGTTTAAAATACTTTTGATGTTTTGATTACAGTTACATCGCAGCTAATAATATTGTTATTATTATTTCCATGATAATTTTTATTAATTAAAATGTTAATATTATTATTAATACAATCATTATTAATATTTGAACACTTCGACAGCGTTTTTTACAAAAAGTTTTTTTAAGAAAGCTCTCAAATTTAATATCAAATTTGAATACTATTTTCAATCTTCAAATGTAGTTGATGATATCATATCAGTTGGGCTGCTGCTGCTACTGCGTGGGGAATCTCTCGACTGCCGCTGCAGTGTGAAGAATTTCTTGCAATTTGGCACGCTTCGGTCATGAAACTATCTTTGGTAGCTATATTTCAAATTTTGAAACCTATGCACAAACAAAATGACGGCACTGGGATGCGTTCGGTCCAGAATTTTGTTTTTCAAATTGAAACATTTTCTTTGGTACCAGCAAAATTTGTGCCTCAATTGAAGAATGGTTCTACCAACAACTGATTGCTTTTCAAAGGATTTTGGAGACATCGACAATACAACGATGTGCCTATAGCAGTGTAAAAAGCGCTTCTGACGTTTTTGAAAGAGAGGCGCTATATAAATTTAAACACAAATTAAAATATTTCAGTTAATCATTAACTTCTAAGAGTCCAGTTCACAATTTAATAATACGTTTTTTAATGAAATATTGATTGTAATAATTTCTATATTAGTTTTATGTTATAATTTCAATAGCATTTTTGTTTAACCGAAGGTTTTAATTTATATTTTTGCATTAATGGCTAAGAAAAAAACGAAGAGATTGGACGGGGACTATGGATATTGCTATCATGAAAATTCGCCTGAAAAAACAATCTACCAAAAATTATATAACAAGTCCTATTGCCAGAAGGTTTCAACGCCTTTTTTAAGTTATTCTGTTCAAATATTTTTCTCAACATTCTTTACTATTCATTAGAAACAAGTTTTTTGTTATTCGTTTGAAACAATTCGAAGTTTTTGATAATGGAATTACGAAATATGTAATGCCAAACAAATTAATCATCAGTCGATCATAACACGCAGGGCTGCCAGTACACATGTCTAAGCGCTGAGACACTTAGCGCATGTGGCTGCATTTTTTACAAGTATGCAGTATTCTCAGAGGACAATAAGAACAGGAGAACGTGTAAGACTGACAACCCAGACGATGGTGAATTATCTAAAAAATCTAATAATCGTTTCCAATTTATTGAATACTTTTTATTTGATAAGCATGATTATTTTGAATGATGTTTTTTGATAGAAAAATGCACGATGGGTGTATTGCAATCCAGTGAAAGCATTTCTCAACAATGCATCGATAAATGCTACGAACCGTGCGAGTAAGTCCCCAATTTGTTTCAATTTAAATAAACCATGCTATTTCATCATTCCTTAGTTTGTTTGTTGATTGTAAATTCAGTAATTAGTTAAATTAATTTTGATAAATCTTATGGTGCGCATTGTTACAACAGGGAAAGTGCTTATCCCATATCGTTAAGTTCGTCAGTGTGGCCATCAGAAAGTCACAAAGTTTGAAAATTTAGTTTAAACATAAAGAGCCGTTTAATAAATTGTTATTTTTAATAAACGGTGATAACAACTTTTAAGTTATTTTGCTACTAACAATATACTTTGTTTGATTTCAAATAAAAAAAGAACAATTATTTAATAAATTATTCCCTGAGGCAACACTGAAGACCATGCTCCAGAAACATCACAACAACTTCTCCAGGAATCACATCGATGATGACTACATAAAAACTAATTTTGGCAGGTTTGTTGTATACTTCAGCACGCTGACGTACACAGAACACAACGAAACTGGATCATACGAGGTGTGTCTAATTCGAACAATAATATAATATCATTTTAGACTCTTCTGAAATTTTAAGAAATATCAAAAATTTGTTTAAAAAAACTTTCATTTATGACCAAATCAGAAAACTTCAACAAAACAATTGCATTTGTTTACTAAATTAAGTAATTATTTTTTTTAATATATTTTACTGAAAACCTATTGACTTCCACAGAACCACATGGGTTTACAAACAAAAAAAATCGTCTAATTATATTCATATAACTGAAAACAACACAATAACGTGAAAACAGTTGAAGCAGTTGTTATCGGACTTCGGGGGCATCCTGGGCCTCTACATCGGCTTCTCCGTGCTGACTGGTGTCGAATTCATCGAACTCATCTACGACCTCTGTCTCTCCGGCTTCAACAGCAGGTACATTAAAAAGAGAGCCAAAACATTTCAAAACAATCCTAAAAACTCCGTCAAAAACAGCAACTTTGAATACGACGACAGCAACCAACCATGATCATCGTAATAATGGTTATGAAAGAAAAGTAGATCCGAATGTTGAGATTTTCAACAGTGGGAATAAAACTCCAGAAGACGTAAAAAATGTATGCGAAAATTTCACAATAAATATGACAACGGAAATATTTGAAATCAATTAGATCATCACAAGTGTACAAATATTTATATAGAAGTTAACTGATTTTGTCGTTTAAAATTGGAGAAAATGATTTTGTCAATATAAAACTCTGTAAAAATTGACATTGATGATAGGATGACTTCTTTTGTTCCTTTTTGATAAGAACACTTATTCAGAATGGTTGCTAATTGTATTGTTTCGAATTGTATTTATCTCATGCACTTACCTCAAAAATATTATTGTAATTGATCATTTGACTATTTTATATTTAAAATTAAGTAATGCTTGAAAAAAGATAAACAATAAATAATGATATATGTATTCATAAATAAATAAATGTAAACATTTACCCGAAGCTTTAACTGAAGCTATGTGTTTTTTTTTCATTGCTAACTTTATTGTTAGAAGTACTGATATATACTATGATATATATGATAATATACTACAGATAAGCAGACGCATGTATATAGTGTATGAATTTCGATGCATCCTATATAAGCATCTGTGTGAGTTATGGATGATACATTGTTAAGGTAGTTTAGACATGTTGAACAGGTTAGAGATAGATCCACTTATACATTTCTCTTTTGAAGTTTAGTTATTCTTTATGAATAAACTTAAGTTATTTCATTGTTAATATTTAATTTATTAGATTTTTAAAGAGTATCACAAAATTGTACGTCAACAAAACATTTATGGAATGAATTATATTTTTACAGTATTAACGCCTTAATGGTAGTGTATGAATTGGCAAAATTATTTGAGGAGATATTTTTAGAAATTTAATTATAAATATAAACATTAATTCTTGAATTTTACTTTTTTATAAAATTATAAATACAGTTGAAATGAATAGTGTTATATTTTTTTAAATAAAAAAAAGCCTTTATGTGTGTATCTAGTACATATTCAGTGCAACGGTATGAAGTGAAAGTATATTATTTAGATATACATAAATGTGAGGCAAAAAACAAGGCAGTACATAATGTTATTACTTTCTGCGTTGTTATCATTATTCTAGAAACGCTACTGAATGAATTTTTAAAGATTTGTATGAATATTATAAATATATGAACATATAGTCTAAAGTTACGTGTATAATACATAAATGTATACAAATAAGTATTTAAGTAATCGGTAGTATATATATGCAATGTAAATATATACGAAACGTCGTACCAAGGGTGGAATAAGGGGGTAACTGCTCCTGGCACCAATACGTTGGGGACAAAATGGGTCTGAAATGGAAATTAAAAACACTTTAAACTTTATGAAATTTATTAATAATATATTTCAAAAGTGCATCTATAACAATGTTTCTAATCCATTTGTGCTTCAACAATCTTTGTTAGAAATAAATTTGTATCTGAAGCTATCTAGTAGTATATAAAGCTATATTGTATTTGTTATTAAAGTTTGTGTATACCAGTTTTTATTATTATCATCTATTATTATTATTGTTGCGTATTTTTAAAAACTTTCTAAATCCATTTATTAGGTGGTTCAAGAAATTGATTTAGAGGAATGGAGGAGTCAACCGATAACAACAGCGTGGATGACGATGATGAGGTTGCAGAAATATGGAATGAATTTTCAAGTGCACACGGAATCCAGAGAATAGAAAATAATAAAAGTATTTTTGTAAATTTGTTTGAATAATTATCATTTTTGAATATAATTAATTGGTCTTTTACGGTTTAATATAAGACTGTTGAACTGGTTATGTAGTGATACTTGTAAGATAAATAAAAAGATAATGAAGATGCCAATTTTAAATTTGTGTTTGTTGTATTGTGCTTAACTGTGGCTCACGTGTTATTTTAATTAGTTAAACTTTGAACAAAATTCAATATTTGATAGGTAAATTTAGAAAAATGTTATGGCTGTTGATTATAATAGTCAGCGTTCTCGGAATGACCGCTAACTTGATTCTTCTATGTAAGTCACGTTTTAAAGTTTATCAAAAAGTAGTTTTGAAATTTCGTTTAATTTTAATTAAGTTAAAAATTGCAGGCTATATATATATATATATATATATATATATATATATATATATATATTCTGCTACTTAGTGAAATTATTAATAAATAACCCAGGTAAAACATACTTGCGATACGATGTCGATGTAAGCATGAAAGTACAACAAGACCACTCACTAAAATTTCCAGCCATAACTATGTGCAACCTCAATAAAATCAGAAAGTCAGCTCTCAAAACATCGCCTGCTCTTCAAAATATCAGCAATATAATCAATGATTTTCTTCTGGTTTATAAACCTCCCTTTTGTGCGGATAACAATTCCCTTTTGAATGACTCTTCAGAGTTCGGTGAGTTTCAATTGTTAAATAAAAACGTTTGAACAGATCCTATAAAATTTTAATATTTATTTCAAAAATGGTTTTGCTATCAAAATTTTTTATGCAACTTTTGATTATTTAAATAAATTCATTAGTTTGTACAAATAAAAGTTGAACATTTCAACTTTGAATCAATCAATGAAAATTTAAAAATTTAAGTTTTCACAAAACTCATTGTCGCTCTAATTATAAGTTTAACTTTCATTCAGTCGCCAATAAATGAATACGTGAAATATTTAATTTAATTCAACAATTTGAACGTTAGGTATCTAAAGGACAAATTTTGTTTTTTAAAAGTACATCGCAGGAAAATAATAGGCGAAGAATTTCGGGTCCGTTGTAGAAAGTTTCGTTTATATCAACCCAACCTCTCCATGAACGCGTGATTTTGGTATTCGCCGCTAAGTACAATTTGTCAGGAAAATGCTCGTGTATAGCTCAATAGCCTTGGTTATTTTCAAACATTTTGGCATAGGAAGCATTTTTGTTGAGGTTAAGGTCAATTGTAACAAAATCCGTATAGAAATTTTTATTTGAAACTATCGCAGCCGCCTCACATCAGTGACATTTGTAAGGTTAAAATAAACCTTGCTTTTAAATTAAAAACTTCAAACCGCTTTAAACTTATAATTGTATTTTAAATAAATTTTGACTCTCAAAACATTATATAAATTTATTCAGCGTTTTTACATAAACATTGTAATCTAATTTCTTAGTATGTTCAAAATTAAGAAAACGTTCTAATCATCGTTTCAGAAAGACAAATCAATTGCCGAAACTCTAATCCAGCATTAAAAGATAAATTAAATAGACATTTGTTGACGGAATTGAAGGAATCTTATGAAAATTTGAATTCTTCTCAAAAACATGAGGCTGGTCACACTTTTGAAAAGTCAATTCTTCAATGCCTTTTTGCTAATGACAAATGTCGATCAAACAGGTTGGATAAAACATTCAAATATTCCTTTATGTCTAGTTTATTTGATTTTTGTATAACTTTGTTAACATTAGTCGCATAACCGTATAATACGTACTAAAGACCAACTGTTCTAACTCGAAACTATTAAAAATCTGAGTTTCAGCATTGCATAAAAAATTAAATACTGATTCAAACATTTATTCGCTTTTTAAACAAAATATTCCTGTAAACTTAATTTGTTGTTATTTTTGTAGTATATATCAGTGATCCGTTTTACTCGTCTTAGTTGTTTGTTTTTTTTATAATCGTTTTTTCGTTTAGAATTATTTTTTAAATGTTACTCTGGTGTATCAAAAATGCACACACTGCATGAATCTACTCAGCACACATGTCAAATGCACTTGGAAACAAATTTTTCCCGTTCGAACCCAGTCTCTGCAACAGCTGCACCAGGACCCGATGTTTCTTGTTCAGCCAATGCTTTTAAATTTTATTGCAAAATATCTTTCCATAAAATGTTAGTTGATTGTTGCATTAATTTATTGGTTTTTACAAGTTTTCCAACTCTAATTTAAATTTGTTTGTGTAAATTGAATTGTAAAATTTATTGATTAAGATATACAAAATTTTTTGCAAGAACGTTTCAGTGCTCTATCAATTAAAATGCTTCTTATAACATGCGTTCTATCATTTTTAGCCCATAATTTTTTTTATCTGGCAGGGAATTTTGGACGACACAGAATAGTGATTATGGTAACTGTTTAACTTTCAACTCAGCATACTTAAACAATAGTCGAAAAACTAGCGAACTGACAGGCCTTAATAACGGTGCGTTATTTTTTCATAAAATTTGTTTTCCTTTTAACTTCAGTGTCGATGATTTCAGGTTTGATCATCCACTTCAACGTCGAGGAAGAGGAGTATCTAGACCGAACGGACTCAGTAGGCTATAGAGTTCTCATTCACCATCCAAGACTCATGCCTTTCCCTCAAGACGAAGGATTTTTTGTGGCTCCAGGGTTTCTTACTCACGTTGGAATAAAAATGGTTGTTAATGTATTGTGTATATATTATCAAAACCAAAATTTGAAAAATTTCGTCATATAGCAATTTTAAGAAAGCAGTTTCAAGTTTTTTATTGAATTAAAAATTTGAACATAATTTTATTTTTATAAACAAAACGTGACTTTATAATTATAATGAAAAAATTTCCAGCAAAAAACGCGCCGGCTGAACGGTAGTTACGGAAATTGTTACGCCGAAGGTCTTGCGAAGCGAACAAACTATCAAAATGATTACAACATGAGTTATTGTCAAAAGGCTGGTTAAGGAAATATTTTTTTAACATATCCGACACACTTTAATTGAAATATACATGGTTTAATATAGGGCTGTCATTACACATGTCTGAGTAGAGAGATATATCGCAGATGTTCCTGTGTTGATCCCAAATACACTCCTATGTTGGATATACCAAGTTCCAGGAAATTATGTCCAAAAAGTAACAAAGCAGAAAGTAACAAAACAGGTTATTATTTTATTAATTTTTCTTACAAAATTATGTTTTATATTGAAAAAAAAATTTTAGTAAATAAATGAACATATTTGCTAACGTTTGCACTCGACCATAATTGCGTCTATAAAATGTGTTGCATTATTAAAATCAACAGAAGAATGCGTCAAGAAAGCAATAGAAGCGTATAAGAGTGGGTTGACGGCATGCGATGAATACTGTCCTCCTCCGTGCAGGTCTGTTTGTTCTTTTCAGTTCATTCTTCACTACTCCATTTGATTATTTTGTCTTTTCATTCAAACGCAAAATTTGATGAGTTGAAACGTTTTTAACTAATAGATATTTTCAATTTATATTTGATCTCAATGGTTTTATAATATTTAGGCTTACTAAATTGCAAGTAGCGAAACAAGTTTTCATGCACTAGAACAGATTGAATAAAAGCCTCATTGTACAAAAAAGCTAGTTTTCAAGTGTAACGCCATCTACCTGTGTAAGGTGTGACAACCAGACTTTTGCGTAGCTGTCAATTTCTTCAATCTTGGATTCGATGCTGATGATAACTGCATAATCATTTTATTATTTTTGGAGTTTAAATAATTTTGTTATGTTATATTATGTTATGTTATAGTTGGATTCAAAGTATTTTTAACCATTTTTAATTTCTCAGGTCTTCAGTGATTTACTTAAGTTAATGTTATTGATTGTGAATCCGATACCAATTTGCCCAATTTTTATTTAAATATTTTTCAATTGTGCACTACAGAGAAACAGTTTACACAACATCAGTCAGCACATTGCCTTTTCCACCAAAACACTTTAAAGTAAAGCTCAATGTTTGCTCAGTTTTGTTATAATATAAAACAATTTAATACTCATTAATTACTCGCTGATGCCCTTGGTATATAACTTTGTATTAAATATTCGGATCAATTTTAATTGCCTATTAAAAATTATAAGTTGAAAATTACTTTTTAATAAACAGGATATATGGCAATTTGCTCTAGATAGTAGGTGTTTTGAGTCTAAGTCGTGTAAATCCGTGAAATCAAGAAATGTTGGTGAATTAAGAGTTTATTACGAAACTTTTTCCTACACTGTCACTGAAGAATCTCCATCTTACCAAGTTTCTTTTTTAATCTTAGATTTTTTTTTTATCCTACCATGTTTTTTTTATTTATTTTGTAATGTTAGGCAATCATTTTTTTAAGTTTGATTGAACAAATATTTAAAAATACAACGATTGTTAAAGTTAGTTGAAGTGTGACAAAAACTTACTGCATTAAATATTTTGAATTTATAGTCTTGTAATATTAATATAAAAATACTATACTTTCATTATTTCAACAGTTTCATCAGTTGATGTCTGACATTGGAGGAATTGTGGGATTGTACCTAGGCTTCTCATTGCTGACTATTTTTGAGTTCATTGAGCTCTTTTATGATCTTTTCAAAGCTGGACTTAAGAAATATAAAAAATTAAAAAAGAAAACAAGTAATTAAATCATTGATTCATGGTCTTTTAATTTCATAACTTTGGAAGAATAAAGCCATTTTTTATAACTTTAAATGAAAATAGTAAGTATAATATCATGACATCTCGACCTCATCGTCGTTTTGTGCTGATCGGCTGGTAGAATGTTCCAGCTATTTTCAACGATTTCCGAGTTGTGTGGCACTTGGTAGCTTGGTCAATCTAAATCACAATTTTTTTCAATTAATTGATTTTTAAACTTTCACTATTCTATTTACTTTGAGAGGCTTATCCATCATCATGTTAAATTTTATATTTTCGTATAACTAAATAGACACATCACGTTTTTAGTGTTTCGTTTTTGTGATTACTTCTTTTGCCATGTTTTAAATTCATTTTTTTTGGTGTTAGTTTAACCTATGAAAATTGTGGCGAATTCCTGGCGAATTGTTTTTGAAAGTTCAAATACAGATATACACTGTCAACTTTATAATTTATAATTTTAGACAATTTGACAAATCAAACAATATGCGCGGAATACCAAATTGCACATTTTTAAACGTTAATTTATGGCTCCTTGTCTACTGTTGCTTAACGTTCCTAAACACAGGAGTCCAACATTATTTGAAATCCCAAAATTAATCGAATGATTGAGATGTTCATTGATCTACACTCATATAAACATACAGTTTTAGAGTTAAAAATTAAACTTCATTTCAATTTTGTACTTACGTATTCTTTATTCAAAACGTATTAGACTTTAGGTTTTTTGTTTTTTTTGTTCATAAATACTCTCCAAAAAATAGAACAACGAGTTTGTTCTACATTTGAGAGAAATTACATCACGAAGCAAAATAGAGTAAAATAAATCAAGCAGATGACTTTGTTATACAAATAAACAGTTGCCTGGTTGCTTTCATTTCACAAATGTGATATGCCTGCTGGGATGGCAAACGATGTTTATTTATACAATGAAATTGCACGGATGATGTGTTCGAGCCAACTTATATAAATATGCTAGCTCGTTCACTGCTTTCAAACGATTTGGACAATTCGCTACGAAACGATTTTAATGCATGTGCCAAAATATTGCATGTGATTTGTTCGAATTAAATGGATAAAAATAATGATGTAAGAAACAATTTCGTCGACGATGAGAATAATGTTTTGAGAATATGGGCTGAATTCGCGAATGTAACTTCCTCGCATGGCATTCAGCATGTCGACCACGCTCAAAGTAAATCAGATTAATATTAAAGTTTAAAGACAAAAAATAATTTTATTTATTTGAGAGAATGCGATATTCTGTTTTTCATGAATCATTGTTGCAACAACGGCAATCGTCGTGTTTCATTTAAAAGACCCTGTCTCTAAGTTTAATAGTAATTTTTAATTTACTGTGATGGGATAATCTTACATACACTTCATAGTTTTTGGTATTTTAAGCCCTGTTATTTTAAATCGACCTATATTTTCAACACCTCACTCGTTTGTCTAGGCAAATTAAAGAAAAACATCTGGATAATAATCATTCTGGCTAGCATTATTGCATTGTCCGTGAACTTTTATCTCCTGTGTGAGTTGATTTATACATATTATCAGACAGATCAAGAATAATGCTTTAAATGAATTTTTTAATTCTGTCTATTAATCAGTCGACCTTTAACCAAAATAATTGATACAGGTGACAAATATATGAAATACGAAGTGGATGTGAACTTCCGAGTGGAGCACAGCAAGTCAGCAGAGTTCCCAGCAGTTACAATATGCAACACAAACGCCATCAAAAAATCAGCTCTTAACAAATTAAAAAGTCATTGTAACCTAATGAGAAACGGCATTAGTCAAGCAAATAACAATTCTCTTGCAAATAACTCAGCAAAAATTAACAATATTTTTCATTCAAAACAAGGTTTTTATACATTTCATTTGAGTGATGTAAAATAATATTCCATCCAGTCTGAAATATATATTTTATGTTTAAGTTAACTGTACACCAACAATACTGGAAAAACTTGACAAGTTGAATGGCCTGAAGTTTGAGAGTAACTATGAGAAACACCAAGAAATGTACGAATCACTGAATGAAGACATCAAACATGACTTGGGTCATAAATTGAACGATTTATTTTGGGAATGTGAATTTGCTGGCGTTGAATGCTCAGAAGAGTAGGTGTTAAATATGTAAGCTATTTTAATCGAATCGATCAAGTAATTATTCGCAAGGATATTACAATTAATTAGTGAATTTTTTATAAATCAAAACGCCATTAGATTTTTTGTCATCTGTTTTAGAAAAATGACAAATATATAGATGACCGCTTAACATGGCTATAAAAATTCATCAAATAAGAATATACTTTTCATTAACCAATACGTTTTGACTATTTTTTTGTTCGCTTGGTTAATGTACTTAAAACGGTTTAAAATAATTTCTTACATTTATGTTATTTGCAAATTTGTCGTTAAGCATTTTGTTATTTTTATGATCAGGTGTAACGTTTTAAATTAAAAATTCTCTTTTGAAGTGTAGTTAGTACAAATTTATTACCTAAAATTGTTGACTGATAACTGAAACAGAGATTTTGTTCACTTTTCCAACTACCTCTTCGGAAATTGCTTCACTTTCAACTCAGCACGGAATAATGGAAGTTCCATAACATCTAGACTGTCTGGTCCTAAATATGGTAGTTGAAATTTTCATACAAGTAATGAAAATTTAAATTAAATAATGAAGACACTTGCTTCAACATTCAGCGGTATCAACGCACACACACACACACACACACACACACACACACACACACACACGCAAGTAAAAAGAATGTATTACACACGTTGCACATGATCGGCATGGATCTTGTTGCGTTCAAACCAGGTCAATGACAGAAACAGAAAGAATTAAAAGTGACTTTAACCAATTCGCTAATTCGCTGACTTTAACCAATTCGCCACCCAAAGCGTGTTTTTACAAAAAATTTTCTATAAAAAAAACTTAAATTCTTTTTTGACAATATAATAACAGGGTTGTCGATAACGTTCAACGTAGAAGAAGATGAGTACATCGGAGAAACATCAGAATCAGCAGGGTTGCGAGTGGTCGTTCATGATCCAAGAAAAATGCCCTTCCCTGAAGATGAAGGCGTCCTCGTCGCCCCTCGGACACTCACACACATTGGAGTCCGCATGGTGGTTATATTGCCTGTTATGTATGATCTGGTCTTTAAAAAAAATTTAGTTTTAAATATAGTTTCAAAAATGTTAAAAAAATTGAATATGTCTAATTTTAAACCAACAAATTTAGAAATTTAAATTCGAAACTTATAATAAAACTAAAAATAAATTGATAGAGAGAAATGGTGAGAATGAATGGTAGCTACGGAAACTGCTATGCAGAGGGCTTGCCTAAATTGACCAAGTTTCAAACAGTTTTTAACAAATCATATTGTCAGAAGGTTAGATGTTAACGTTGAAATTATGGTTTATTTAAAAATGCTTACAAAGAGGCTAGATTAATTATTTTGAAATGCCAATAGAGTGAATAATAATAATAATAAAATTGAAAAAATTTTTTTACATCATTAAAAAATATACCTTTAAGAGTTGTTACTATTCGTGTATTGCGAAAAGTATATACCACAGCTGTTCTTGCATTTACGTCGAGTTCTCCATCTTCGCGAGTGTGCTGGGTAAAAAAAAGATTTGCTCCTCTAGCAACCAGACCGAAAGTGAGTAAAAGTTGACGAATGGGATTGGATGATCATTTTATTTAATTGTTAAAACTAATTACTGGTTTTAAAATCGAAGTGAAACAAACAAAATGTGATACATACATTTATTTAATTTTGTGTTTTTCCTATTTTTTTATAGCAAACCTCAACACGGCTAAACCAATATTAATTGATTATAAATAAAACGACCTTAAAAGTTCGGTTGAACAATTAACATGGCTGTTCATATTCAAATTTCTAACAAGCAAAAATTCAACTTTACTTTAATTTACTTACATATCAAGATTGTTTCTGTTAAAATACAAATTTGCATCACAAACATACACGCATAATCAGATGAATGCGTATTCAACATTTTGAATTTGTATGAGAATGACAGATTAGGCTGCACCAAAACATGTCCTCCTCCTTGCAGGTTCATTTGGTTGCTACAAACTTTCAACCTTTTTTGTGTTTTTCTTCATGACTTCATTATAGTCTATAATATCAATTTCATCCGTTCCCCAGGGAGCTCTCATTTGTTACATTGATCAGTTCTTCAAAATGGCCGTCCCGCAATTATAAGGTTAACCAAAATCTCTTATTAGCAGTACTGTTGTTATTTGTTAAAAATATTTTTTAAGCTAAATTGAAAGATTAGTTTATATCTCATTACGAAGTAAAAACAATAGTGCTAGTTCCTAACTTGGATTGCAGCATTTTTGCCGTTAAATAATACAAATTATTACCACAACTTGACATTGCGTATTCTTGAAAGAAAACCGCTGATAGATCAATTTAGAATCGGTAAATACGTAGCTCAAAAAGTTTTGAAAAGCTAGAATTATTGAAAAAACTCAAAGCAATAGCGATAATACGTGCACTGTTAAACAACAGCAGGCACCGGAAAACAAACACAAATAACAACCACAAGGAGCGGATCTCATTCCTCTATGAGTTTCTTTCAAGATATTCAATCGAGACTATCAATCAGTCATTTACTCAATTCACAAGCATCAAATAACTAGCGCTCAACTAATTCGATCCAATGATCTGTCTAAGTTAGTTGCCACATCAACGAGAGTCCTAAGTGGCAACCGAGGTGAGTATAAAGTATTAAACACACACAACTGATCATTAAACAGAAAAAGATGAATCCCTTCATAAACATGTTGACTAGAAATGTGGATTATATTTTCGAGAACTCGGGTTCTACAACTGATGACATATCCAGTTTCAACCATGATGACACTGGCAAAGTTATGATCTACTATGAAAATTTGGTTCGTGCGATAGTTGAGGAATCCCCGTCATACGAAGTGTGCACAACATTTTTCATGTTATATTTTTTATTTTGCATCTAATCATCCATACTATTGTTAAACTTATTCAAAAACAGTTTGATTTCAAATGACTTCATAGCGTAAACATTTATAACTTCTACCGTATAACTGCAAGTACGTAATCAGATAAATTCAGTGGCGGATCTTGACAACTTAGGCGGGATAGCAAGTCTCTTAAAAAAACATCTGACGACCAGAAGGAATTTTCACTAATTTGTTTGGAAAATGTTTCAATCAATTTTTACCGGGATGCCAACTTTCTTGTTAATGTGGTCAAAATTTAACTTATCACCTTTTTGCGCCTTATAATGTAAGTTTTTGTTTCAAAAACAGTACTTGTTTTCTTAAAACTACGACTTTTACTAACGTTTAACACAAATAATGCTCACAACGGGTGGCACTGGCCCCCGGTCCCTCCGCCCCCAAGATCTGCGACTGGATAAATTTGTAACCATTATGACACACGCTAACGTAACAGAACATAAATAAAAATTAATATAAGCGCGAACAGACGTTCCTAATTCTTTCAGAAGTAATAATCATTACATTAATAAATACTGATAAATAATTAACAATTAAAATTAAATTGAAAGCAACAAAAAATGACCACCCCACTCACAATCGCAGTTTCACCAACTACTCTCTGATATCGGTGGGGTCCTGGGTCTCTACGTCGGCTTCTCCGTGCTGACTGTTATCGAGTTCATTGAGCTGCTCATCAACCTCGTCAGAGCTGGCGTATGCAGAAGATGCAGCGGAAAGAATAAGGAGAAAAAAATTGAATGTTCTATCTGACGCTTGTGAACCATATAACATTGAAATAGTTGACAATCGTATGGACAGTTCATTTCCATTTCTTCGCTGTATTGGAGAATATAATTTTGTAAACTATATAATTTATAATTAAGAATTTGTGTTATTATTTAATAGCAAAAATTTTTATTAACACACAGTTCAATAAACTTCGAAACGGAAAATAATGCCACATAAAATTTGCGTTAACACGCTACCCTACTTCAGTAACCACCTATGAAATACTTACGTGCAAATATTATAGATTAACTAGGAAAGTATCATATTTGGTGTAATTACGTTAGAGTAGTAGATTACAATTATTAAACGAACACTCAAAATACTGAAGTGTTTTCCGTCTGCAAATCCCTTTTGTACACATCTCCGATATTAAGGTGTGTTAGCAATTCTTGCAAACGAAGTGCTGCTTAAAAACCTTCCTTCATCAATTACATCTTCATACTTTTCAATCCGTTAACCCTTAAACACCAACATGGGTCTTTTCGACCCATGCACACTTTTTAAAAAAATCATATTTCGCTTATTTTTTAATCTAACAATTTTAAATTTTTTGACTTTGTCTAATTTTTTATAAGTTTTTCATAAATGTAGCTTGATTTTAAATAATCAGATATCTTGTATATAAAAACAGTCTTCCAAAAATGTATGTTTGCGTTCGCGACCGCATGGGTCGAAATGACCCATGTGAATAAATTGAAACGATATTATAATATTGAACATTTTATTGATTTTAAACACCAAATTTACATAAAATAAACATTTTATTATATTCAGGTATCAAATTTATATAAAATTAACAGTCATGACATTGGTAATTGACACAGTTGATGCATAATGGATTCAAACATTTGTTGCAACGTTGGACCGTTTTGTTTGAAACGCATTTTCTACATCTCAACCGTTTTCCAGATTTAACAGATGATTGACATTCAGGTGCTAACTGAGATTGGATCACCTTTATATTTCCATCGTCATCAATTTCCCCCCCGCATAATTCTGCTCCCAAACTTTTTAAAAATTGCCTTCTGTTTTATGTCCAGTAACTTCTTGCCAAAGGATGAATGAATTATATGCAGTGACGTCCACCATGTGTTGAAAAACACATTTAGGCCAACGAAAGGTTCGCTTTCGAGTAGTGTACATTGCGCACATTTGATCCAAATGATCAACTCCTCCTTAACCTTTGTTGTAAACTAATATTATTTCTGGTTTTTTACTTTGGTCATTTATTTTTTCATTACTGTGCTCACTTGACAGTAAAACTACTCTTTTATTTTTTTTGGTGCATAAGAAACTAGAGTTGCTTCAGGTAAAAATCCAAATAAAGAGGTGCCACCTTCGCTATTTTTCTTTACAAATTCTGGTGGCAGTTCTCTCCGATTTTTACAAATGGTTCCAATGACTCCTAAATAACGATTTTGCATCTTACGTAGTAGTTCCAAAGATGTAAAAAAAACTGTCCATAACAACGGTTCTGCCAATGTCTAAGTTCTCCGTCAAATCTAACACTACTTGCTTTCCTAAATTTTTTGCCCGCGCTGCTCCATTATCTGTGTCTAAATACGGTTTCATTTTCAAGCAGTAGCCGGTTTTGGCATCACATAAACACCAAAACTTCAAGCCATATTTTGCAGGTTTGGAAGGCATATATTGTTTGAAACTGCAGCGGCCTCTGAATGGTACAAGTGTTTCATCTACGGTTACATGTAACGGGTTCGATATTAACTAAACACAACGACAGATATATTATTAATCCTCCTTTATTAAAACCTAACTAAATAATTATTCGAATAAACCAAATTAATGAAAATGCAACAATACAATACTCAATTTTACTAACGTCAACTCCGACCCAAGAGCCACATAAAGGAAAGAGAGCTAACTTATTTGCGTAGGCTATTTATAGGCATGCACGGTGCTCTCTCCTAGGTAAGCGCTTGTACTTTGGTCTAGTAATCGACCCACGTGACCATACGGCGCTCTCTCCTAGGTAAGCACACGTGCTTTGTGCTAGTACTTATTCCACGTGATCATGTAATGGAACAATTTCCATTACAGTTACATACTCATATGGAATAAATGGTTTTCCAAGATTCTCTTTCCATATGTCAAACACCACACCCATCGGTGCAAACTTTGATAGTTTACGTCGAGCACTTCGGCTGCTAGTAAAATCAAATTTAATTAATTTTGTCATTTCTTCAAATCTAGTCCTTGACATAAATTGTCTGATGCATTGTCGGCCTTCTGACTTTGACCAAAGTGCACGCACGTGTTCTCCTTTCCCTTTATATACCCCAACTAAAATATTTACACCTATGAAAGTGTTGATTTCCTCTCTGTTCGTAACAAAATTGGCACCCAAACTAGCAGCTTTGTCGTTAGTGCAATCAACAATTATATCGATCAGAGAATTGTCCATGAAAATCTGCCAAATAGAGAGAGCAGTATTGATGCAATGACGACGTCCGTAAGCACTCAGTCCTTCAGCTGCTCTCATTACATTTACAGACTGTCTTTTCCCAGTCAAATAAGGCTTAGAATTCCACACAGTGCCGTCTGCACTTACATATGCTCCACAAATCCTTTCAATTACTGAATCAATACATTCATATATATGCCTTTCCATATCAGTTGTCATCAAACATGAACCACTATTAGAACCATCCTCACAAAAATTACAAGCCAGGATGTCATCATCATTTCTGTTATTTCCATTTTTTTCCTCATCTGCAAACTTTCCAGCATGAAATTTCTCTTCTAAGTCATATTCAACAGACCTGATTGATGTTGATGACAAACTGGACATTGAATCTACATTTTCATTATTTTTATATTCAGCATCAGAGAGGCTACCCAGACTTTCAATTCCACTTTTTTCATCATCATCATCATCATCAAGGATAATATCTAAAGTTTTTTGAGCAAAAACGCGACGAGACATAATCACATTTATTTTTAATTTGATACAGAAAGAAAAATGTATGATTGATATAAACAAGTTTAACATATCCTGCCGCAAAAAGGAAATTTAAGTATTTAAATCTTTAACGTCTTAAAAGTAATTTTTTTAAATTTTTAATAACTTATTGTTTAAAGTTATTGCTAAATTTTATTTGTTTGTAATTAAGAATATTTTTATTAATTTTTTGGGGCAAAAAAACGATTTCTATGTACCGTGGGTCGATTCGACCCATAACGACTTCAACGTTGTTTTTTTTTCTTCGGTGTTTAAGGGTTAAACCAACACCCGCAAGCCACACGTGCATATTTGTAATAAGAAAGATGGTTGTCTTCCTGTCACGCACAAACAGCTTTCGAAGTGCGTATTAGCAGACATTCGTACAACTTGCGCTACACAGCGGCTGGATAATAATATGACGAAAAGGGAATGTATTGTAAATAATAATATAATAATGATAATAATAAGCTAAAATGTGACACTGCTCAGAATTATTTCAATAATGTTAAACATTTCAAATTAATGCTGATATGTACATACGTTTACGTGCTAATTACGCTTTCAACGGAGAAAGATTATTACTATTTTAAACAGATCAACAATATTAATCAGCAACAACTTTGAAAAACAACAAGACTTTGGCAAGCATGAAAAATGTACAAACATTGTGCCAATAATAATAATAGTAAAAAGAAAAATAACAATAACAAAGTATAATAAACACTGAATTATGATAATGTTAAATAGTACAAACATACAAATGAGAATTATTATAAGAAGAAGAAGAATGAAATAACAAAAACAAGAAAGACCATGACGTATTAATATTATTCTACACTGTATTCAGTACCATTATGCAGAAGTTTGTAACAAATGCATGCATGGGTGCGTTGGAGGTATTCCATTCATTCGAAGAACGACGTTCGTTTAAAACACGATTGACCTGGTGATGTTCTACCATACTAGGTATTTGAATGATTGAATGGAGGAATAAATAGATGAATGAATGAGTGAATAAATGGATGAATGAACGGATGAACTTAACGTTTGCCAGAAAGCTTTTGCTATATTGTGTAATCATCACCCAAAATTGATATTTACAAGCCAATTTTATTTTTTCCATAATGATAAATGGTGAATGTGTGACGTCAAAGCCTTCCTTACTTCCGATAGATTGGTGTAAACAATCCCCGCTTTTGTTTTATTGAATTAAAAAAATATTAATATTACTTTTTCCTTGATAACAATTATTTTAATAAAATCTATAAAGACATGGAAATGAAACATAGAGAAACCAAAAAGGAAAAAAAAGAGAACGAAGAGGAAAATTTAGTTAATGTTTCTTGTAAAAATTATTTTACAAAACTCTTAGAAATTTAAACAATGGAAATAATTAACTATAAGTGAGTATATAAACCCTATCTATCTGGAAATAATTAACTATAAGTGAGTATATAAAACCTAATCTATCTACACCGTCCATATTTGTGTACAGAAAGGAAACTGATTGTTAGCCCGAATAAATGAATTTAAAAATCGTAACATATATTCCACATAATCTATAAATGGCTTGCAGGCACAACAAATCACATATCAAGACGCAACACGCAATATATGTGACCAGTGACCAAACATTTAACAGACGCATTGATAAAGCAATCTGCACCTTCATACTTTCTTCTTCAAACGCATCGAATTAATTTCTTCATTTCTTCAAAAATACGAGCACTTCAATGGTTGCCTAACGCGAACAATGAAATATTTTCTATTGTTAGCTGATATTGGCCTGGAAAAATGCTTGTACAAATAAATGGCTTCTATGTTCTCATTTCGAAATATAACGCTTTATTATTTGAATGTTTATCAGCTGACGTGAGTGTAGTTATTCGAAAAAACTGCATTTTAAATGAATTATTAATTTTAAAACCTAGCCATTTAAGCATTATTTATCTCTTTGTATGAAAGCAGGTAAGCTTTTTTCAAAATTTCAAATTATTTTTTAAATCCTAGCAATATTACAAAATGAGACTTAAATTATTTAACGTTTTAAATGACCAAATGAAATTCAGCAAGGTAGCAAAATTTATGAATTAAAAAATTTATTGATCGGTTTGTGTTAATATTGTAGCGATGTATATTGCATATTGTAATATTCGCCTGTTTCATTTTTATAAATAGCTAGACTGCTGGATTCCTCTGAACAAAACAGCAACAACGACGCAACAACAACACAACAACCTTACAGCCTTCTAACGCAACAACAACAATAGAACAACCTCACAGTCTTCTAACGCAACCACGATGAAGCCTTTAAGAACATCTCACTTCACTTTCATTTTTTCCATCATCATCATCTCAACGTTCCAAACTTCCATTGCTCAAGGTAGGGCAGAAAAAATCACCGATTCGCTTTTCTTGGTTGATATTTTTAACTTATTGTTGTTTAGTTAGTACAAACATTGTCGGATTTAAAAAAAAGTCAAAATTGTTGACACGATGTTATTGTTATAAATTCTTTACACTAGTTTAGTCACTGATAGATGGAAGTAAGATTTAAATGAACTTTCTAAAATTATCACACAGCAAAACTACCTAAAACATTTTTACATACAAAAAAGTAGCACCCCACAAATATTTTCCAATAAAACACTCAGTTTTTGAATGCTGTGGATCGAAACTGCTCGACTCACAAAGCAGTGTGGCCATAGAGAACGGTCGGCCCTTGGTTGCTGGCACGTACAGAGCATTGACCTTGAAAATTTGCACTTCTGAACCGCTAAGAATTCAGGTGTGGACACGGTTAAATGACAACCAATATCTCCTCAAGTGGTCCTACAATATCAACGCTTCTTTGGAACAAGTCAGCCAGCCAAAATTGGTGGTTAGTAAGGCACGGTCAACATCATAATATTTAATTTACTACAATTTATAATTGTTGCCGCTTTTTGTAATTGTCATCATTTTTTCAACTCACTAAGATTTTTTTCATTTTGTTCAGTCAACTTTTTGTAAAAGTTACCCATCCACGACTATTTTTGTACATATGAACTGAAAACTACTTCAACGAAGTTCTGTTTGTGAGAAATAAGCAGCGCAATAACGATTTCCTCTATCACATAAAACATTGCATTCACTTCACTTTCACCAAAACATTGGAATAAGTAAAAGTTCTAGCGAAATTTTAAATTCAAACTATGATTGATTTATTAAATGAAAGTAAATAACTTCAATATCATGTAGATATACTATTACAAATACTGTTAAATGTCATTTGCTAAAGTGTTTGATAATAACATTTCCAGAGCTTTCAGCACAATTACACATTATTATCACAAATTTTCAATATTGTCATAATGATCAGTTAAGTAAACTTGAGCATTAAAAAAATTTTTTTGCGGTGTTAAAAATATTTAAATTTGCTCAGAGCAAATACACGCCAGACAATAAAACTATGCTTGAACGTGAAAACAAACTAAAAAACAAAAATAAAAACGCTGATGAGAATGATGAAAGAAAATAACAATAATAATGTGCACTGTCTTATTTGCTGTTATTAATAAGTAATATTGCTAATGTTCGGGTTAATAATATTGTTATTTTTTAACTTTGACACTAAGTGGCTGTCCTACTGGTGCTGTCTTGCTATCTTTCTATGAACACTCATCATATTTCATTTTTTTAAGACGCAGTTGTAGTAGTTTGAAAAATTTGTAGATACAAAATTTATGAGTTTAAAAACTGACTGTTAGGCATTTAATTATTCAAACTATAGAATATAAATTTGCAATAAAACGTGTTCATTCATGCATGTCTTTACACGCACAAACAAACAACAAACAAACAAGCCCACTAACATTCAGACTTACACAAACATGGCAGCACATACGACATACAAAATATACAAAGATAAACACACATACGTACACATAAATACAGACATACAAATACACACAATGGTTTATTTATCTGCGAACTGTAACTTGGTTTATAACAAATAGCACAATCGTTAAAAATATTTAAAGCTATAATTTTTAAATGCTTTCCGGTGGTTGATTGGCGCCATGTATGTATAATAAACACATTGTGTTATTCATTTGCGTCAAAAGGACACCATATATTTATCCAAAACATTCTATTTATTTTACTTAACTGTCACCAATATATTTTTTTTATATTATTTCATCTGACTTCTACTAAATGCAACTAATGCTTTCTATATTCACAATTTAATTTACATCGTTTCGTACCTTGCATGCTGTTAGTTACTTACTCTCTCTCACTCTGCGTTTGAGAGAATAAAAAATTTTTTTTTAATTTAAGCTAGTTTATAAATATACAAAACATTTTCCATAAACATACAAATATACAATGCATTATTATAACAATGTATAGAAACAACTAAAATATAGAAATATTATAGAAGAATGTAAGTGTTGAGTTTGCAATCAATAAGCTGTAGTGGATAAATTAGCCCCTAACCATCCACAAAACCGCGAAAAAAAACATTCTGTGTTTTAGAAAAAGGAAAAAAGGTCGTTTTCTTAAACATTTTCATTGAAGTTCATCTTCTTACCGAAACGAGATTTAGCAAAAACAAGTCTCATTACTTGATAATTTTGAAAATCATCCCTTATTGCTAAATTCAGAATCCGCCAATGTGTTAAATAACATTTGTATGAATAATGTACTTTTAGTCTATTCACCATAAAATATATTGTATTTAATTAACATTGATGGTGCATTTACTCGTTAGAATTTGTTGCGCTAGAATTCTTATTACATGCAATATTTAATATAACCAAAAAAACACAATACTGTACTAAAATATATACGTTTGTTTGTTTGTTTGTGTGCGTGTGTGTGTGTGTGTGTGTGTGTGTGTGTGTGTGTGTGTGTGTGTGTGTGTGTGTGTGTGTGTGTGTGTGTGTGTGTGTGTGTGTGTGTGTGTGTGTTTCAGCTGATTGGATAGTGAGCTAGTTATCCGCCATTGTTGTGATGTTCAGACGACTTTGAATGTTGCCATTGTTAAGACGTTATTACGTTTGACATTATTACTATTACTACTGCTAATAATAATACTATTACTGCTACTACTACTACCACTACAACCACCACTCTATTGTATTGCAGAATTTGTATAGCGCCTCTTGTGAGTTGACTTCAGAAGCGGTATTACTCAGTTCAATATTACTACTACTACTATTACTACTGCTACAACTACTACTACTATAACTAAAAGTACTACTGCTGTTAACGCTACTATTTCTATTGCATTTATTCATTTATACGTTCCTTCATTCATTCATTCATTCATCCATTCATTCATTCATTCATTCGTCAACGATTCATATGACTCCTGTAGCGATTTTAATGATTCAGCGCGGAATGTTGCCAAGTTAGTTCGAGCGCCAAACTGTATCAAGCTGAGAAATGATAATTTTATGTCGTTAATAACCTTGCTGTTATGCAACGTTGCTGTGTGGAAGGCAACATTGCTGGAATAAATTTATGGTAGGGTAGAGAGAGCTAATGATAAGGGCCTTCACAAGAAACATGGCTTTTCACAAAATAAGAGGCCCCCACCATATTTTTCATTGAGTCTTTTTTAATGATGTTGTTGGATTTTTGTTAAAAGTAATATAGTACTCGCTGCATATTATTTTTTGATTCCAAATGGTTAAGGTACATGCTGTACATACGCGTGTAACAAAATCTCCCCTCTACATGTATATACATCCTTCTACATCCTGTCCTTTTGTTGTTTTTCTTCACTAACTAATATCCATATCTTAAGTGTTTTCTTTAATTCATGCAAGAGTATTTTTTGCATTTTGCAAACCGCATTGCACGAACCACAAGACAAATATTTGCACGATTCAAACAGTGGCCTGACTGACTTATTCTAATTTTGAGGAATTTCTAAGTTCAAAGTACAGCCATTTTTATATATCTTGGAATGTTGTTACCAGGTGAGATTTTCAAGTCTTATATCTATTTATAGATTAATCTATGATACTTATATCTAATATTTATCTAACATTATCTATACATCATATATATATATATATATATATATATCTTATATATATATATATAATATATGTAAGATATAAATATCATCTATCACGTTTACAACGTTAAAATCTCTTGATTTTCATACTAACTAATATATCTTTATTCAATATTTATCTATCTATATTAATATATTTTTTTATTTTTATATTCAAATAATTTATTTTCATTTATATTTTGATGGATAGTCTTGGCGTTTATACTTAATTCAATATTTGTAATCAATTAAATCAACATTCACTTCACTACCATTATAGCCTACCGAGAGTTTGTACTGAGGTCTCAATTTATAATTGGGCTAATTATTATGATTTGCCCTCCTCTCTCTCTCTCTCTCTCTCTCTCTCTCTCTCTCTTTCTCTCTCTATTTTTTCTCTCTTTATCTTCTTGTTTTCCTTTCTTTCTTTCTATTTTTTGTCTCTGTCTAACCATCATTCCATTTTATTACATTACTTTAATTAAATGTTCGGCTGCTAACAACGCACCGTGGTAACTGATGTTAATAACTTTGTACTCGTCAACTCAGTCGTTGTCAACTGTTCAAACTAACAAATATGCGGCTTTTATTAACTCGAATTAAAGATTTTTTTCAAATGATTTCATTTCAAGTTTTCTATCTAGCTTATTTCATTTCCCATTCGATTGAATGTTTGTAGTAATTAATTGAATAAATAAATTAAAACTGTTCAAAACATTTGAATAATTGAAGATAATGGAATTTGTGAAGAAAACAATGTCTCCGTATTTCTGTGTGGGTGTGTACAAGTACGCACATTCACATAAATAAAACACAGGCATGAATATACAAATTAAACATACACACACACACACACACACACACACACACACACACACACACACACACACACAACTCAACAAATGCGCTTTAAATAAGACTAACGCATTCAGTCAGTCACGACGATATTATAATAATAATATTAACGCAAATGCTGTACCGTATGTACTGTACATTCTATACATCAATCGCTAACTTTAAATCGTTGCCCTTTTCAAATTCTTTTATTAACATTTTATATGTGTGTGTATGTTTGAGTGGACATGTATGAATTTTATTTATTTATTCATACATTCATTTGATCATTCGTTTTTTCATTCATTCGTTCATTCGTTCATTCATTCATTCACTCACCCACTCACTCACTTCACTCACTCATTCACTCACTCACTCACTCACTCACTCACTCACTCATTCACTCACTCATTCATTTACTTGCCTATTGACTTTGTTAAAGTATTGTCACATGGTTTGTTGTTGTAAAGAGGTTTAACGTTTCTTGCCGATGACGATGATGGCGTTAGTTATGTTGATGATTACAATGACGATGATGGTGATAATAGGAAGCGGTGGTAACGGTGATTACGATGAGGGTGAAGAGAATGATGACGACGATGATTAAGATAATGATGATAACTTTGTTTATTACAATGGGGATAATGATGATGTCTATGATGGTGGGGATATGATGGCTATGATGATAATAATGGCTCTAATGATCATGATGTTGACGATGACGATGAAATTACCTTATTGTTGAAAATACCTTTAAAAGATTATGAAGACTAGTGTAAGTTTGACGAGAAACATAATGCCGTCAAAAATGACGTTAGTGATGATGATGGTAATTCTTATGAGGATTATGACTACCCACTAAGATTTATTAAAATATTTATTGGCGTCTTTTTGACGTTGTTTGACGTGTTCGTTCACGAAAAGCATTCTAAAATTATCCAACCACAGCAACGATCAACGCAAACATCTTTATTAAAAACTTTTAACAAAAGTCTATTTTTTGTCTTGTGAATATACTCTGAATATAAAAAAAACATCTTGATGAGCTAATATATCAACATTTCGCTTTAAAATTTATATCTCGTGGTATCAACTATAAAGAAGCATTTTAAACTATGTAGCATTGTTTGAATGAGAATGACTGTGAACAAACTTTTTTTGATTAACCGATGATTGAAAAAAATTATTTTTCATTCGCCAGATCACATTGCCTAGTTCAGCCCCGCTTACAATCAATTCAAACGACTACTTGGGACTATTCTCGCCCGGAAACTCGTACATGAAAATATCGGTTCCGTTCAGTGACGACCCGCTTTCATCCATCCGACTATCGATCCAATCCTACGTTACGCCGTTCATCTTGCCAGCGAGCAGCAACGTCTCGCTTCAGAGTTGGAGTTGGAAGAGGAGCTTCTCGAATTTCGTCAAATTCTGCGTTACTAATACTAGTAAGCTATCCATTAATCATTCGTCTGTCTGCTTGCATATTAGGTCTTGTGTCATAGTTAAATACATACATAAACAGACACATATAAACTGAAGAATAAAACATGTTCAATTACATATACCTAAATATACAATACATATAATATATAAATATAAACGTATATATACGGTTATATTTCTAAAATGTAAAATGCATTAGTTGAAGTAAACACAGTCATAAATAGGCAAAAATTGAATACTATTCATTTTGTTTTGTTTCATTCTAAAAGGTTGCCCGAGTATCACAACGAATTCTTCTCAGTCGGTATGTGACCATTTATTACGCATAAAACATAAAGACTTACTTAATTTTGTTTTTTATCGATTATTTTCAATAAAAATATTATATTGTTTTGATCATCTTAAAAAATTAAATATTTAAATTTCTATAAAAATATTATGAAAATTTTAAATTTTAATACTTTTGAAAAAATTCCCAAATAAAGCTTCCAATTTCCTACTCAAAGTACATCACAGTTCCCGCCACGTGCTGCGGAGGTTGGTGCTGCTTGGAAATGTTCGTTTTGTAATTTTTCATTAATAGTCCGCAAATAATTGACTACAAACCTGTTACAAGATTTCTTATTTTAATCCAAATATTTACTATTAACATTTTCATCTGTTCTTCAAATTTAATTTGTAAAGAGTCAGGAAACTATAGCAGTACTTTAAAAATTTAATCCAGGTTCCCAGAATATTGGTACATGTGACCCTACAAACAAAACAATTACTCTGATAGATGATCAGCAAGAAATCGTCAATCAACTTATTATAAAAATTAACCAGTTGAGAAAAATTTTAAACGATTATTTGATTGGAAGGATCCCACTTGGATTCTGTCCTGACAGCAGCTATGAAGTCGGATCATATGGACTTGGATATTGTTACAAGTTCTTCAAAACACCTGCTTATCTCGCTAAGGCTGCCATCGACTGCACCACCGACCGAGCTAGATTGGTCTTTATAAAAGATAAAACGGAAGATAACTTCATAAAAGAGTTTGTAGCAGGCAAATACAATTCGTCCAACGGTTTTGGCACAAGTGCGTTTTGTCCTGTACCTTTCATTTTCTTAGATTATTCTGTAAGAGATGTATGATTATAATAGCCTCTTTTATAAACTTGAGACATGTAATCAAAAAATAATTAATTTATCAAAATAAAATAAAGTTGTTAAATCAATAATATATATATTGTACTTTTGAACCGAAGTCCACAATTATGATTAAAATTGTCTGCACAGCGCCATCTTTCCGACTTTGGATGTCCACCATCTACAGCCTACCAGACGGCAAGTGGTTCTGGTTCAACAATCTTCTACCGCGTGACAACCTCCAACCTTTCGGAGCCTACACGAACTGGAAGGACAAGAACCCGGTGAACGCCACAAGTTCGTTGGATGTTTGTGCTAGCTACTATTACGATGCTGACAAGAGAGGTTACTACTGGGAGAAGACGCTCTGTGCCACGCCGCTGCCCTACGTCTGCAAGATTAGAAAACTCTGCAACTAGTTGGCGCGTGTTTGGCTGAAAAAACTATTTCGTGTAAAAATAAATAAATAGGAGAAATTGTTTAATTCGTCAAAACGATGTACAAATCCACATCTGGATAAGCATTTTATCTTTTAACGAAACATAATAGCTTCAAATCGATTCGTGACATTGAGAATTAATTAATTATTCAGCGACACAGCAACTGAAGCTAAATTAATATTATTGGTTGGTGTGTGAATGTATAGAACAAGCCCATTATCTGAAATTCAAAACTTCCCCACTGAGGCTGAATGAATTTTAAAGAGACAGTGGAGCAAAATATTTTTGCCGATGCCAGAATGAGCTAAATTTATCTCTAGACATATTTTTTCGGTGTTTCATACATTTCTTTATTGTTGAACGAGTTTTTAATTCTCAAACTTTCAATCGATTCTTCATTTGTACGTTGAAGTGAGTGATATGTTCAAAAAGTGTTATGTATGATTGTGCAATCTTGAATCTCATTTATTTATTTGTAAAAATATGATGTAACATTCACACACACACACACACACACACACACACACACACACACACACACACACACACACACACACATATATATATATATATATATATATATACACACATATTAACATACATAACGAAAGGCGGGTCCTTATTGTATAGATTGGTTCAGAAAAAACATTTTTGACACTTTTTCTTTTCCTTTCATTTACTCAACATCGCGTTTTATATTACGTAACAGAAGCTTTCAAAATATTTTCAATTATAATTAGGATGACAGAGAAGCAGTGTGTGCGATCAAACGAACAAAATAATTTTTATTTGATGGTCAACTCTGGTTATTAATTCTAAACAGTGTTCTCCCATTAACTGTTAACGCAATTTAATTTTATTTTGCATTTAAACGCCTGTGCCATATTTTAGGCCGATTGTTTTAGGCTCGCATTTGTGGTAACATCTGCTTTCACTTAACGTTAATATACTTACTTACTACTGCTACTGAACTCAGTTTTTCAATGTTCTAACTTTTAAATAAACCAAAAATTAAAACATTCGTGGTTATAAATTTTTTTTACAAAACTTACCCAAGTATTTTTACATACAACTTATAGGCCTACCTACATAGCTCGCACTTTTAGAACGAACAATCCCGATGAAATATTTCAGTTTCAATATAAAATTAGAACAGTAGAATGGTGGTGTACGATGAATACATCAAGAAAAACCAGCAGCTCTATAAATCATTTACGGTTATACGTATAGGTTTTATTGGTTAAACTATATAAAATAAAAAATAACGAAATTTAATGACTAAGGGGCTTCAAGGGCTGTAACTAGAGCTCTGTGTTGATAGCTGCAATACAGCTTGAAAATGAGGTAAACGCAACGACTCCACCGTCTGCGGTTTTTTTAGCTATTTTTTTAAAAACCACCCTCGCAATTCAGCTTTTTAAATTAACTTAAACTTCCAGAAAATTACTAGCATGAAAAAAACTCCAAAAAATGCATTAATACCAAAATATTTTTATTACATAATAAAAAAAACTCATCCATTGAATACGATGAAAACTAATTTATATTTTTCAGTTTTTAGATAATGAAATTATTTACAGAATCGTTCAACTAATCACGACAAAAACAGACCAAGCATATGAAAACAGCAACGCTATACGCATGATCAGATAAATCACTGTATGCATGCCTGAAAATGTAACGTTTATTCATTTATATATGGCATAAACACATATATAAAATATATATTATATATTTATATATTGAGTGTATGTAGATAAAGTTAGGTTAAAAATAAGCTAAACACGAAACAAGAACAATGTCCTAATACTTTTGTACAACTAATCACAAAGTCTTCCAAGTACAGAAATGATCAATCTTCACATCAGTCAGCTTAGCAATGTGAAAAATAAATGTACCATCATCTTAATTTTCAAAACGTAATGCATTCAATAAGTTTGAGAGATACAAATATATATAAAATGAAAGACTTGTAACAGTTATCCATAATTTCAACTAACTTATTAGTTATTTTTGTTTCGTTGTTGTATCACTTTAGCTTAAAATTCGTTGAACATAATTAGAATTAACTTGACAAGAGAAAATCTTTTAAAAATTAATGGTGGTTATTGTAATGGACATGATTACATGATAGCGAGGATGCAGTTGATGATGCTGAAGTGCCATTGTTGAGATGATACGGAACCTTCCTTTCGTAGGTCCTTCGATGTTTTTCATCAATTTTCTTCAAGTAGAACGTGCCAGGGAAAAGATCATCAGTGCAGGATATTGGTTCATAAGGAGCTGCATGTTTGCATAAATAGGTCGGGCATATTTGCATAAATTGGTCGGGTTATTCAATTGATGACCCAATAATCAACAAAATAAAAAACTGGCTTAAAGAATGGCATAACTCTTTAGTGGACGCTCTAATCAAATGAAAATGTCAAAAACAAAAGCATACATGCATCAACATATTTACACTTGTACAGTAAATACTCATTAAACCAAAACACAGCCGACCTAGCGCTACCAAAAATTATAGCAATAATTGAAGGCGACAGAACACAAAACAACAAAACAATATACAGTAGTAATTAGGAACACAGAACAACAAAACACAACAACGCGCAACTCACAACAATATACAACAACCAATACCCAAATGATGAGTCTCCTCTCTCAGCTTCATCATCTTCTGAAAAGATAGTGGTTCAACTTTCTTTCGAGACTCCAACCTCGTTGAAAGACTTTTTAGTGAATTGTGAATTTTCGTTAGGGTCTCAGTATTTTGATTTGAAATTTTTATAGAAAACATTGATGACGCCAGTCCTGAACCATACGAAAACAACACTATTGTCTTTCCCAACATCTCATCAACTGTTTTGTGTCTACAAAGGAAAGAAATCAAAAAACAATATTTTGAAATTACGAATCAATATCATCATTATCATTACGATCATCCTAACATTAATTTTATAACAGCAGTTATATAGTTTGAACATTTAAATGAAGTATCATCCAGAGTTTCATGCAACTAGAAATACAATACAATGATTGATCGATCCACTTCAATGAAAGATCTCCTAGCGTTTATTGTAAAAACATCAAGTGCAATTTTCAGTAGTTTAATTCTGACAATACTGATGAACATGAAAATTTTTCACCACATGAATTTTATTCCTTTCTAACTATCTACAAACAAATCATTTAAAATCATTTGTCATGCTTTTGGCTAAAATATCTTTTCAAAGAGTTTAAATCCTGTAGAAAAAATTATATACCCTCCAAACATTTTCACTTCAATCAAATTCTCACTAAATTTATCCAAATTAATAACAGAGCCACTGAATATTGAAGGTTCATTTTTGAAAGGAATAGCACAATTTTAAAAACAAGAAGTTATCAGATTAATCAATTTAAGGACTTGCAAATAACTTTCCCATTTAAAACATACTTTAGATTAGAAGATATAAAAAACTACAGAATTCATGCGAGAAATCTACAAACCTAAAAATGTATACAGCAAGCCCTGCGTACAAGGATGGCGTGTACATGTTACCAATCTGGTTGGATAAGTAGAGGTACGGTTTTGTTTTGCTGTTGTACAAGTCTCGACTGGCATTCATTAAAGATGTTTCTAAATCTTTGTTGAAGTAACTCTCTTTCAAATTGACATTCCTGTGTATATAATAAAAATGCAAACTGTTAATAAAATATGGTTCATTAGAATATGAAAAAGAATATGAAACAACAATATCATTTATATCACAAAAAGTAACAATAAAATGACTAAAATGATTTTGCTGATTAAATGATAACAAAAATTTACAAGTAAAGATGTAAACATGTAAAGATTGTAGAGATTCATAATGATAATATTATCAATTAGTTTAATGAACATTTCTAGGCATAAATGAACTTTGTCCTTGATATAATCTAAGTGTCATGAAGTTGTCTCAGTCAATTGATAGCTACAGGGCGATTGTACATTTATTTTATTGTACAATGACGACGACAACTACAACGCACAAAATAAAGTATTTGGTCACAAAAAGAACACATATTTCAAAATTAATAAACAATGAGTACTTGTATTTAAAATGCTAGTGTTTAATAACATACAAATACGTCCTACCTCGGGAAACCGGGTCTCTGGACGCAAAACGAAGATTGATTAATAACATACAAATGGAAAAATTTTGTGAAAAATGGGATGCTACAAACCTAAACCTCTCAAGATCAGCAAACAACTTGCTGGCATTATCATCATGATTGAAAGATGGAGAGGTGGTGGAAGATGAAGATGACGACAAGAAATCATTAAACAACAATCGAGCGAGTGACTTCTGGACGAGTTTGCAGTACGGTGAGTGAAAGAGAAATGCATCTGCTGACTGAATTGTGAAAGTGGAAGATGAAGAAACTGAAGATGGAGGGGGCAAACTGTTTTCTGCTGACTCTTTCATACCTGTCATGAAGATTCATGTAAGTAAACTTTTATGACTTCTGTTATGACACACACGCACGCACGCACACAAACACACACACACACACACATACTGTAACATACATCCCTCACTAAATAACTGACCTTTGGAATGTATCATTCATGCATACTACATTCATATCCCAACTATTATGTATTTTGGCTGACACATGCACAAGTTCAAGGACTATCGGCCTACATAACATACAACATACTAGCAGACCCAGAGAGGGAATAAAGTCAGAATATTTCAAAGAAAGAATGATGAAAACATGAAAAATGTTATATTTAAAATTATCAACAGTATGTACTATTCAGAATGGTTACAAAACAAACACTTGATTCAAGTTAACCATAATGAAAAATCTCACATTTTAAAATTTTGTTACAAATTTTACCAAGTTACCACTTGGCTATTATTTTCAAAATGTTGAGAAGTTGATAAATTAATTTTTAGAAAAATTCATTAATTTAACTTTAAATAAAATATTTGTTTTCATTTGACACTCCTTTCATCTTGAAACAGCACATTAGTTAAAAAACTCCTCAGAAATGTATGGTACACTTCCAATTTCGAAATATTACAAACATATGTCATAACAAAGGTGTGTCTTTTTCACAAATGTAAGCTCATTATTTGAAGTTAATGCAGTCGATATTTTCAACTTTCTTTACCTTTTTGCACCACCAACTTAAGAAAAAAAATTGTTAACCTCTTGATCATTCGACCTCATCATCAAGCTTTTAAATATCAACTGACATATTCTCTCAACCCGCAATTTATAAAAACAATAACAGCAGCAACAAACAAACCTTTGCTAGTGATAGCAACTTTTTTCTTGTAGAGCTGGTAGCACTGATCGAGAGCACTGAGGTAGCACTCGACAGACAGCTTGCCATCAACGACGGGGTACTCTGACATGAGATCAGGCTTGTAGAAATCATATGCATGCTTCATGTGACTTGATCTGATGCCTTGATTGGTAGGTGGTTGTTGTTGTAGGTAATTTGGCATGTTTGCTGTTTAATTATCATCCAGAACATCAAGACATTTTCACATTTCCCACCAACAGTCTTATTTTCCTCACAAGTAAGGTAAATATTATTCCAAAAATTGTCGGACTTTATAAAGTATATTAAATAACATGCAAAATATTCAAACAATGCGAATTCACTCGTAAACGAACCTCGCTCGAAAATGATAGGAGCATGAGGACCAATCAACATAGCCACAGCTCCAGCTCCACCTGTTGGTCTTGCATTCCCTGAAGCATACACTGCTATGTCTCCACATACCACAAGTGCATATCGACCTGCGCTCCACAAATTATAATTTCTTTAATTTATTTTATAAATAGAAGCAGCGCATAATGGCTTAATAATTCTTATAATAGATTATAAATATTGAACTACTGCAAATAAATAATGGTAGAATGAAAATTTCAAAGCATGAACCAAGAAAGTTGAGATAATGAATCACAATAAAATAATTCAAAAATTAATTGAAATGAATATAGGAAAAAAAAGTAAAACATCATACCATCCCAGGCACTGGACTCAATCCAGTTGATGCAGTTGAAAAGAGCAGAAGTTCCTCCATAGCATGCATTCGTTGTGTCAATGCCCTCTACATCTGTGTTGTCTTTAAACAATTGCATTAAAAACGTCTTTACACTTTTTGATTTGTCTATTATGGTCTCTGTTCCAACCTGAAGTTATAATAATTATGATTTATAAAATATACAAACAAAATATAATGTAAGTTTTTACAAAAAATACTGAATCCTTCATTACCTCTAACCTCCCAATTTCTGAGGTATCAATGTGATTTTGTTCCAGCAGATTAGAAACAACAGTTAGACAGAGAGAGTTGATGTCCTCAATATCAGAACAAAACCCCATCTTATCTTGCCCCAGTCCAATCGTATATTTGCCAGTTGACACGTTGTCAAACACCTCTAATTCAGACTGGTCCACATACAAATATGGGAAATAAACTTCGATGGCTAAAATGCCCACATCTTTTGGCCAAGCCATTTTTCAGTCAATATAAAAATTATGTTCTTTAATGCTGTAGTTCAATTTAATCAAATACAGCTTTATCAAATGAACAATTGTACTCCAAATTTTAATTATTTATATTATTATTATATAACGAAAATTAGATTTGGCTTAGCATTAGAGAAGAGAAAGAAAGAGAATGCTTGACGTTATTTAGTTGTCACATTTATACACACTACATAAACATACTGCATATGTTTAGCAAGCTAAGAACATAACATGCTGTATCTGTATCTTAATGTTTATCAGTATGATAAAATAACCTAATCATATTGAAAGAGTGTTATAATGAAAATCTCTGCCACACTAACTAAAACAGCTAGCAACAAAACAAGCAAATATAACATGAATATTATTATGCACTTCATTTAATTAATTTTATTGTTTTATTCAGTAAAGTATCACCACATCAGGCAGCGTGAATTTTGCAATCCAAGCAAACACGTGATTAGTACAACACACACAACACAAAGAGGAAAAGACATATTAAATTTATTTATTATCTTTTCTCACAAGTGCCAACTCCTCCTTTCTGAATGTCATTGGTCGTCTAACATCACCGGATAAAATGAGCAGATTTTAAAATTTTTTAATGTAACAAGAATCCATTACAACTTTAAAACGAACGTTTTGCTGTTTTAATTAAATAAAAAAAATCTGAATTAAAAATTACGCAAACCGATGAGACGTTAGTACAATGAGCGACAATTAGAAAGATCTATTTCACAACTGGACGTCAGTGAACTTGCCTGAGAAACGTCAGAAGAAGTCATGACTTCCTTTCATATAATCTATTGTCATGCCACGGACATGCGCCCATGCCCGATCATGCCTAAGTTGAACGTTAGGCTTCAGGTTAGAGCAAGGTTAACTTTAAGCTTAATTGAAACTCATAAATATAACAATTTAGCGTTGGGGCCGTTTAGTATAGTCGCTAAAATCTCTGGTTTTTGTGATATTTTTAGTGATTTTGTTCATTACATATACTTTGAATGAATGACTACAAATGTTTCTATAAATGAGGGTTGGAAATTATAATGGTTTAGAAACCATCTTTTTCTTTAACGTTAACCTTCTTACACTGTACTATAATAGTTCAATACTTTCTTTTCATTAATTGTACTGAATTGCGCGTTGTTAATAATCCGAGAATGAGGATGTATTAAAACGGCCCGGTTATGAAAAGAAGAAATTACTAAAATAATACCTACAACGGGGGCAGTTAAAGTTTTTTGGTCACATCATGCGGAAGGAAAGAATGGAGAATCTAACAACTACTGGAAAGATTGCAGGGAAAAGAGTCGCGGTCATCAACAAATAACATTCGTGAAGTCCTTGTGTTCAATATTACTACATTTCAATTACTACAAAGTGTTAAAGACCGGGTTTTGTGGAGGCCGATGGTCGCCAATGTCCTGAAAAAAAGGCACGAAAAAAAATAATCAGAGAACAAATTTTTAAATGAAAGAAAACAATAAGGCCGCATCAGCATAATTTAGCGTATCCTAATTAGTTATTATATGTAAATTTTTACTTTACAGTCTAATGTTTTGTATTCTTCTCCTTGTTTGCTTTACTGGAGATAATAAATCGTTCTATAGTGGACTATAACTGAATATTATCAATTAAGAGCCTCATGATTTAAAAGCGTCGAGATATTTTGATTTCACAGTCTTAATTTGAACTAACTTACTAATAAGTGATTATATATATCTATTACATGTTGATGAAATGTATAGCTACAACTAAGGATTTATTTTTCATTAAGTAGAGCATTGTGTTAACGCTTTCATCAATATAATAGTATTGTAACTGTTTTTGACGAATATTTATTTCAGTTGGGTTGTCATAAGTTTTTTTTAATGAAAAGTTAGGTTGCATTTGAGAATTTATTTGGTATAAATTGCCGTATACATTTAATCAATTTTTTCCAAATTAAACTGTAAATGTAAAATAAATTTTCATTTCTGACCAAACAAGTGGAATTAAAACGAAAAATGCTTTCGATAAAACGCAAATGCAGTCATATAAACACTTGTGAAACTTCAATAACGAATGTGTCGAAAATGAAAAATAAACTGCATATAAGGCAACTGAAATAAAATGATATATCAGTAATGATGGACTCGGTTTTAACCTGTAAAAGTAATGCAAAAAAATTTATTTTAATTGAAAAAATGGTATGCTAAATATGAGGGAACGTACACAGAAAGAAGATTGATTGGTCCTTTCACACACTCTCCTCCCAATTTGAAATACTGAAAACAAGCCTTCTGTAGTTGGCATAAAGACTCTAAATATAGGCAAATTTTAAATGAATAAAAATATGAAAAAAATAAACACTCAAATTATATCATCATTACTGTTTTCTGCAGCAAACAATTCGTAGAGAGCCATCGACAACACATTAACCGCGAATGAGTGGTTTGTTTTTCTCTTGTAATGCAAAGATTTTTGTAATTTCAAAACCGAATCATAATCTGAGAGATCATGGATTTGTCTCAGTAAGTTCGTGAACATCACTGCATCTGACAGTGCAACAGTCATTCCACCTCCAGTGATTGGATGTCTCATGTTCATGGCATCTCCCAACGCCATTGCTCCTTTTCTGAAAATTGGCGATGGAGGTAAAAAGTTATTTGGCATTGATTTGATCGTTCCTTCTTCTAGAGCTCTTATGAAAGGTTCTTGCAAATGCTCTGCATAATTTTTAAATACAAATAGTTTTAATATTATCTTAAGTAACTTATGTCTTGAATGACCTAGCTGAAAATTACTAACCAGGTAATTGATGATAAAGTTTATCCTTCAAATGAGTTTTGATATCTTTCGGTAAATTTTGTGACCTCACATCAACAAGCATTCTTGTTGTAGTGGATGAGATTTTATAAATTAAGATTGGAGAAGGATCTGTGAGAACTATTTCGGCAAAGTTTGGTTTTATTTGGTCGCAGTTTTTGAGCTCCAAACCAACAAATGTAGAAACAAGTTTTGGCATTTCCTTTACAAGGTTTTTTCTTAATCTTGAAAAACATCCGTCAGCAACAATAACCAATTTGGCAGATATCTTCTGCAAGGTTAATTTTCAAAAATCTGATAAAACATCTACAATTTAAAAAAAAATTAAAAATTTGAAATGTTTAATTACAGCAACTAACTTGATCAGCGCCATTTTTTAGTTTGTACATTACGCCTTCAACGATTCCACTCTCACCGCTTTCAATCAATTTAGTGGCCACGCCTTCTACATAAGTAACACTGACAAATTTATTAAAGTTAATTATATTTAACAGAAATTAAAAGGTATTTTTCATTACGTTAATTACGTTAATAATTTTTGTGTGTCTCAAACGTGCAAGAAAACAAGTTAACGTTCACAAGTTTCCTGCAAATTTACATAATCAAGCAGACTATTTGTCAATCATAAGTCAATTTAACAAATTAATTAAAACGTTTTTAATTTTTTATTTTTAATTGAAAAAATCGTTAACTTGTTTTCTTCAAAAGCTTTTTTTCTGAGAGCCTGTACAAACCGGCCGTGAACAAACGCTTTAGCTCCTCTAATATCTTCATGATCCGTCGGAAAACTGAGTCCTAAACTTTCTTCATTATGGTCGTGAATTACGTAGCCAAGTATTTGTTGTGCGTCTATATTCTCCAAACATTCTGATTGATTCGTTCGTTTCAATGATTTAGTCTTTCACACTCAATTTGTTAACAAGAGGCAAACTTATATCACGAATGTATTTCAAACGTTTTGTTAACGTTGCTAGCTACAAATTTGATTTTAAAATTCAAATATTTGAAGGTGAAATGCAATATTAATATAAAAGTTTATTTTATGGTAGGATGACGTGTCAATGAACTACCTACCTACCTAGGTTTCAACGCAAAATATCTTCCTCTGTTAAAGGCTAATGTAATGTCTTTATAATGTCTTACCACGTGCCTATGCGAATGCAAATGAGTGTACTGCCATTTTCAAATGTTGTAAAAAGCCGCAGAACACTACATAAATCACAACGATTGATTGAACAGAAACAAAACGTCAAAAAACAAATTTTATGTCACAAGCATCAACATTAGAGAACATAAACCTCCCAATCCAAGTTCGTTCAAAGCCTTGCAACCACCAGGCTGTAAAAGTTCACCAACAATTCTATCTGGTTGTTTCAGATTTCTTTCCACCACAATTACTTTCCTGCCATCTCTCGACAGAACAGTGGCCAGTGCCGATCCAAGCACTCCAGACCCGACTATGACCACATCACAATCGTAATTCAGCGCTACACAAAATCCATTGCAAGTTGACTTCTTTGCAACCAGCTGTGATAAATTAGCAATCAAAATATTACAATCAATTCTATAACGAACGGTTTCAAAAATTGCTATTACTTTTAATATAGTAATTGATAATAGAATAGGTGTACATGAGCAAGACGCATTTTTTCATCAAACGACAAACACGTTTTTAATATTTCAAAGTGCATGTAACATTTGCTACATTGTTGATAAAACAATCATATTTTTAATTAACCTTTATGTTGCAAGTGATTTTATAGATAATAAAAATAGAAATAATTAAAAACACTGAAATCGATAATAAAATCATTTTATTCAACAAAATTATATTGAAAATGAAATTCATTTAATGAATCTATGGTTTTAAATTTATATAAAGACAGAGAGTTAATTATGAAAGAGTTGTTTTTGTTTTTAAAATCAGCTCACCTCAATTTTGTTAGAACGTACAACCAATCACTTTGGAGACGAGAGCATGAAAAGATTAGATCGTCAACCAATCAAAACGATGATAACATACGATGCCGTCATTAATCTTCACTGGCTTTCGTGAAATTTTATTTCAACAAAATACACCATATCTTTTTATTCATCAGTTGTCCAAAATTCATTTCGTTTTACTTTAAGAAACAAATTTCTTGTTGAAGTCAAAACCGTCATTTTATATTTATTTTCGTAAATTTAACTGTGCCTTTCTGTGAACTTTAAAACGCCATTCAAATTTTTTTATGAAATTGAACTGTTACTGCAGAGACGAATGAAAAAATATTTGACTGAAATGTAAAAAAAATACTTGACTACATTAGTTGAAGAGCAGACGTACACCTATAACATCAGCTATCATGAAGGAAATTTTTGATTTTGCTAAAAAAATGCCCATATTTTATAACGTATAGAGCAAATTATCAGTTTTAAGCGACTGAAGTTTTATTACACTTTATTTAAACAACACAAACACACTAGGAAAAAATGGACATTGTACAATAGTTTTGAATTGCACACTTCATCATTCACGCCATGGTTGATATTGCCTTTGGATGCAAGCTCGTATCTACAAGCATAAAAAAATACAGCTTTAAACAAATATCACATCTACATTTAAAAATAATAACTATAGAAATCAAACACAATTCACAATTTAATCAAGGATTAAGTTAAAATTATATCAATGAATAAAACGAACTGAATAAACGAATATGTGAGTATAAAATTATATTGCAATCACAAAGCGAACGCGTAATCAAAAACTAAATAAATGAAAAAGTCATCAACCCCAATTTGTAAAAGTATTCACAAACAATTTACATACGTATTTTAAATTTATATTTAAGCTCTAATTCCTAACATCCGGTTGTAATAAAACTTAAACACTTTAATTTTTAAAAAAAGCGGCGCAATCAGTTGAATGAGATAGAAGTCTAATTACGTCTTTTCATCATAGGCGCTAAATCTAGACACAAACGACATATATGAACACATAAAAAGTGGATTTAGTGCACGAAAATTGAAACCAACTACACGTACAACAGGTTATACACTTACAGAGAATAAACACAAAATCACAAAAAAGTTAAACAACGAAGCACATAGAGGCACACATAAAAATATAAACGTGCGCGTTCAGTCCGTGTCATTAATTTATAAATAATTAAAAGTTGTATCATTTCTAAATGTTAAAGTTAATTCGTTCTGACTACCACCTGTAAAATGTATGTCATAAAAGACTGCGTTTAACATTTAATAAACGATGAATAAATATATCTACCGACAGAAAAATTTAAAATCAAGAAAATACAAAACAATGCAATATGCAAGTAACAACAACTTTATGAAATATAACAAAATAAGAGAATAGTATCAATGACATGACACGACGCAGACAGACAAAAGAAACAAAAACAACGAGTAGTGAAAATTTGAAACTTTGAATAATTAAGAATTACAGAAGCGACTTGACTGACTGATCAATAAACAAAAAGCTGCGGAAAGTTCAGTTCATGGCTGGTTGCTGACTTGAACAAAAATGGGTCCTCATCTTCGCCATCTTCACCACCGTGACTCAAATTGAATTTGCTTGGCGATGAAGTTTCTGTGGAATTTCCGATTGAATCCAATATCTCGTTCAAGCGTTTCTGAAATTTTTGATTCTGTATGAAGGATGAAAAAATTATTCTGTTGGGGAAATTATTTAAATCTTCAATCTTAATAAGTTTCATATTTTCAAAATTCTTTAAAACTACTAAACATGATTGCCAAAAAAAATTTGTATGAACTATTAACATAACTATTATAATTTGACCATCGATTCTTGTGAAAATTAAATAATTTTAAGATTTTCAGATCAACACACAAACTCTATAAAAACAGAATCAACTGTGAGTACAGTACAAACTTTCTTTCACTATCTTAATTACGATACGGCTACGATAAAAACACATTTGAAAACAAAATGAAAAAATATTGGTACTTTAGCTTCAGATCGAGCCACAATTTCCTCAAAAGGACCCGTTCGAAAAGATTCATATATCTTCTGCTGGCGAATTTTTTCACTTTGTTCTGCTTCCGGGTCTGCTTCTGTTAGATGAGTTGATAAATTAAGTGATAAAGTTGATAGACTTTGTGATTAGGTTGATGAATTATGCATTAAAGTTAATAGATTGAGTGATTAGGCTGAAGTTTAGCTCACAAAATTATAATTCATAAAATTTCATTGCCACAAATTGTAACGACAAACAGGTGTTATCGTATTGCGGTTTCAATTTAATTTTGCAAAAATAGTTAACAAAAATATATTTTTCCTTAAAATTAAAAAAAAAAAAATAGAACTAGCCAAGTAATTTTTTCATCGATTCAAACGTTATGTCACCCAAGAAAGCTTTCTGTGATGTTTGCAGAAGGTCAAGATTGGTTATGATTTTATAGATCCACATAAAAAACAGGTGTAAAAGAAAGCAAAATAAACTACAAACGTGAAGTGTACATCTCTCAACCAAATTATTGCATCAAATCAATTTCTTTGCATAGTTCGTTTTTGTAATATATTTTTTGCACGTGTCAGCAAGAAAAATCATGTGAATGAATGTATAACCTACTGAAAAACCAACCATCACAAAACACACATCAAACAAACACAGACAATCTAAAACGACGGCGGATAATAATGAATAATTGGGAAAAAAATGACAAAAAAAATGATGACACGTTATGATAAATAATAACAAGGTGCCAGTCAGCAAGCAGCAGACAACACACCCACCTTTCCCATTCCTGGTGTAGAAGATGGACTGTCGGGTTCAATGATGGAATGTATGTCACTCAGGCTACCAGAAGTATCTTGTATCACTAAATCAGTTTGTGTGTTTTTATGATGTATATTGATGAATATGTAAGAGAAGCTGTCTATATGCTCGCGTGGTTATGCGAAATGATTGTTTCTAAATTGAACTTCTGCGTATTTAAATACTTTACTTAAATGTTATTATATAAATGAAAACCAATGTCAATTACAAACCCAATGATACGGATGTCGGCATAAGAAATTTAGAAAAAAAACAAATTGAAAACTTGTAAAACTCTTCAGTACTTACCAACGGAGGCAGGCCTAGACACGAGTGCAGCGTTCAACTTGGAAACTTCGAAACCTTGTGATTTTAACTTTTCAGATATGACGTCAACATTGAACAGCCAGCTTTCCTTCATTGCACTGTCTGACGGGTAGCTGAAGATGGTGTGATAAAAAGTAATATCGTAATGAAGATGGTGCGGTCAATCAATCAATTCAATCTTCGTTTTGCGCCCAGAGACCCGGTTCCCCGAGGTAGGACGTAAAAGTAGACGTAAAAGGACGTAGGTGCGGTGAAAAGTGATGATAGAATGATGATGAATTGACAATGAGAGATGGGAAAGGTTAATAGAATAACAATAATACGACAGTGTGATAACAAAAAACATACAAATAATGATTACAATGATTAACATATTGAATGGTAACAAATTTATGAATAAGATATTAATAAGACAAATACTAAGGAAAACCTACGCTCCTACGAAGCAATATAAGAAGCAAACAGCAACAACCAAAAGAAACAACACATAACTGCTGCAACAGACCTAGCAGACGTATTTGATCTGTTGAATGCCACACTAGGCAGGTAGCAAGGTGCGTTCTTCTTTCTTTCTTGTATTACCTTTATTGTTTTTATTGCGTGTGTGTGTGTGTGTCAAGCAGCACTGAATAGATGAGAATAGATGGTACTCATCATTTACCTTTAACATTCAATAGATTGTGTAGAACGAATCCCAACAAAATAACATACATAATCACAGATAATTTGAAAAAAGCATTACAAATAAAAAATAAAATTTATCCCTGAAGAATCGACTTGACGATCAGATACGAACATTTAGATGAAAAAAATAATACCAGACATTAACTAACAAAAAAAGGATAAAAATCTTGTAATAAAAAACAAATGATATAGAGTATAAAAAGAGTTTCAAAAAGAAAACATTCGCCTACCTGTGATATGTATTTAGTCAGTGGACTCAGATCAGCTGCCAGACTGACGATGGATAAGAAAGCAGCGACTAGCGCATGCATGGCACACTTGTGAGTCACTGGAATATTGCCGGTAAGTGCCGTGTTCTGAATTTGTGCGTTTGGGTGGGATAGGAATGTTTCATTTGTTTTTATTAGGTTAGTATTCAAAGACGTTCAAATTTTAATGTGCAATCACCATAGATATGTAAATTGCGGAGTGTATATTGATAAATCAGAAATAAAAATCCGTGAAGAAAATTTTAACAAAACTGATAATGAGGACGGATGAAGATGAGAATGACCAACTTGTATCTCAAGAGCTAGCCTAATCAGATCAACCAGTACGTCTTCGGCTCCCATCTCCACATATATCAAGACCATTGTTATGTAGATGCTCTCAAAATTATCAACCTGTTCACATCAATATATCAAAAACCTTCAATTTATCTTATCATCTTTATGAGTTCAGTGTGCACAATTGAATGTCTCGGCTTTAAATCTAGTGAAGTCTCAAGACAAAGTGATCAACACGCTTAACAACCAAAATTATGGTATCTGCAACAATCTTCCTGCAACTACAGATACAACCCTAATGTAAAAAATTATTATTCTTGCCTAAAATAGACTTCCCAGACTAACTTTCAATAATATTAAATGAAACAATAAGGAACTATTGAGAATATAATCAACTTAACAAATCAGTTATTAAAAATAAAAATTACTTCATGCTCAATGTGAGATGTATTTAATAATTTAATTAGTTAACTATTTGTCACCAGGTAGATTTGTTTAAACTTGAAAAAATGAAATAAGAGAACCCATCTTATAACCTTGTTATTGAGGAAACAGGTATTTTCATGTAGATGCCAATATATGTTTGACCCATTCTGAAATGTATTCAAAAGGCCAACAAAATGAAAGAAATGTAAAATCAAAATAACTCATAACAGTAAATAATGGTAAGCAATCAAAATAACTCAAAACAAAACCATCAAACTGACGTTTCAAAAAGCTATCTGAATAAAAACCATTCTTAAAAATCTATTTATTGATTTAGTTATAATAACTCGAAATAAGCATACTAAATACCCACCTTTTTAATGAATAATATATCCTGCTTTTGAGGTTTCTTTATTACAAGCGCTGTGGCTTTGATATCAGAGAATATTCTTGAAAATTTAAAATTATTGAAAAATATTGTTGACGAAATTTATATGAAGAAAATAATTATGAATATTGCAGATCAAGGTTTAAACTAACTGAACAGTTCTGAGTTTTGAAAGATTTTCATGTCTGTCAATCAAAGTATGCAGTATTTCCTGCACTAATCTTCTTATTCCTGGATCTTGCACCAGAGAAATTTTTAGGAGGGGGTCCAAGAACGAGATGGGTAGTGCATTTGGCACGGATATTGTCTTGTACTTTGTGGCCACCTAGCATGTTCAACATTGAAACCAACATTTTTATAACCACTTTATCTTAAAAATCAGCTTTTAAATTATATGGTGAAAATTAATTGGAAATTATATATTAACAGAAGAAATAAATTAGGACAGACACAGCTGAACAAAAAACAATGATCTAAAAAAGATTCCTTACTAACTTTAAGAAGACTTTTCAACAGCATCGTTTGTAGCATAACATCAGATGCACTGTTTAATTTCAAAACATTTCTAACATTTTAAACCATTGTAGAACATCTACAATAACTATTTTAGAATAATCAAATTTTCAAAACATTTTGAAATTTAAAAAAGTTAAAAACAAAATATGAAAAAATAAGAACAAACTCTTTATCTTTGTCTGAAGGTAGAGGCACCTTGCCCATCACAAACATCATTATCTCGATTTTCTGGTAATCCGGTAAGTTGTTGGCAAAACCACCTTCACATAAAAGTTATTAGGCAAGAAATAAATACTTTTATTACTACAGCCAAAAGCTTTCTACTGCAAACTGGTCGGAAGGTCAACTAACGCCTTCAAAAATTTTTGTATGAGCAAATTATTTACAGATTAATTTGCATTTAAATTCTATGCTGCCTTTTATCAAGTTATATATAAAATATTACTATTACTAAACATTGCAGTCCAAACCCAATCAAACTAGGCCATAGCTCTACAGAAATAACAAACCATACAACAAAAACTGCACTAACCAATAACAAACCAATCATAAGGCCAATCAAACAATCAACCAGCCTTAGCCAGTCAACCAAACATAGCCAGCCAGTCAACCAAACATAGCCAGCCAGCCAACCAACTAACCAAACAAACCACCAACAAACTACAGCCAGTTAACAAGCTAACCAATAGTGTTGACAATAGCTTCTTGAAAATGTCGTTCCTCGTTTGCCTTCTGCCTTTCCCTGATTGTTGTATCAACAGAAATTTTCAAATGTCGCAGTAACGTGTTGAACACTTCAAGCACTGATGGTCCTGCAATGATGGTGGTGATGACATCAAAAATAATTATGATGACGAATGAATATTCTTAAGTGTTGGCTCAGATAACATATGTTATGCTATCTGTCCAAAGCTAGTAAACTATTGAATAGCTTATATGTATGATGTGGTGTTTCTTTGTATTATGTGTTTGGTGGGAATGTTCAACTATTGTGGTACAATAGTTTGATCGCAACTGGAAAGGTAAAGAATGAACCTATCGATCCACCAGCTGATATGAGGACTGTCTCTGATAAAACATCTACAATACTGGCCTAGAAACAAAACGTATTTAAAAATAACTATATTAGAAAAAAAATGTTTCGAATATAAAAAAGAATGGCAAAAAGATGTAAACTGGTGTGTACAAATTCACACATAGGCATGAAATCCAATTTTATATAAACCATGATATAGAGTGTCAACCTTGATTTTAGCATATTCCTTGCTATTTTCATCCAAGTGACTCATCAGCATCTGAACTACCATGTAACCATACTGGGCCTATGTATGTGTGTGTGTGAGTATGCGTGTGTGTATGTGTGTGTGTGTGTGTACATGCGCTCCCATATGTATGAGTTTGTGTGCTATTGTGTATGTGTGATACACATACACATGCCAATGTGTATGTGTATCACGTAAGTGTATGTATGCATTTGTATAGACATATTTGTATATACAAGAGTGTGATATGCAAGAATCTGATCTCTGCAACCACAACACAGGATTTGTTTTAAAAATGTAATTTACGTTTTATGCGCTATCAGCATTTTAAAATAAAATGAAGTATATCAAGAGCACATAAACATATTAAAAAAGTGTACTTCAGTAATTTACACATAGATGAATGAAAATTTGATAAATATTACTAAACAAATAATCAAGCAAAAAATGGTAATTTAAAAATAACATGCAACTGTTTATAAGCATAACTTCCATCTCAATTTCCAGATGAATAACGCTAATTAATTAGGACAAGAAAGCAACAAAACCAGCAGAAAACATGCAAGTATATCAAAGGAGAGCCCACCTGGACTGAATACATGATGATCTTAAAACACCTGACTGCAAAGTCATTAGGGACCCACAGGTTGTGGTTGTCAAGGTGACTGTGAACAATTTAATGCATTAATTTGAATTTTATGACTAAGAAATAAATGAAATTATATGCCATGAGATGAAATGTTAAAAAAATTAGAACTTTGAAAAACAGGAAGAGCACAGAATAAACAAAAAATTTAAACATTAAATCATTAAAAAAAAAACAAAAAACAAAAAAACGAACGTTAGGACAGGTTTTATGACAGAGCTGATGTTTCCATAAGATGCTCTGCACACAAAATCTCTGAAAACAGTTTCAGCAACATAAGCCGGATTCTCCTCATCTTTTGGACTTTCTGGCTCCAATGTGGAATTCCTACTTTGAGAATAAAAACAATAAACATTGGAATTTAATGTAAAAAATTGAAATATTTTAAACATCTAATCAATCAACCAGTCACTCAACCAATCAGTCAGCCAACTATCAATCAATGAGGAAACCTTGACGTTTCTTGCATATTGAAAAGTAGAGAAGGGATGATCTTATCCATGTGTTGTGGTTTCCAAATGTTGCACTGTAGTTCGTCTGACACTGTCTTACGAATGACTCCGTGCAAGCCTTGCAAACCAGATACTCTCAATCTAGTACAGGCATGTGTGTTGTATTGTATGGATTTTATGCTGTTTATCTATGTCATATGTATATGTAAGCTGTATATGTATGTACATGCATATTGTATATGTTGGCGTTTGTATGTGTATGTTGTGTATTTATATTGTGTATGTGTGTAAAGATGTAATGAATTAAACTAGAAATTAAACATAGGTGCTGAATTAAATTGAGTTCCTTTTTATGAAATTAACATTAACAGATAAATAGTAATTATTATTCTTTGATAACATAAGCTAAAAAAGATTAATTAAGATTTTACGGTTTTTTTCAAAGTTACACAATAAAAATTGAAGTAAGCACATGAAAAGCAACTTGATGTAATCAATCAATCAATCAATCAATCAATCAATCAATCAATCAATCAATCAATCAATCAATCAATCAATCAATCAATCAATCAATCAATCAATCAATCAATCAATCAATCAATCAATCAATCAATCAATCAATCAATCAATCAATCAATCAATCAATCAATCAATCAATCAATCAATCAATCAATCAATCAATCAATCAATCAATCAATCAATCAATCAATCAATCAATCAATCAATCAATCAATCAATCAATCAATCAATCAATCAATCAACCAAAAATATACAAAAAATTGAAGTGAGAGCAAAAAAATCAACTTGATGTAATCATTGGTGGTAGATTCCTTCGTGTGGCAGAGAGCACTGAAGTGTGATACAAAGAAGTCATATCTGCGATGGTACGATGGTGTGTCTTCCTCTATGTTTGCAAACTTCACAAACTAATCAATGGTGAAAAATTTAACAATTCAAAAGACAGGCTAACAATTTTCGCAGACTCGTCGACACAAATGAATTTTTTCTATTAAAATCAGTATAAGCACTAACAGAAGCTGTGGCCAGTGTTTGCAGACTTGGTTCACATGTCTCTAGCAGTTTCTGAACCATTTTAAGAAAACTCTCGACAAACAAATTCAGAGACTGAGCGTGGCAGGTTACCAAAAGGATATCCAGAGCCTCCATTGCTATGAACACGTAACTATTTCAAAGGTTGTAGAATCATCTTTTAAGTATTACATCGTTCCAGAGACAATTGTAAATGTAAAGCAACTTAATATGAAAGTTTGAATAGGAAAACCTTTTCAAATTACCAATTAAGTATTTATCTTAAAATTAATTTCTAATAAGAAAAATAGAAGCAAAAATTACGGATATCTCTGTCTGTAGATGTCCCTACTTAACCTCTGAGCTAAATACTCTCCAATTCGATCCAGTTTATCAGGACTCTTCATAGCAAAAAATGTCAACTTATCCATGTTACTCTTCACCAGCCCATCCTGTTTAAAAGTGAAATTAAATAAAAATTTAATTAATTATTTAAAAGACAGCAATTTGATTTTGGAACCTTTGGATCAGCTGGGAAGATGCTGTCCACTAACTTTTTATATCTTGGTTGAAAGGCTGTGCAGCATCTGCAACAAGCTAATGATCAAAATGGGATGAAAAACTTATTTATTATTAATTCATTTTATTTATATTTTAATATTTTATGTGTAAAACTAGAATAAAACTAAAAACTAAACTCACAATATTTTATATTGAATTAATAATTAATAATATTAAAATTAAATAAATATTGTTATTATTAATTAATCAATTGATTATAAAATTAAAATTTAATTAAAATAAAAATGTTCTTGGTTGATGGTTATTGAATAAATAATCCAAGAAAAATACTTCAAAATAATTTTTTCTTGAGTAATTTTATCCACAAATTTGTTTATTTTTTCATTTCTTCAACTTTTATTATATTTTTTATTTTTTTAAATTCTGATTTGGAAAAAAAGAGAGGGGAGAGAGAGCCAGAGAAATAGAATGAGAGTTAAATCAAAATAAACGAAAATAAAATAAATTAAAATAACACTTACATGTCATTTTTGTGAGAAGCAGTTGTGTCAACTTTGAAAATCAGAACATTTGGAACTTCATTTTTTTTTTGCGAAAAATAAACAAACCCAATAGGCTAACCCGAACGAAGTTAAGTTAGCACAGAACTAGCAGAAGTTATTATTTTTATTTTTTAAATACATTTCCTACATTTCATAATTAAATTTTTATTATATTATTTATATATATACATATATGTTTATTACATATATACATCATATGTCATATGTTGGCATTCCAACAATTCTGTAGAATTCATATATATATATATATATATATATATATATATGTATATATATATATATATATATATATATATATATATATATATATATATATATATATATAACATAGACTCCATTCATTCGTAACAAGCAACAGTTTTAGAAAGAAAATTGGGATTTTTTGGATACATTTGTAAAATGAGAGAAGACAGATTGATTAAGATAGTACTAACGAGGAAAAGAGATTGGAAGAAAAAAGTTGGTAGACCTGCAAAGAAATGGATAGATGACATTACTGAATGGACTGGTGTTAGTATTCTGAACTCAATAAAACTGGCCAAAAACAGAAAAGGTTTTTGGAAAGAAAAAAGGAAAAAATAAATGTAAAAAGCATGCATAGATGTACACCATTTGCCTCGACGGTACCCGATGGACAAAGGAGGATCATTGATTGATTTATTGAACAGTTTTACTCGATGAATGGCCTCTTCCCATACCTACAATAAATCAGTCAGAACAAACACTACCAAGATCTCGCAGACGAACACATGGACAACTTCTGTTCGGCCATAGCATTCTCTCCTCATTAGCTACAAATCATAATTGTCATCCTTCCGTTCATTTTCCATTTGCCTCTTCAAATGCATTAACAACCAGACTTATCTCAACACAAGAGACTTTTGGAAAAATCTTATGGAGATTGCAAGTTGCCTACAACCACGGTTAGACCAATAATCTTGAAGCAAAAACAACAGCAATCAGCTGTTTTCGACCAAAGATTTTGTAAAAATTTTTATTATACCGTGCCTTTGGTAGCAACTTATCATCAATCCCATGCTTCTAATTATCGCTTGTTTCGTAGGTCTTTCGCGAATGTTTTGGAACCTCAATAATTTCAAACAGAAACGCAGAACAACTCCGGAGTTCTTTTTAATTTCATCCGGACTGTTGGATTTTATTCACTACAGTTTAAGGTAAAACCATTTTTATATGTCTTTTTTGTTTTTTAGTGGTTCACAATACATACACAATACTAAATTAAATATTTAATTTTTAAAATAAAATTCTTTTATTTAAATTTAAAACCAAATGTATGTTCTTTTCAATTTTTTTTAATATTATAAAATATAAATATGTTATTTTATATGCCATAGGTTAAGGGGTTAATTATAAAATTAATCAATCATTCTTATTTAATTTTAAATCAAATTTAATTTAAATCAAATTGATTTTTAAATTGAAATTAATTTTTATTTTAAATTTATGGTCGTTTCTTATTAGTTTTTTCATGGAGGACAGTCATTTTATGGAGGACAGTGGTGATTCTTCTGACAGTGAGAAGCTTGCTGACTTTCTTGACCCTAGCTATTTTGAGTCTGTCAACAATCTTTGCATTGAAGGTTAATTTAATATTGTGTTGCATTAAAACAAACTGTATATAATATGTGATGTATAATAACTTTTTTTTATTGTTAAACTGTTAAACATATTTCACATAATAATATTTTAAAATTCTAATAACTTTTTTTGTTTTCTATTGTTTATTTTCATTATTTATTATTATTTATTAATTAAGTTAATAATAATTATTCATATACTTTTTTTCTTTACTTGGATTGAGTATATTTTTACCATTATTTTATTATGAAATGAACTTCTTATTGATTTTTATAATTTCAAGGAAACACTAAGCTAATTAATGAAAGCATAGTTTTTTCATTTTTCTTTTAATTGTTGCTAATCATATAATTTAATTAATAATAATTATTTAAACTAGTTGAGTTACTGATGCAAGATGGCTCTGTTTCTCCTGTTATGGCCAGGAACATATTGAAATGCCTCTCCTACCTAACTCCTACAGTTTCATTTTTTTTTCTCATGAAATATTTTTATTTTCTATCAACTTGTTTTATTGAATACAGATTTGAGTAATTTTCTATGTAACTTGTGATTTAGATGTCATGAGTTATTTAATCATGAATAAATTGACAAGCTTGTTGATATTTCTATATGACTAAGTTTTATTTTTTAGGAATAAACATTTAATACTGATGCTGTGATACTAGTAAGAAATGCTTATAAGAAAGGACAAAGAATTGTACAAAAATAATGTTAAGCCATTGTTTTATATGTTTTCAAGTTTTTAATTATATCAGGAATTGAATTGAAATGGAGAAAAAACTTGCATTTTTCATTATTTAGTTTTAGTATTAGCTGTATTTAGGTTTATTTTTTAAAATTTTTTCCATGTTTTACAAAAAATTTAATAATATTCTTAATCTTTTGATTCTTTAAGACTGGGAAAAAAGAATCATTAAAAATGTTGCTTCCACTGAATGAAAATTTATATGAAGCCATAAGGTTCAATTCAAAAATATAAACATTTAATTTTTGAATGATTTGTGTGTGTGTGTGTGTGTATGTGTGTGTGTGTGTATGTGTGATCAAAATTTGTTAATATGTGCCAAACAGCTAGTTGCTAGTTTTGATCTAATTCTGAAATAACGCATTATATTTATTTGCTGTTAGTTGTGAGGGTTATGAAACTGATGACAAACTGAAGTACATTGTGGATGGCGGTCTAAAGATTTTACAGGGTATGTCACTAACAGTGGAAGCTGTGCATGCCATGCTGACTGAACCTGAGTATGAAGGATTTTTCAAAACTTTCAAGAAGATGGTCGCTGATCAACAGCATGGTACATTTGTATCATTGCAATTTATTAAATAACAAATTTCAACATTTGTATCTGCTTAGCTTTGATGTTTGTTAATTTTTTAATTGATATTTCGCATTGTTTAATTATTTCCTGTTTTGTTATTCGTATTTTAAAATACTTTCTAATAAATTCATTTGATAAAAAAATGAGAATTTGTGGTTTGCTGTAAAGGCTGGCCGGCAGTCATAGAGATAATAAAAAATATGCATGAAATTGGGTTGAAGGAGAAAAGTCTGTTGTTGGAAGATTTCATGATGTTTCTTGTGGAAACGACATTCCCAAGCAAGCCTGTGTGTTATTTATATTTATTTCGTTATGAAATTTTTTCGTATGAATGGTGTGGTGAATCTAACATTTTTTTAGATGTTTCTGTTAGAAAGATACTTGTCATTTTACTTTATGATTATTATTTTTGTTTATATTCGTATTTTATTTAAATGAAACACCTTATATTTAGAAAGAGATTTATTTCTCACTCCATTTATTAAGCCAATGTTGAGTGTTCGAACTTTCAAATTTGAAACCAGACAATGAAGACCTTTAGGTTGGTGGAAGAATTAAAAGACCTGATTGAGGCATGTGACGCTGAGTTGATGGATGCTTTTTTCGTAAAGTTTAGGCAAGGACTCTTTGGCATGCTGGCCAGTAAACTAAGTGAGATGCTGATGAGATGTGGGGGAGAGAGATGAGGAAATGTGGGAGAGAGTGGCGGTATGATTTGGGAGGGAATGGTGGTGTGATATTGGAAAGAGTGAAGGTGTACTGATGATGTTAATGATAAACCTTTTCAATTAACAATAATATGCTTGTATTCGATTGTTGCGGTAGCGTTGTTCTCATGGATCATTGATGTTTCGTCATTTGTTTTCACCAATTGCACTAATGCGTTTTCAAGATAAAAAAGAGAAGCATACAGCCATCGATTGTTCCTGTAGACTAATCACAAAACTCGGCGTTCGTCATTTTCTCTGGCAAAATATCGAAGACTGTGGAAATGATAGGTACCGGAAAGATGATGATGACGGCGATGACGACGACGATGAAGATTTTGAAGAAAATGATGCTACTCCATGTGATAATGATGAACTTTATCGTTTCTATGATCTCACCTTGAGACTTGCAAGCATTGAAATGCAGATGTACATAGAGGGCGATTCATCGGATATTGTTCGTTTTATTTACAGTTTGTTTATTAGCTTTCGATAGAAAAGTATGAAAAAATTTGAATGAAATTAATTTGAAATTCATCCTAATAACAGACTGACGACGTTTTTTCGATGTTACTTGCTTGTGGTCATCTGTTTCAGGAGTCCTTGAAAGAATGCATGGACAAAAAACGCAAGATAAAACATGTTCCTCGGGTAAAACGTGTTTTGTTTAATGTAGCCCTTATCATGTTTCGATATCTCAGAGAATGTTCTTCTAAAAATTTCACCAAGGAGGATGTGAGTTGAGAGGTTTTTGTTTATCATTGAGTGATATTCACATGCTATAGTAAATTTTTTCGTTAGAGATTGTTCAATTGTTCAATTAGATAAGTTCGACGTTAACGTTGGTGTACACCAGGGTTCGATACTTAGTCCCCTGCTATTCATCACGGTGATGGAAGAAATAACTAAGTCAATATGCTCAGATGATATCTGGAAGGTAATGTAGGCAGATGAAATTGTCCTGACGGCGGCCTTGGAGCAGGATGGGACCAGAACGTTTGAGGCGTGGAATAGCCAGCTCGCCGATCACGGTCTCACGGTAAACCTTGATAAGACAAAACCGACGATCACTGGCGAATCCGCTGAACCCCTGGTCACTGCTGGTCACTGGCCGTGTTCGGTCTGCAGAGCTGGAGTGGGAAGCAAGCATTCCGCTGTTACTCCGCTCAAAGTTGTACATCTCAGTGATAGGCTCCAAATTGATAACTTTTCCGAACTGATATGAAGATGATTCGATGGATGCAACATGTTGATCTGAGCGACTAAATCCATACAACTGAAATCCTGAACGAGGATTAATTGATTTGTTTAATTGTTATCATTCATATCCATAAACAATTTTTGAATTAACAAATTTGAGTAACTGAAAATTTAAATGATTAAATTTATATGAAACATTATACCAAGTTTGTACCAGTTTTCCTGACACTGAAGTACATATCTATATTTGTAAGTTTTCAAAATTTGGCTCTGGATGAGATGGTGGTAATGGACTGGTTGCCTGTTTGGCTGGATTTTTGGTGAGTTTTGCATTTGTTACTTTTGACTTTCCAATGTTATTATTTTCTGTTTTTTTTTTAATTTCCTATTTTTTTGTATTAATTATAATCATTTAACTAATTCAAAATGAAAATTTTTGTTATGGTACGTGTGTGTCAAAAGCGTAATCAATCTCATTATTTCGTTGTTACCTTTTTACATATGCACATTTTAGTGTTATACATTTGCTGCAATCATGTTTTATTGTTTATATGAGGAGAGATTAAGCATGCGAAACCAACATAAGCCTGTCTTCTTAACCTGGGTTAATGTTATGATATTACAACTTGTTCAGTCACATGAAACTGCCATTATCAATTGTAATAATTAATTCTGAACAAAATTAATTATTAATTATAATAATTAATTTAGTTCAGGTGATGTTAAAATTTTTCATTTTAATTATTTCAGTATGTTCCTGTTTAAAGATAGTATTCATGAAGATGCTCAGAAGATATTGATAGCACACAATGAATGTGGATGCCTATCACAATTTTTAGACTTCGAAAGCACAGGCGAGTCCAGTGACGTCAGGACAGAAACTAACTCACTAAACGTTCGACCAGGGCAGAAATCAGGTGAACCTCTCAGAAGCATACAAAATAATCCAACAGCTGATAAGATAAAAGAGCATGAACTTTACAAAAAATATTTTGAATGCAGCAAACAATGCGTTGTATTGTTGCTACTAATGGGTTTCGCTCACATAAGTCACTTGCTTGAACCCAGACTGACCATGATGAAGCAAGGTTTCTTACATTTCGTCATCGACTGTCTTTTGATTTTTGACATTAGTGGCGCATATGACGGCGGCGACGAAGACGATGAAGCTGGTTATCGGGTTAGCGATTAGGATGGCGATGTTTTGTGTTCACATTATGTTCACGATTGAGTCAGTTTAAACTTGAGTATTCAGTAGGACAATATTTTTTACTGCAATTAACATTGAAATGATAAATGCCAATTATGGTTAAGTAGTTGTTTCATGAAGCATACATTCAATTTCATTTTCCAATTTTATTATAAGACTGTTGAATTATTTCTTTGTTTTGGCATGAAATTAATTTTGTTTCTGTTATTTCATTTTCTCTCATAGCCAGAACCCGTTTGTGATATACTCTGCAATTTTGTTCTCGGGGAAGAGAACAAATGCTCTGGACCAGTTTATGTGCAGATTGCCTGCCTTCTTATGCACTTTCTCCCGAGTACGTATGTGAAATCATTTATAAAGTATCCATTAATATTGCGTTAGTTAACAACTACGTAAATTGAAACTCTGATTTAAGGATGTTCCGAATTCAGAAATTGCACCTACGACTACTACTCCGTTTTTCTAACATTGCTTAACAAATGCAATTTAATTCACTGTTAGTATTTTATTCTGATTTTACTGGAAACACTTTGATTGGAATTTTTTTTTCAAACGTTTCACAATTTAAAATTATTATTTTTTAATACATGTTTATTTTCTTGCATTGTTAAAAAGTTATGGCAATGTCTTTAAACTAAGAAGATGATGAATTTTATTGAACAGCCGTCAACCAAGAATGCCTACAAAATTTTGTCGAGTCTTTCAAGTCAACTGTCGACAAAGATAAATTAGGAGATTGTGAAACATTCGATGATTATGTTGATGGTTAGCTTAGCTTCACTTATTCATTTGCTTTGTTACGCCATTCAATTATTCAATTATTCTTACTTAATATTTTATTCTCCAGCCGCCAATCGTTGTTATAAGAAGTTTCCAGAGATTGCGCAATGTTTTCTGATTAATTCATAACAATTTTTTCAATTTTTTATTTATTTTTTTTGCTGTATTCATTCATTCTTCTGATACAAAAGCACAGTTTTCACACAGTTCATATTTCACCGTTAAACTAACATTCGCAATTGATTAAACATTTTTTTAGCGTTGAACAAAAAAAAACTTGAAATGAAATCTTGCATAAATAAATTATGACATAAAATTAATAAAAAAAGTTGAAAGCCGGTCTATTCAATCTACCTGGCCAGCCGATCCTTTCCACAGATATTGCCTACATTTTTGCTCCTGGTATAAATGTCATGTTTAATTTAACACGTTCATAATATTAGGCTTTCCAGCTGCTTTATTGGTGCTTTTAAATGTTTATGAGAGTCTATAGTTTCTATTTTCGTTTTCGTAGTCTTTTGCTGCTGTCTGTTGATGTTTCTGTGTACGTGGTCGCTGCTCACCCGATTCCTTTGTTGCATCAGTTGTATATTGACTGTATGTACATTTGTTGCATCAACCAAATCTTTAAGCATTGCTTGTTACGTTGCAAAAGTCCAATTTAAGAGATTTATTTTAAAATGCGTGTTTCAGTTCGTAACTTTAAATGTTCAACCATTATGTTGAGCATTGGATCTGATGGAGTCGCAAGTACTCAGTTGCGTGTAACAATCATCCGAAATTGCAGAAATCCCTCTTCCAAACACCAAAATTTCACAGATGACAAACAGTTATTTGGTCCAAATTATTTATTAACTGAAGAATTGAACAAGATGAAACCAATGATTCGCAGTCTGTTAACCAAGATTCTTGAGAGACGCGTCGTACATGGAAGGGAGAATATGGAAACAATTCAGGGAAGGCATGCAAACGATAGAATGAAATCATGCGCTAATTTTTTCGTTGTGAATAAAATAAATAATTTACAGACATCGCAGCAGCACTCTCACCCTGCTACGTTTTAATGATAACAACAACAAGAATAATTATAATATAATTTTAAAAAATGAAAACGAGAGAAAATGGGTTATAAAAACATCTTCGCGTTTTTTGTGTATATGAAAAATAATCTCAAAATTTTATAGAACAATAATTATTTTTAGTTGTATGCCATTTCTATTTCTGAAATTAGTTGTAAAAATATGAGAGGCATTCGACCATTGTTGTTGATGCTGCAAATACAAATATGTTCCTGCAATGAACCAGACGACATAACAGATGATCTGAACGACGAATCTTCGAATCATAGCATGGCTCCTGATTATTTGCTACAAATCAGAAAAAACAGAAATGATCTTTCGAATACGAAAGCTCTCCTGTCAAGCAACTTCACACGCCTCACCCCACCACGCTTTCGATTCAACAGTTGAGTCAACTTTTTAATGTACGAATGTTGTGATCAAGCAGGTAAGCGAAGTAATGTTTTTACCGAGCACAACCTTTTTCATTTTTACCAATATTTTGTTTATAAAATATTTGCTCTTGACAAGCTAGCGAAATTCTTCCAAAGTTTTTCAAAAAAATCCAAATTGATCTTTGCAATTCACAAACGAATTTTCTACTAATTTTTAACACTTTAAACCATTAATATTTTACTCAGCTCTATTTTTTTACTCAATACAAAAAAACATTCACCGCAAATTAATTCTGAACAATGCACTATTGTGAAAAGCTTATGTGTAGGTATAACGAACGATGTCACTAAAAAATATCACAGCGACAACACCAAACTTTATCAATGTGGAATCCCTGACGACATCCGACATAATATACTGCTGTTTCCTCTTTATACTGACCACGAGTTGCGTGGCTACTGTGAGCAGCTTCGTGTGGAAGGAATTTAGACGACATCTAGAGTTTGTCGTTCTTATGTTTTTGTTTCATTTTGTTGATTGTCATTACATTTGTCATTTCTATTATTATTATTATCGCTGTTATGAATCATCCGTTAACAAATTTGGTCAACTAAATCGATCTATTTATGCTTAATTTGAGCACTGCCGTTATGAAAATATCTCTCGATAAAAAAAATTGCTTTTTTTTAATAAATTTTGTTTGAAGTGTATTGTTTCAATTAGATTTAAATTTTGTGAAATTTATTTTTGGTGTGATTTCACCATTAAATTATTGGAAGATCACGTTAAAATAATAACGGTGTCACAAGCCCGTCAATATCTCACTTCCATATCTACCAACTCCATACATTTGAAATAAAGCATCCTGTATTTGATAGCTTATGGCCTTACGTTCTCCGCCATCATTAGATCACGTAGCAGCAGATTACACGGCGCTAATTTAACAATGTAGGAATCACACCGAAAATAAATTTCACAAAAATTTGAATCTAATTGAAACAATACACTGTAACATTTAATAACGTAATATTTCGATACAGCAATGATATCCGGATAATACGCATACAAAACCAACAAAGGTTGAACAAGAACCTGGCACTAACACAGCAACAAATGGCCTAACGCTATTGCTCAATGTCGTAAACTCCAATAAACAAACTACAACAAACTAATCTTGTTTGATACGCCCTGATAGGATAGCATGTTAATTCAATGTTTTTAAAATTTATTTTGGTTCTGTTTTTAATATTTATAAATTTATGCTAGGGATCAGACAGATGCACTGAAATATTTTGACGCAATTTTGTTGGTTTATTTATAAAATGTTAAGAATTGTTAAAACTAAAAAAATACAAAGCCCAGACAGATGCACTGAAATATTTTGACGCAATTTTGTTGGTATATTTATAAAATGTTAAGAATTGTTAAAACTAAAAAAATACAAAGCCCAGACAGATGCACTGAAATATTTTGACGCAATTTTGTTGGTTTATTTATAAAATGTTAAGAATTGTTAAAACTAAAAAAATACAAAGCCCAGAATTTCAATAACTAATAAAAATAAATTAGGCTGATTTAATATTAATTAACTTTAGTTCCTCTAAAGGTTTTTTATACTGATTGTCAATTGTTTGAAGCCGTTTTTTAAACTCTTCTAAGTTATTTTTGATAAATTTAATGAAGTCTTCGTTGTTCGTATCGAGTTTTAACTTTGTAGGCAGACAATATACAATCTCGTTGATTTGTTCGTCTACACAAGTGTAATAAACTCGCTGAAAATGCTTCTTCAACCTCGTGATCACCATGTCGCGATTCTCTTGGCATCGTGTGGCCAGGTTTAAAATGAACACTCCTGTTAATCATCAACAGTTAAATAAAGGATGAAAAAATATTGATATAAAACAGAATAATTTCAATGAGAAAGAAAAATTCAATATTTTTTTGTGTGCAAATTATTAATCAACCGTTTAAAAGGAATTGTTGTTTGTTATAACAGGAAAAAATAATAAGTATAAATAAAATATAAGTATTCAAATAAATGTTAAACCTTGTCGCCATCTACATTATTGACATTGAGGTGTAATCAATCAATAAACACCATAGCAAAAACAGTGAAAGAAGCACAAACCATCTTGTGAGACGATCTGAGCGTATGAGTGAATCAACTGATCTTCAATGAATGCAGTGGGAGGACTGCTGAATGGCAGTGTGTGGTCCTTGTTGTCCACATCCAGTATCAACACATCAAACTTCTCGTCTGCAGTGTTTTTAAATTTCAAAATGAAATAATAACATAAAAATAATTTAATAATATAAAAAAATTTTGGTTTAAAATCAAATTAATTCAGGTAATAAATAGTAAAATT